GTATACGTAGTCGCTATACGTAGCCGTAAGCGCTAAACAGATGCCGACCGGAAAGCGACAATTATACGAACATAAAAACAGCCTTAAAACATAAACAAGGCCTTGTTTATAAACGCTAAGCACGACATGAAATAACGCCTATTTGATAGCGCTAACAACACGAACAAGGCCTTATTCGTGGAATAAGGCTTAGCACGAACTGGCGCGAACACCGAGGCAGACCATGGGGCAGCTGCAATCAATAATTTCCTCGCTGCCAAAGGGACATTCAAAAGTCGCTGCACCGAGCATCTTGTTATCATCGACCAGTCGTGATACTTCACTCGATCCGTTGAAAGCGTCTTCGTAAGTTTAGCCATTCTGAACACCTCATCCAGGCTGCTCGAACCACAGACTTGGCTGGCACTGTGGCGAAATACTCAGTTCGAGGCCTCAGCCTTTTCTCTCCTGGTGGCTGTGGCCAGAACAGGGCTCTGGAGTCCAGCATTGCCCACAATTTCTGGACGTAGTGGATTGTTGTTGGCCTTCGCTGGAGGATCGAGCCAGCAATAGCGGCGTTACGATACTCGTTATTGCATTGCCGCGCCCGCGGTGGCCCTCGAGAAAGAAGTAACAAGAACGTGTTCTGCAATGACAGCATCGTTTTCCAGTAACAAATTTTGGCCATTCCAATCCTTCGTGAGCTGATGATTCACCATGAGCTTCCGAAGACGCAGAGCAGCTTCATCGGGGGATCTGGAACGTGGAACGGTGGAACGACCGATGCAAGCCGTGATACATTCCACTTCTCAGCCTTGTGCGCCTTCATGCCACAAAGTCACAATCAGTAATGCAGATCGCTTTGGTCACAGGCACAGCTGCTGGGTGACGCGACCCTCGAACGATTGCTCGAGAAATCGGGAAGAAGGAGACGAGAAGCTCCCAACAACAAGGCGACCATACTTTCGTTGCCAACGAGAGTCTCCCAGCGCATATTCTGTAACTCGCGGCATTCTCCCCTCGTTCCAGTAGCGTGAAAGAGGTTGCGACGCTTTGCACCTTCTCCCACAACCCGCACTAGCTCCGTGAAACCGCAGAGATGGCCGGATCGGCAAGGACTGCGCCGAACGAGCGCATTTACCTCCTGCTGTCCTCGTCACGCACGTCCTTTCTCACCTCTTGCTGCCAAAAAGGCTACCAGAATCCTTCTTGCCGTCATGTTTACGCTCACATTCATTGCTCTCCTCGCGAGAGTCGCTTTCGGGGACAGCCTGGGATTTCCATCCTGCGCAGAAGGCTGTCTCGGCGGCTACGGCGGATGCGACCAGCTCGACATTAAGTGCATCTGCAGCAACAAGGCCTTTCTCGAAGGGCTCTCCTGTTGCGTATTGGCGAGCTGCAAAAGCTCAGACATTGATCGTAGGTCACTTTACGTCAAGTGTCGGGAACATAAGCTCGGAAAATTTCTAACTCTGCGTGCAGAGGTGTCCACCAACGTGCGCTCTCTATGTTACTCGTATGGAGAAACCGATCTCCCCAATTTCACTACCTGCACCGCTAGCGAGGTCACCTTAGCACCTACGACCAGAATCGTGACCTACGTTGTAACGGGGTCGCCTAGCACCTCTGAAAGTCAGCCTAGTATCACATCCAATTCGGCCCCCGGAAGCAATACATCGTCAGGACAAGGCCCCGCCGATGCCGATAGTGCAGGTGTCACGACCTCCAGTGCCTCCGCGCCCACAGATCCAAACATCGTGACCTCTGCATCTACTTGGGCTCTCACAGCTACCGCGAGTTCCTCACCGATGCCAGGATCGAGTCCCAATGCGACTGCGATCGGGGCAGGAGTTGGTGCAGGCATTGGCGTAGCAGTCCTGCTGGCGGGCTTGCTTTTCTTCTGGAGGCGGCAGAATAATAAGAATAAGCCAAAGAACCCGCAGTCGTCGGACAGTTCTATAGATGCTGCCCATGCGTCGCAGTCTATGGCAGCCAAGGATCCTGACGTTTTCCCTCACTCTGCTCCCAGAACTCTTGCCTGGCAGTCTGATCCTGAGGTAATGTCACGACGCTGAATCTCGGCAAAGCAGTGGTGGCCGTAAGCCTTGTAGCATCAAAGAGAGGTGCAAGGGCCAAGAGAAAACGGACGTGAATCGTATGTACCAGCGACAGAAGATCTTTCTCGCCCTAAGCGAGCTTCTGCCTTTTATCCTAACCTGCCAACTCCTGCCGCTTATCTTGACCTGCCAACTCCTGCCTTTCACCCTGAGCTGCCAATTCTCGAGGACTAGTTGTCCAAGATGGAGCTTCAACTGCGGCTATCGGGTAGTATTCTATGCCTTTGGGGTCTGAGTTCACAATCTGTATGTCTTGGACATTCCGAGTCTCCGAAAGCCTTTGAGATTTGGATGCTCGCTGCCGTCTCCGAACGAAAAACAAGGCCACAGATATGGCAGCTAGAGCAGCTATCCCAACAGCAGCGCCTATTCCAGCTTTTGCACCTGTCGATAGGCCGGCATCGTTATCGTCAGTGTTGCTGCCATTGTTGCTCGTTGAATCGTCGAGGGGTGTCCAGTGATCCGTCCAGGACGAGGCGAAAAGACCGAGATCACTGTTGGTATAAATCGCTGTATCATCGCGATTTATGTCTTTAATATCTTCTCCGAGACCGTTTCGCATCGCGCCCGGACCAGGAGCCTGTACGATCCACCCTTTGCTGTTGTCCCAATTTCGACCAAAGAAAGCTGCTTGTAGGAATGATTTGCCCAGGATGTACGTGCCTTCCGTTGGCCAGTCATCATCTGATGTAAGTTGCTCTGATGGGACCCAAGGTTGGCACGGAAAGTAGGGGATCGCGGACGGTCGACCGGAATACAGTGGGTCCAGCGTCAGATTGAGAAGACGAAAAGGCACTTTGATAGTGACGCGTTGCGAAGAAGTCACTGAGGGTGAAAATACAAAGCCAAGATATGCAGGCGATGACACGATGGTCGTGTATCGCGCGTCGTCGGTATTCCACAGGTATAGATTGAGTGCCGAATCGTATGTCACAGGCAGCAGCGAGGCTACCCTTTCGCAAGTCGGCCGTGGAAGCGCAAGGTAAGACTCAATGGGCTGGAAAGATACTGGGATGGAGCTCTGCTCGCCCTGCCCATTCCGGAGGAGGCCTGTTTGTGTGTCGTTGAAAGAAAAAGGAGACCCTCCTGTTTCGACACCGATGACTATGTCTTGAAGATATGCTGCACTCCTGCCGAACTCTACGATAGGGCCGATTGTTCTGCCCCGGTCGTAACCGCCGTAGTACATAGAGGCCGAATAGTTGAGAGCTGCCGAGCCGACGTGCAATCCAAAGCTGTTCGACATGGTGACACTTTGGTTGGCTAGCCATGATCCTGGAGGCCAGTGATCTACACCAGTGATTTCCCAAGCCCCACGCCCACCCAGTGTCAGGTATCCTACTTCAATAGGCGGCCCTTTTGACTCGTTTTCTCCGACGACATAGTTTCCCGATGTGAGGGCAACTTTTCCCGAGTTTGGTATCGTATTTCGTGCCATATCTGCCCCATTCGGACCCGGGGTCGCGAGTGAGTGTGGCCTGATCGGCCCTGTCATGTCCATGTTGCCACCACCATTGGCTCTGCGCACCTCGGGGACGAAAGCAGTTCGTAGATCGTTAGGGATACTTGTGTTTGGATTGAATCTGCCTCCGGTGCCGCATTTTGGATTGCCATCACACATGTCAACCGTAGGCAGTATGCTCGCGAGCCAACCTCCAGGAAATACATCGAACGCGTCGTACTTGTTGGGATCGTATGCTTCGCGTTCGTAGTCTCGGCTCACAAGTATTCTCAAAGAAGTCCAGGGGCCATCGAGGCCATAATTGCGACTTCCTGGTGGAACTTGGACGGGTGTTGCGACGACGGCTGTTGCGAGCATAACGCAGAGCCACATAGGGAGTGCCCTCTGCTGGCGGTGGATAATCATGGTCTGTATGTTCATAGGTCTTGTTTCAGTGCTGCAGGCTGAGAGTTCCGAGTAGTCCCCCGCGACAACTTTTCTCGAAGGTCACGCAAGTTATGTGGCCGGGGAACCGGAACTGTACTGGAACTGGAAGAGGCAGTGCAGCGCCCCTGCAACGCACTATGCCCTAAGCTAAAGTTCCCTCTTAGATGATTATCAAAATTGGCCAACACTCTGCAGATGACCTGAATGCAAGCTCTCGGTCAGGGTGGAGATGCCCAGTTGATCCCGCAAGCCGGCCCCAGTTCTTGCAGGTTGGCGTGCCAAAACTCGCCAGAATTTCTGTGCAGCGCAAATGATTTGACATGGCGTTTGAGTATGGTGCGAGGGCAGCCAGCCGTTTCGCAAAGGCTACAGAACAAGTGCGTGCCGCCCACGAAGCTGGGAAATTGACGAGAGAATTCATTCGTCGCCTTGTTGGCGGCTACTGCTAGCCGCTTCATGGTACATGATGTCCATGTTCTCGCACGTCCTCCAGGCCGCCGCGGCGGCCATCAGATGAGCGCAAGTGGATTTTCGATGAAAGGCTGAGGTGGCTTGCGACCATGAAGTCAAAATTGTATCCACGCGCGGTGTGGTATCGAAGCATGCGAGCGCTAAAGTGCCAAGGGCGCTTAGACTACCATCTGCGTCTTGGCGTTTGAGCTCTCGGCCCGAAAATCGAAACTTAAGGCAGTAGAACTAAGTCTGTCCAATGCTACTCAAATTCGACTCCCGCACGTTGACGTACGACACGAAAACTTCGCACCGTAATCGAGGCAGAATCGACCGCACTGCCGCATCGATCGTGAGACAATGAGGTTGCCTGACGGCCGGCAGATCCGATCAGGCTGAGATGTGGGAAGTCTACCAGTTCGCGCTAGCACATCCTCAGAGTAGTGTGCCAAGAGATTGATGGAGGCTGATATCTAGATTTGTCGATGTTCGACGTCTCGCATAAAACTCTACCTGCTTTGCAGGCACCGGCAAGGCTGAGTTGATCAATCGACCGCCTCACGGCCGCATCCTCAGCTGCTCCCCACATGGCTCCTTCTTTGAGTAGAGTGTCGGTTCGTACTTCCGTCTACTGTCCACACTAGCTCGGCGAACCCGTGTAGGTGACCCGATTGACAAGCTATGCTTTCAGCGTAAGTAAACCTACTGCTGCACTCGTCGCGCGCATCTTTTTCTATCTTTTGCTGATAGCAGAGCAGCTTGTATACCTGGCTCTGTCATGTCGACGCTGGTACTTTTCACTCTCCTCGCGAGTGTCGCTCTCGCTCTCGCTCAGACTCAGATGCCCGGTCTGCCAGAGTGCGCGCAAGGCTGCATTACCGACTCTTGTGGCTGCAATCAGGTCGATCTCGCGTGTATTTGCAGCAATACTCAGCTTATCGACAATCTCTCATGCTGCGTATCGGAGAACTGCGACCAGTCAGGCCAAGATGGTGTGTTCCACGATTCTGCTGGCCCGAAAGTAACTAACTCCGTGCGCAGAGGTTTTCATCTACGTTGACGTCCTGTGTGACTCGTACGGTGGGACCACGCTGCCTACCGACGCCACCTGCGCCGCCACCGCGTCCGGCCGAGTCACTACTACCGCAGTTGATCCTCGTCCGTCGACTGCAGTCAACACGGACACAATTACATCGGCTCCAGCGACTTCCTTGTCCACCACCATGGAGTTCTCCACGAGCGAGACCGCGACTGATGTCGAGAGTTCTGAGACCACCTCGACCACTAGCGCCTCAACCAACATCAGGACTACCTCGACTGCTGCCACTACCTCGAGTGATCGCGGACTGGAGGCTACGCCGTTAGCCTATACAGGAGCTGGCGCTCGCGCAACTGCAGTGGTCGGAATGTTGGGCGCTATGGTCATTGGTGCACTGGCTCCATGAGCTGCAGGTCAGAGTACATGAATAGAAGAGCGATGGTGAGCAGCAGAGACTCAGATGAATGTAATAGGGGCTTATGTAAGCAAAAAGACTGTGTGTAATTCGAGCGCAAGAATCACGACTCTGAGTCTCAGTGTTCGATATTGGTCCTCGGATTTGGAAGATCGATATTCGCTCGGAAGTCGCAGGATGCTCACAGAGAGACATTTAAAAAGACCGCATCTTGTCCAAATTGGTGTTCATGCTTGTCGGAGGCTAGAAGAACATCTGCACGGAGACCATTGGCCCCTTTGTGCCACGATCAATAAAGAGCATTGCAAAGGATCCGCACTCTCACTCAAAACGTGAGCTTCCATTCTTCTTAAAGTTTGAGCACGAAGCTCCTATCTAGATCTCAAGGAAAGTCCATGTATTCCAATCCACCTCCATCTCCCGTTGCTGCTCGCCGTCCCAGTCAGGCTCCGCCGCCCCGTAGAGAATGTCCGTCGATAGCTCCCCGCGCGAATCCGTGCCAATCCAAACCACCTCTCCCCTCTTCTACATGGTGACCTCGATGTCATCCAAAGCGTTCTCAGCGGCGAATTCTTCATCAGCCGCTCTTACAAATACCGAGTTCTTACAAGTACCTTTCTTTATCTACAACAAGCGAGGGGAGTTTCGTGTCAGCCTCGCTGTGCAATTTTCGATTTATGATTGTGAAGTTCGATTTACTTACCTTCTTTTCACAGGCCAAGAGCAAGCGGGAATTGTCACAATTCTGACAACATGTTTCAGGCAGACAAACTGGTTGCTTGCATTGCACCAGCCGTGCCTTGCTGCTACATTTGTAGCATGATGGTGGCTTGCAGTGTGGCGTGCCCGCGGGGGGATCGTTGGCGAAGACGCCGATGGCGCCCATGAGGAGGACGACGATGATGGAGAGACGGGCCATTGTGGACTCTTCTTGGTGTTGGTTTGTCTGAGGTCGGAGGCGATTGTTGTGACGATGATGTTGCTGTGAGCTTGTCGGATGCTGCCAGTGGTGATAGATGGCGCCTTATATATTGATCGTCTTTCTCACTTCAAGTGCTTCGGCCCTCTCGGTCTCTTGCGTGCAGGTCCAACGTTGGCGATGCATACGGAGTCTCACGCTCCGCAGCAGATGGTGATGTTGCACTTCGCATTCCATTGTGTTGTCGTCTATCGGATCAAGGTCATCCTTGGCCTCAGGCTACTGTTATAGCACGACTAGGCTTTGATGCTGATGGATGGACCGGATCTGCTGTCTTGCAGCATACCGCATTGCAACAATCATGGATCATTTCTTGAAAAAGATGTGTTGGGCTTCGTATTTCAGAGCCGAATCATTGGTTGACAATAGCCGTGTGTACTCATGTTACGAGTTCAACATCAGTGGTCGCAAGTCCATCTAAGCAAGGTCATGGGCGGAAAGGTAGATCATGTCTCTTGTCAGCATTTTGGAACTCGAAGTTTGATGTATAGTCCAGACTTACTCTTTTCCATATGAATGTTGACGAGCTGGGCCGGACACCCAGGTTGCGTCCGGGCTTCTCGAGCTTCTGGCATTTTCATGGACATGATAACTCCACCAAGCTAGAAAGCTGCCTTCATCCCGCAGTACATGGCGTGTACTTCCATATCGAAAGGGACTTGTGGGCATGAAATGGCAGAGGAGGGTCCGTCAAAGGTTTGACTTCGACCTAGGGTTGTCGTATAGCTCGTGTTCCAGCAAAGTCTTATCCAACCATGCTCACCTTTTCCTTGATGCCCGCTTCGAGTTCTGCGGAGCTCCAATACAATTAAGCTTCTAGCTGTACCGCAATACCCTCCTTTTACCCGTGCGAACAGTGCCAGTGCCTGGAGTGATGGAAGCGATATCCCAGCGAGCTTTCGAGCTTGCCTGCTGCGCTTCCTGTCTCTGGTAGGTCCACATGTGCTAGCTGTTCATTGTCCTTCTTGCAGATGAGAGTATTCGTGTTGGTTCCGTCTGTGAGGATTTCTGCGAGAATCAGTCGAGCAAACTGAACCTATTTTGGTTTTCGGTGATATTGCACCCAAAGTCAGATGGCCTGGAGCAACTCATTGACGTGTCGCCAGTTCGCAACCCCCGAAGCCTAGAAGAGTTGGTTCGTCGTTCTGAATAACCCGAGCATTAATTATGACTCGAGTATATGCAGTCCGGCTGCAGCCATGTTGCACACGTGATCGCTTGCTTCCAAATACACATTTGGAAGCCGTCAGCAACTCTGCGTGATCGCACACTTGCCTCTTCTTGGACCAAGATGCAGTGTCCTCCTCGTATGCTCTCACTCAAAGTATCTTGGAATAAAGTATGCTGGTTACGGCCTTGTAGCTCTGGCATCGGAATGGAACGTCTTGTCGTAAGGCGAGCGTTTTCATTGTCGTTATGCCATGCTCAACGTCCCCCTAAGACATCTTCACTGCTTCCTCAAAAGTTGGAACTGGTTCGCTTCACAACTTCTCGCACAGGACTTCTAGGTCCGGGATATGCCCGCGATCTAAAAAGTACCAAAGCCAAGCGTCTCACCGGGCGCGGATGCGAGAAAATGTCGAAGCGATGTGGTGAGAAGGGATTGCAAGTGCGGTGGATCTTACCGAAATATCAGCTTGCTGGGCACGTCTTGAGATGCCGAACTTGCCTCGCTTCTGGCCAGTGATGGAACGATAGGCGAGACTTTCTCCGACCAACAGCTCCTACTGACAACTATGGCACCTTACTTTGCAGGCTCCAACTCAGAGTCAGTCCCAATAATAGCGTGCTCCTCTTCCTGTGTCAATGCCAACGCGAAGTATTCGGAGAAAGCAGCACAGCGTTCAACTTCGGAAGAGAAGTGTTCCAGGACCGAAGCAGGGCGCCCCGGTACCCGCCGTTCCACACGATTTTGACTCAGCAGCACACTTCCCGAGAGACGGTGTGCTGCTCCCAGATCTTTGGCACTTTCGAAGCGCTGTGCTACAACGAGTTTGGTGAAGCGACCAATGGTCATGTTGTAATGGTTGAGAACGTGAAAATCAGCCAGAAAGAATTCACTGTCCGAGAAATGATAGATTTCCTTCCAATCATCGTTACCACAACGGAAGAAGTAGACCCATACTTTCTGGCTCGGATCAGTGTGCTGGGGCAGTGTTTTCAACTCAAGCCGGAGGTCTTGGCCGCGGAGCCCGTCCACAATGTTATCATGCTGAAGAAGTAGCGGAGTTGTAGGGCCATCGGCACCAAAACCGACGTCTATCAGATACTTGCTGCCTTCGACGAATACGATGTTGGCCATGTGGCTCCTTCACAGATGGTGTCAGTTGCGTGCCGATGAAGCAATGGAAACACCAAGACTCACATAGGCCTCCACCCACCATCTGTCAACCCGACTGTGGCGGTGGTGATACGGCAAACTACACCGTATGCATTAAACCCCAGAGAGCGCAAGATGATGCCGAAGAATGCATTGTTCTCCAAGCAATAGCCGCCGCGGCCGCGAGTTACAGTCTTGTCGAACAGGACTTCTGGGTCCAGTGAGATTTTACGATCTACGGAATAATGAAGTTCCAGTGTCTCGAAAGGTACGTGTACGAGCTGATGTCGAAGCAAGGCGGTAAGATAGGACAGTGAGTGTGGCGGGAACCGGTCTGGCGAAAAATGGATGCGCTCGAAGTAGGCATGGAGCTGTGATTGGTTGTAGTTGCTCATGATGAGATGGACGAGAATATGTGTGAACAACCTGTTCACAAGCAAGATAGGTTGTTGGACTTTAGGTAAGACAGCTGGATCCAGATTGTCATTGGTAGGGCGGCATCGCGGATTGCACCATTTCCGGGTTGTGACCTTTCACTGGGCATCTATCAGCGTGGATTCTCGAGAAGGTGACATTAAAAATTTACGATGATGCTGCATGTGTAGAAGAAATTGCAGGAGCGCTTGCGGAGTGAAGCCATCCGGCTAACAGATCGGCTTTCGGAATTAATCACCCGAGTCACGTGCACGACGCGTTCCGCCCACTTCACTTCGCGTCTTTCGCGCCCGACACGCGCCTCGTCTCCCACAAATCGACGACATGCCCGCCATGCCAGACTCTGGCGACTCAACGCTGCTACAAAAGCCATCAGACACTCCTCACAACCCTCTCACTCGCGTAGCATGCTCCTACAACCCTCTCGCGACCTACACACTACCCCGCGGCAATGGCAAGCATTATCAGCAGCAGTATGCCGACATGTACTTCGCCAGGCTAGCTCAGTTGAAGCCAGGGTTAGTCCAGCTCGCCACTGATGCCTTTTCCGACTACGAGATCGCCGGGGAAGCGGCAAAAAGAGTCGACCGAGTGCTGGACGTTCGGCAAGGAAACCTGTGCTGGGTCATTGGCACAATCTACATGGAGATGCCTCTGAAGCCCAATGTTTTGGACGACATCGGGAAAGAGCATTGGATCGCCGCTCCTCCACCGCGGGAGAAGTATAATGGGGGTGAAGGACAAGTGATGCTGGAGGATGAGTCGGGACGACTGAAATTGACAGGGAGTTTTCTGCGGAACGTGCTGCTCGTGACGGGAGCAATCGTCGCTGTGTTGGGAACAGAAAATGTGGACGGCGACTTCGAAGTGCTCGATTTGCGGGTACCAGATCTGCCACGACAGCCGGCACGGTGGGAGAGAGACGACGGTGATGCTGCGGTGAAAGGCAAGAAGGTCAGCCAGAAGCGGGGAAAGGCAGGCAAGGTCGCCATCGTCTCCGGCCTCTCGATCAGTGGTGATGCCGGGGATACACTGCTCTTAGATTTGCTCGCCGAATTTCTCCTCGGCGAAGCAACTTCTCCCCAAAACCAGAACGAAGCATCTCAAATCTCACGCCTCATCATTGCAGGCAACGCTCTTGCCCACGGACAGCCCATCCCATCTCGAGAGGATGTCATCGCAGCAAAGAAGTCTGGGAAGCGCACGTATGGCTATGATGCGTCTGCCTACAATGCCGCACCGACCGATCGCCTGGACTCCTACATCGCTTCACTGCTTCCGTCGATCCCGGTCACCCTTCTCCCAGGCGCGACAGATCCCACATCAACAAGTCTGCCACAGCAGCCCATTCATGCCGCGATGTTTCCTCGTTGTCGACCGTACATGTCACATCCCCAAGAGCCAGCTGGCAGCTGGTTCGACTCACTCACAAATCCTGCAGAGTTCGATCTCGATGGCCTGCGCTTCATCGGCGGTGGAGGTCAAACCTTGGATGACGTCTTCAAGTACGTCGATGGCGAAGAGAGACTTGAGATGATGGAGGCAATGCTGCGGTGGCGGTTGTCCGCTCCGACTGCGCCCGATACGCTGCCTTGCTATCCTTTCCAGGATGGAGACCGGTTCGTGATCAAAGAGTGCCCGCATGTCTACTTTGTAGGCAATCAGCCCAAATTTGAGACTACAATCATCGAAGGGCCTCAAGGGCAAGAAGTCACGCTGATGACTGTGCCAAGCTTCAGAGAGACTGGACAGGTCATTCTACTGGATTTGGAGGATCTGAAGATCGAAATTGTGAAGTTTGAAGCATTTTCTGAGTGAAAAGCTGACGGACTTGTGTTGGGCTGATTCTTAACACACGCAACACAACTGTGATGAGCATCTCGAGTGGCCTGGATCGCACGACGCATGTGCCCAGATTGAGCAAAGATTGTTGACCAGTACGCGCAGCTCCGATGGGCTAGCAAACAGCTACGGCAACGCTGCTGGGTCGCGCTGAACAAAAGCACGGAAGCATTTTGGTCCTCACGACTCGAAACGTTGGACCCCAGCTGGCACCGCCACATCTCGCAAGCCAATGGCAAGCTCTGCCCGTCCCGATGCTCTGTCTGATCAGTAGTACAGAGCACGGTGAACGCGTGCAAACATCTCACCGGATTGCAATACTCAGCGAATCATCAGCAATCCTGGCTGCGACACGATCTGAACAGATTGGCACTATTCTCAAACTTCGTGCTCAGCTTGGGTCGAACCGATTCCCATTGAGCGGAGTGAGACATAGAACCGCATGCCGGACTACCACTGCTCGAAGTAGAGACATGTTGCGGTGTCTTCTGCCGTTGCTAGAGTAGTCTTGACTCACTGTCGAAATAGATCTCAGACTGAATCGGGTTTCAGACCAATGACAGACAGATAACACTTCAAACAAGCATAAAGCCGTGGTGTTCGCCAGCAGTCATCCCAATCCAGTCAATTCTCCATTCCTCATCCCTCACACATACTTCTTGCACAACTGCAGCTGGCCTGCGGTTCGATCATCCACTCACTCATCAAATCTCTTCAACAATCAGAACACACGACTTCTTCCACAACCACGAAACAAACCTCTCAAAACCAACACCTCTTCAAACAATTTCAAATCTCCTTTCATGCCTATCTTCCGACTAGATCTCGACCTTCTCAGAATGGCTTTCGTCGCCGAAGAAGAAACCTGCCCCATCTGTCTGGACTCGTTACAGATCCCCATCACCACAAACTGCGGCCACACTTTCTGCTTGGAATGTCTTGGGCATTGGTTCGATCACAGCGACTCCTGTCCTGCTTGTCGCAGGAGGCTGCGGTACTTCACAGTTTGGGCTATACCACGGACGGAATTGGCGGGGCTGGGATTCTGAGCTTGGGAATGCGAGACGGATAATGATGTTGGGTTTGCGAAGCATGATTTGAATGAGTGATGAATCGAAGTCTGAGATTCCAGGGGTTTGAATGATGTTGATTGAATGATGGACGGGGCTGGATGATGTGTTTCGCTGCTGTGTCAGTCGTTGTGGAGTGCGAATAATCTAGGTCGACGTGAATCCCCAAAGGCTGCTCAAGCGGTTTACGAATAAGCGCCGAGGCAGCTATCTCTATCCCTCAAGTATGAACGGGCCACATCCTTATGAGAGATTGTCGGAACAAGATGTAATGAGACAAATGGAACATGCTACAACACAAGGCTTTGCAGCATGGCACTTGAAGTCGCGGGTACGCTTTCGCCGTTATTGATGAAGGGAAACGCGCACAGTGCCAGTCCTCAATTCGTTGTGCTAAGGCCATCGGACGCGGTCGAAAGCCAAGTCGAACGCAACCCGAAGCAAGTGGAAAGAAGCTCCCCAGTATAGCAATCTCGGTATCTCACGCCGTATGCACAGTCCGTCAATGAGCGTATCAGAATCAATTCCAACCTGCATCATGGCTGAGACCATGATCTTGGAGGTGAGACTTCCCTGCTCATTCGATCCCCCAGTCTGCCATATATAGACAACACAGTCTGCACCATATCTGTTTCCACCATCACTTCTTTCCGTACATCCAATCACTCAAAGTTCTCTTCTGCAGCTGGTCTGCCATCTTTGTCTTACCTCTGTCTGCGACCACACCGACGACACAATCACCGAACGAATCAAATCGAGCAACCAAGTCAACACTACCAACAGCAACCGGGTCGCCCACACAAAATGAGCCAATCATCCCGATCATCGATTTTCTCCTCCAGCAGCGCGCAATCCGACAATGAACCCCAAATGGTCTGCACCATCTGTGGAGAAGTCACATCGGACTTCGACAGACTTCCTGACGGCAGTATTATATGCGGCAGTTGTCTTGACCTCTACATGTACCGGTCGTGATTGCGGAGAGCCAAGCGCTGATGGTCCATCGACAGGAGTCTGAAAGCTCATGCTGCGGATTAACGATGGCAGAAAAGCATTCTCTTCACTGCTGACGAGGAAACTGGTTTTTGTACGGGGGAGACGATTTTGATGTGTGTCGTACAAGAGCATCAGCGATATCACGAGGGGATTATGGGAAGAGGAGCTGGATTCCTTGAGAGAAGACCGCGAGTTCAAGACGTGACATCTGACCAATCGATAGGCAGGGCATGGGTAGTCCCCTGATCGTTTGCCTAGATTATCGGGTACTCGACCTCTGTCATGGTTCTCTTCTGGCAAATACAGAACGGCAAAAGGGGTACATCGGCCAGAATTCGGTCTGAACATATTCCAATATTATGTCGTACTATCGATCTGGAGCAGAAACTAGACATTCAAGTCGAGCTGTGTCTCGGCGTTGTTCTTCCTCTCATCCGTAAATGCGTGTACTGTAGCTGCAGCTCGTCGTTGGATGGAACACTCTATTGTCTGCGACTTGAATCTGTATTGAGACAGGAAGTTGTGTTCAGATCCCAAACGGCCCATAGAGACATGATCCAGAACTTATCGCTAGGCCTCATATAATACGATAGCTGGGGCAACACGAATTAACGATCGTGCTCTGAACTCCATCCGAAAGTTAAATACACCGTGCTCAGCACTTCCCAAATCTCTCTTGCACTCCCTTCTCCAGAACACCTAGCTCATACCGTCTGAGCTTCGACATTTGGTTTACAATCCGACAAGCTTCCTTCTTCCGTCCTACGGCTTGCTACACAATCGACCAGAAACTTGCTCACTCTCCTCAAAATGCAACGATCAACCCCCGACGAGTGTTCAATCTGTCTCCGGCCACCACAAGATCCCGTCACAACCGATTGTTGGCACACCTTTTGCTACGCCTGTATAGATCGATGCCTTGATAGCTCGAACTTCTGTCCACTTTGCCGCCGGCTGATCAAGTTTACGATAGACATCGTGGACTTCTTGTGAGGGATCTGAGGTGCGGAGTCTACTTCGCGCAACAGAGATACAGCGGAAAGCCGGTTGGGAGAAGACCAAAAACGTTGCCAGAAGAGCTTATGGAGTTGCGTGTTGCATTTGTACGTTGAGAACATGGTCGTGGTGTTCACAGTATCGACCATATACCGAAGTATCAGAATGTGCTGGCAAAGATGGACCACTTGAGTAGGGTACATCATTTGGTATAATGCGGGTAGTGGTGGTGTTGAAGTGAGAATCAAGAATAATAAAAGATGGTGGAGATGAGATATCTTGTTGATTTGCCCCGCCACAGCAATGTGCCCCAAGCTAGATCCAACGTCGTTCGTCAACTCGGCATCTCTTGCGGCGCTGTTCGAGAGTATAATTCTTGGGGAGGGTATACTTGGTATGCTGGGAGTTTCTCCCGGTGTGCCTGCGGGGTAGAGTTTGGTTGTTGTGCATCAGCAACATCGTATATCCGCTGTTGCTTCCTGATGCGTCGCTTGCGAAGCAGCCAGAACAATAGACCGCCGGCTGCAAGAATCGCAATTCCCCCACCCACACCGACTCCAGCACCAATCGCTACAGTGTTCGCGGACTCTGCTTCGACAGCTGATGTTGGGTTTGATACTACAGCTTGTATCGTCGGCATAGTAGTCGTTCGTACTGCAATAGTTGTGCTTGTAACAGAAGTTGTGGGCGATGATCTCTCTGTGCTGGTTGTAGTCGATGTTGTGCTTGATGATGATGATGACGTTCGGGTCTCATCATCCGATGGTTGAATCCAGAACTGACGAGAAGTGAACCCGCCTATCGTTAGCTCTTCATTTGTGCCTGCCGAGTTGACAGCGCGGAAGAAGTATGGGGTGCTGCAATCTCCATTACCACAGCTGACAGTCCACTGGTAGGATTCGGCCCTGAGGTTCACTGGCACTTGTCAGCTTCCATCAAATGTCGATCTCGAGCTTACACACACCAGCAAGTTGTGTTTGGCCATTCACAGACTCATTGAAAAGGACATAAAGATTCACCGCAGCATATGTTGTCTTCCACGCAACAGTCATTGGTGTCCCAAGAGTATAGATTTGAACAGGACCGGCAGGATACGTGAAGTTTCCAGTCGGGACATCACCCGTGACTGGCGTGTCAGAGAGGTCATCGTAGGGAGCGAGTGCTCCGCCTGGGCTCTGCTGGACTGCGAGGCGAGCACATGTAGCGAGCCAGAAGGCGATGTATTGGAAGCGGAACATGAGAATGTAACAATCTTGCTTTTGAGTGGATAGATCGTAGCTGTTGAGGTAGGGGCAAACGTGAAGGTGGAAGAAGATTTCTAGCGTAAACTCAGCAACAGCAGACCACTGTCCATATTGAGGGATTGATCGCGCGGGTGCCAGCACGCAAAGCGCCGCCAATGCTGTACAGAGCGTGGTACGCCGCAAAGAAGCATAATCGAACGCAGTAAGCGCGGCAGTCGCATTCAGGACAAGGCTCCAGTGGTTGTTCGGCCGACGTTGTATCTTCTCTGACTTCTGAGAATAGCTTGTGTCTCCAGGCTAATCGAGTCTTGCAAGGATACTGAGTCCCACGTTGAGACCGCATTCCCATACGTAGGCCCCGGTCCTTCCGAATCGGCGTCTATGGGGCAAACCAAGTCAAGTAGCCACAAGCAACGGCGTCTGCTGGTCTCCACAAAGCAGTCCATTATTCGCTGCTGCCTCCGGATGTACCTCCTCGCGGATGGCATCATCTCGTCGTTGCTGCATCGTTGCTGGCGGAAAGTACTTCATTGGGCACCACGGTGAAGAAAGTTCATCTTCTACTCGACATCTGCGTCTTCACTTAGCGTCGCTGATTCGCATATTTGGAAGAGAGCTATCTGTGAGGTGATACTTGCCAAGATCTGCGCTCCATGAACAACCAGCAGGCGAAGTTGGCCGACGCATATGACCCCTGCTGCTGCTGTTGCGCGCGCGCGTAAAACAAGCAACCCAGCACATGGCGCGAACTGCTGTGCCTCTCACGGACGTGCATAATGAGACGCTCGTTCTCTTTCCACCTTGGGAATCGACATTTTCTGATGGCGCACAGTGATGTGTTCACCCGAGCAGGCCAACGCTGTTCCAGTGAGGGCTCAATCTCGAAGCCTCGCGCAGAACCAACGTCGCTCATCGAATTCCAGTATTTCAGAAGCATCATGTAAGCAGTTCGCTTCCATGGTCGGGACCACCTTGGCAGCCTCCGGTATTTCTACGGCAGAGGGGCGCCACACCGGAGATCCTTCCGCCTGTCTTGTTAGCCGCCAAGAGAGCTCTCAAGTCTGACATGCGGAGCAATGGGATTGGGGACGCCGGCCGACCCTTGTAGCTACGCCGCAGCGGGCGCTTACGAGGTCTTAGGAACATTCATGTTGACGACCTGTCGAGACTTGATCAAGTCTTGAAAACCGGCCATGCAAGTACAACAGAATACTGCAACTCAACTTTGTTTCCATCGAGGCTGCTTTCGATATTGACATTTACTTTTCGGACGAGCAAGGATGAAAACTCACCATTCCAAAGGCTCAAGTTTGTCTTTTCCAGAAAAGACCTTCGACTTGGCAGATGACCTACGACAAATCGTGGCAGCTCGGCCTGTTCGCACGCGGGTTGTTGCACTTGCCTTATTTTTACTTTGCATAATATTCTGGAGCTCTGGGGCGATCGGGCGATTGCAGAACCGGCTGGACCATTCTGCTCTTCGATCCGAGGATTCGAGGCCTCCTGGATGCTGGGACTTTCCAGTCGCGAATGACACCTTGCTGGTTATAAAGACGGGCTCTACAGAGTTGGAGGACAGGTTCGCTGTCCATTTATCAACAACGTTGCGATGCGTTCCCAATTATATGATCTTCTCTGATCTTGAGGAAACCTACCACGGCGAACACATATATGATACGCTTGATTCGGCAAGCCCAGAGATTCGAGACAACAACAAAGATTTCGAGTTATACCGCCGTTTACAGAGAGGCGGCCGTCAAGTACTTGATCCTTCAGAGCTAAGCGGCACTCCCGAGGCTTTCAGCAACACTGGCGGCAACCAAGAAAACGCTGGCTGGAAGCTCGACAAGTGGAAGTTCATGCCCATGGTTAACAGAACTTTCCACGAGTATCCAGATATGAAGTGGTATGTCTTCATCGAGGCCGATACATTCCTGCTCTGGACGATGCTGCAACAATACTTGTCTCGTTTGGATCACACCAAGGCCATCTATGCTGGTAGCCCGTCTTTTATCGCCGACGAGCTGTTCGCACACGGAGGATCCGGCTTCATTCTGTCACAACCGGCATTGAGCTCCGTAGCCACGTACTATGCGTCTCACAAACCTGAGATTGAGCAGCTCACCGAAGGACACTGGGCTGGTGACTGCGTCCTAGGCATATTCACTCGTAGGTCTGGAGTGCAATTTCATAACATCTGGCCGCATTTCCAGGGAGACTATCCTGGGTTACTGCCGTACGCTCGAGCGGATGGACGGCCAGTCATGGACGACAAACTTCGAGAATGGTGCTATCCAACCGTATCGTACCACCACATGTCGTCCGATATGATTCGCGACTTCTGGCATTTTGAACAAGAGTGGGCGAAAAGTCACGACCAGGTTAGTTCCAAAGTGTCGTATCCAATGGTTGCTCAGCTGACACCTGAACAGACTGAAACACTGCTCAACAAAGATGTCTTCAGAGATTTTGTAATGCCTCAGATGATGGAAGGGAAGGCAGACTGGGATAACCTGAGTGATGCGGAAGTAGCTGATGCTAAGAGCGTTGAGGAATGCCGGACCAGATGCGAAGTGCAGCCCGATTGTAAGCAATACTCATTCGAAACAGCGACTAGGAAGTGCAGGACACGGATCGACCCCAGGCTGGGCAAGCCAACGAATGGAACGATATCGCACTGGCTGTGGTCGAGAGTACAGCATTTTGAACAAGACATGGCGCCGTGTGGTGCAGAGAGCTGGAGAGATCCATATGTGTGGCCATGAAGGAATGAAGGCTTACTGATCTTTGAATGCACTCCATGAATCCAACCTTTTTGATTTATCTTTTTGTTTCCCACATGGATGAGATGGCTGAGTCCCTGTCATCTTCCGTGCAATAGAGCGGTATGATCGCTTAGGCTTCCCTCTTCAACGGCTCCAAACTGCTTGCTAATAGCGAGATTTATGTTAGAAGCTGTAGTTCAAGCTTCGGAGTATCTCGCGAGACACAAGACCTTGGTCGTTCCACCGCGGACCAGATTCGAAGCATCTCAGTTTGCTCTAATAACTTCTCGGCCAGTCCAGAAGGACCTCACAGATGTCTTAGCAGGCAATTAGGGAAAGCAAACAATGATGGCCACTTTGTACAACCTCCATGAACAGATGGAATCCAACTCGATCACCACTTGAAGACTCATCATGGCTCTTCCAACTCAGCAGGAATTCGAGGCGGACTTGGCCAATGCCACACCTCCAGTCATACAAGAGACCGACGAATGCCCCATCTGCATGAACAGCTTCACAAACCCAGTCCGCACTCCATGCAACCACGATTTCTGTAGCGCCTGCCTACTTCAAGCTTTCCAGCGAACCAACACGTGCCCACATTGCCGCCGAAGGTTATTCCAAGCCAGACCATTTGATCCGGCAGAGGACCAGTACGATGTTGGCCGACAGCGCAGCGGTGACGAAGAAGTAGAAGAGGGTGAATTAGAAGAAGAAGAAGAAATCCCAGATTATGAAGAGGAAATGGCATATGCGAGCGACGACAGCGACATTCGAGCGAGACATCCGCTGGCAGGGGAAGAGGGTTATATTCCGCGAGACTGGGCTGTTGGATCGATGTCACGAGATGAGCAGGACTGGCCCGTCGGATCGATTGAACGAGACGAGCCTGGATGGAGGAATGATCGTGTGGGAGATGTTGCGACCGAGGGGCAGCCTGGCGTGGTTGGGGAAGAAGCAGTTGAGGAGGATCGGAGATGATTTGGCAACGAAGATTCTTTGTGGAAGTCATATCGATTATGCTTCAGCTGGCGCTGGTGTCGTCGATTGGCTTGGGCTATGCACGTCCATGGCATGCATTCTTGAGCGGAAGAATTGAATGGGATAGCAACGTCATCCCTTGTGGTCCTCAGCAAAGCGCGTGTATTGTGACCTTCCACATCATACGCGCAAAAGTAGCACGTATCTCCGTGCTGTGCTGAGATTGTGACCTTCTCTGTAGGCAAACATCCAAGTACCGGAGGAGCTGTCACATGGATTGTATAACTGACCAGGCTGCGTGAGCAATCCAGCTGCCATCAGCGACATTTATATCATCCAGCGGAGATAGTTCTTCGTGGTATCCTCATCGTCGTCACGCAAGACCACCAATTATTGAGCTTTCAACCAAGCTACCACGGCTCAGGGTCAACTGTATCAGCGATACGGTGCACCAGCATAAGACTTACTCGGTGTCTGCACACTCCAAGATGACAAGACCAGGTCGCCAGATGTTGCGTGCAATCTGGCTTGCCATGCTGGTGCTGGGCACCCTTTGGTATTTCAAGGGCCAGGGCTCCAGTACCGGCCTCGATCTATCTTTGTTCGACGATGAGGCAGCCGTCCAGCCATTCAATTCCCGGATCGTGTCTACTGACATCGCAAAGCGAGTGTCGAAAAGCAAGTTGAGCTTTGATGAGTGGGCTACCCGTGGACGCAGACTCATTGAGTACATGGAAGAAAGCGATCCGCAAAAACTGTGCCAGAACATGCTGAGAGATGGCGTGCTGTCCGATGCCCAAAAAGCCCAATGCACTACACAGAGTGTCTTTACCAGATACGAAGAACTTGCAACCAACGGATGGGAGAAGAATCCTCCAGGATACTGGCACCCCGACTCTGTCACTCTCAACGCACAAGTCTTGGTGCAGGACGCGTTCCAATCCCTGGGCATCTCTACATCCATACGCACAGCTCAGAACCCAGGAGGCAGCAACGAGGGAGTGAGCTGGGAGCAGACGAGCGTTGTCTTCAACGGTAAAGAAGTCTGCGAGGTAAGATGTACTTCTGGAAGCACTATGCGCTGGGTCTGACTCCGCTCCATAGGCAACAGAGGCGATCTACAAGGTGATCTATAACACCAAAGACGGCGTTATGGTCGGAGTGTACATGGATAGTCCGACGGAGAAACGCAAAGAAATGTATACCTCGGATTGGAAACTTGATCCTGAGCTTGCGATTCCTGACCTGCACTTGGCAAGTGATGTCGTAAGTCTGGAGTACGCCGAACAGTGTCGTCGAAATGGAGAACGACCGCAGAGCTTTCGTTATTACTTCAGCGACCAGATCAACAATGACGATACCCTGAGCATTATCAATGTCGTTTTGACGAACAAGGGCTATCCTGCGACTCCTGTTGATGGATTTGGCAACATCGTAGCCAGACCATGGTGATTGGCAATTCAGTCTTGCAAAATGACATGCAGCTAATTGCTAGCAGGTCTCAAGCTGCGATATTCGATCGGTACAATAATGCGGACACTCAGAGTTTCGAAGCCTTGGTCGGAAGTCCGCTCGGAAGAAAGATTGCGTGGATGCTCATTCAGCATGCAGACTTGTTCGGAGCCAAGCATATCAGGAAAATCTCGGTCTGGAGATCGGACGCCAAGGACGCTCGGGGTCGGCTGAAGAGTCTGCTCTTCGAGATAGCAGATGTTCGCAGAAGATGATGCGGGACTTCCACTGGTTGTTACCAGAGGCTGTAGTCGTAGCTGGGGCGGATGTTCTAGGTGAGCGACATTGTAAGAGTACTTGTATCATTGTCCGAGCAGAGCCAGGTAGAACAAGCTGAAGAGACATGCAATGCATTCGGGGTAGTTATATTATTTTGCCGCACGTTGATCATTCCGCAGTATGACATCGATATCGGATTCGATGGCCTAAGCCCGAGACAATGTTACGGCCGGGTCACAGCATCTTGAGAGAAGCTCGGAGTTGCCGAACGGTCGCGGTAAGATTGTGTCAGAATAGGAAGTGCATCGCAGATTGGGTCCGTAGCCTACTCGATTCGCTCCTTGATAGGACCGTGAGTGCCGCCAAGCTGGTTGTAGTGCCTATTCTGCCGAACTGGAGTACAAGTCATCCAGCCATTAGTGAACAAGTGGGACTATTGCCAAGAGAGCTGCCGAATAGCCCAAATGACATGCCTATGATTCAATCTTGGCAGCAAGCCCTTCCAACTCTTTCAAAAGAGCGTAGAACGGGCGACGCTGACATGTAAGAACTTTTGCGCAAAAACCTCACACCATGTCGATGTCTGGAGCACCGTCGGCGGTGCGAGCCATTTTTGCATTAGACGTAGTGACAGCGTCGCTGGCCTTCATCTGCTTGGTCATTGGAATCCTCCTCACCATACGCGCCTTCGGATTGCGATCGAGAAGCCGGAACTACGACAGAGTGTCGCGAGATACTCCACGCCACTCGCCTTTGGGAACTTTCGCATTTCTGCTCCCTGGATTGGCGCTCCTCTGCCTGGCGTACAGCATCGCGGCTGCAACGACTGCACTGCAATACGATGCTTCCAGTCCGATCAACATCACTCCAGCATATGCATATTACTACTCGTCGGCTTCGGAGTCCTCACAAGCATCGAGAGTGACGAGCAGACTCTCATTCGTCAACGCCTTCGCTCTCATCCTTTACTCCACACTCTTGACAGCAGCCGTATGGTTGCATTCGAGCCATGTGACATCGAATGGACTGGGAATCGGAGCACCTTCGCTGCGCGACTGGATCTGGAACATGTTCATCCTGGCTGCGATTCTGGGTACCGGACTGGCTTCGTGGGGCCAAGCCATATCAGTGAGAGAGAGTGCGCAAGGCTACAGTTCTGTCATGCAAGCGGATTCGACATCGAGAGCACTGTACGCAGCTTTCAGGTGTACAGTCATTGCTGCATCTACGAGTGTGAGCGTGGAAGTAGCCGGAAGATATCGAGAAGTCAACGCCAATGGACCGCCGTCTGTGAGTCGCTGTTCAGATAGACGCCCAAGTGACTGTGCTAACTTCATCCCAGAACTCCGGAAGGCCCATCCTGGCTCGACTGGTCTTCTATGCAGTCCCAATCTGGGCGGTGCGGAACGTGTTCCTCATTGTGGACATCGCGATGGCTTACACGAGTGCGGAGAGCTGGTCGATTGCAACGCGGCAAGCTATCGCCTTCCTCTTGATCATCTTCGGCCAGATAGCAGACCTTGCCATTTTCGTAATTGTCACATGGGGTGCTTGGACCATGGGCAGAGTGGCGAGATGGTAGATGTGTAGATTTTTGCTCACTGAAGCATCATCCTGCGCAGATTGTATGTTAGCCGGCAGGCGTTTGGCATCTTGACTTCTTTCCTCGATCCACGTTTTCCCGGGAGCCATAGTTGGCTACGTCGCGAAATGAGCCAGTATTTGAAGAGATCCAGCAGGGCCATGGTTGATCCATCCTTCTTTCGCAATTCCCCATGGTGTGGAGCAAAACGTGGCTGGCTCTGTGAATTGCTCCGGGCGGCAAGCTTGTTGGGCGATGCTTGTGCGTTTGAAAACATGTTCTCTTGAGACATGGCACACCAGCTCTCCGCAAAAGAATGGGTGATGGTGCTCTTGCATGATTGGAAGTGGGAAAGACGATGGAGCGAGGAGTCTGGAAACCATCGAGGCTCAATGCCAAGCCGGGCCCAAAGCTGCTGCGCAGAATGCATACCGCCAAGTATACAGGTTGCACTTCGCCAGATGGATCAGCTGTCCCATTCACGGTGGCATGATCATCCAGAACCCCATCGAAGGTTCGCCAGCAGCTCTCATCGCTGGAAGTGCTCCCTTTCAGCCTGAATCCTTGCCGGTCTCACGAGGAGTGCGCTTGGCCCGCGTGAGCTTCGAATTGTGCTCCATCAGACGCCCGTCCATCTGCTGCCACCGAATTGCAGAGAAGCTGCAATATTTGGGGCCCTCCAGCAAACGTGTCGCAGACTTACTGTTGAGAATTGGCGTTGCGGACCACGACGGCCTTGACGCCCTAAAGCTGAACATATCGTCGCAGCTTCAAGCATTCTGGTACGCGTCACGCAACCCGAAACGTGCAATGCGTTAGACACACCGAATGCTTCATCAATGACGCCCTCCGCACGGAGTTGCAGATCGCCATGTGAAAGAGCAGAAGAAGGGGCCACCTCCGCCATCATCGTGAGTGGTTGATCCCCAAACCCACATCAATGACGTCTACGAACCGCACAAACCCAATCTCTCCCAAACTCACACAAGCACACCACGCAGCAAGACAACCAACAGAATCTTCCAATTCGTACACTTCGGCCCTTTCTCTGCAGTTCTCCAACGCGCTCTGCAAGCCTTTCCTTGCCGAGAGCTTGAAGCTCCTGCAGCGGCATATGACGCCGACGTTCCACGCCTGAGATCTCACCAGATCTCATTAACCTGGAGCTTAGCTCTACCCTCCCAGCCAATCATACTCTCACATTTCAGACGATCGATCTTAGTCGCACACTCTTTGTCTGAATCGACAGTTCCAGATCTGACGTCCTCGTTGGACAAAGCGTGCTCCTCCACGTACGCTCACGCAAGCCACATGGATGCTCCCGTCGTCTTCCATGACGATGCCCGCTCCCGCCGGCGTGAAACCCAGATATGGCTTGGAGTCTGTGATCTAGATGATCCTAGTCGATCTCGAGGGTGTGGAGTGTACATATATCCTCTTGACCTGCACCGCTCTTCGTCAGCCAAGTTGAAATAACTCCACCACAACGCAAACCTCCCGCCACCCATTTCCACCCACCACCAAACAACAATGTCTCCACCAAACAAAGTCGAAAAGTCCGGCTCCATGGACTTCGGCCACCGCAAAGGCTCCGGCACCATGTTCGCCGGCCTGCAACAATACAAACGCGAAGACGGGGATGCTTCACAGAAGCGAAGGGAGAGTTTGCAAGATATCCAACCCAAGGGGGGTTTCATCTCAAACTTTTGGAATAGGTATGTTAGATACTGATTGCGAGGTTGAGCACGACCGGGCATGGAGTGGTGTTGTTGAAGGTGAAGGAGTTTTTTGAATTGATTTTTGGTGTGATCTAGCACGTTCAAGCATGGGCCTTCGAAATGAGGAGTTGAGGACGGTACGAGGATGAATATGGGGATATAATCTGGTCATGATGGGTGTATGATTAGCGGGCATGGAGTTGAGCGACATGGGGCAACATTGAGGATATGATGTATGGAGACTGGATTCTTTCATGTTGGAAGCATCGTTCAATGCATGAGCATGTACTTCAATACCAAACCATCGAAGCTTTGATATCATCAAAGAAACCTTCTCTCCGCTTCTCCTAATACCGGACTTTCCAGCTCTGCACCCCGTCATCGCTTGTACAGTTACCCATTGGCAACAGCGCACATGCCACCTAGCAAACCAGAGTACCTGGACTATGCTATGCTTGCGTGACCTTCCATGGCAGACGAATGCTGGCACGTACTTGGCCTGTATGCAACAATCACCACCGTCATGTTCGAACTCTCCTTCCGCCGACGAGGTCCCTCAATCATCAAGGACGATAGGCATGCCCTCAGACGCACCCAATCCTTTCGAGCTGGGCGTTTCGCGCAGCATCTCCCTCACAAAGTCTTCGAAGCCTTGGCCATTCATCTCAAAGAACGTGACTTTCTTCGCGCGGCGTGCCAAGTCGATGAATGGCTTCAAATCATTGACGAGTGAGAAAGTGCGAACAGGTGGAGACAACAGCAGCACCGACCGATTCTTTCGATCGAGGTTGTAGTTGTGAAACCAATTTCTGTGGTCCAGCGTCAAGTTCAGATGCGTTAGATCCAAAGATTGCAATCGTACGCCTAAGGTGCCCAGATGGTTGGCCTGGAATCTCCTCGTATCTAGAGCGATGTTCACAGACCGAATCTGCTTCTTGGTATCTGCTGACAATTGCTGCAGTGCAGAGTCCATGCTTGCTGGGCCGAAGCGGAAGGTGTTGGCGCCGTAGAACACTGGAGAAGCCTCTTGACGAATTTGCTTGCAGGTACAAAGCAATGCCAAAAGCTTACTCGAAGGCCCAAGGTGCAGAATGAACTCATTCTGTTTCCCGTAGAACGGATCGTCGATTATCGTCTCGGAGGGCTCTTCTTCATCGAAATCATGTTGAGCAAGCTGCAATGGGAGCCACTCCTCTCGAAGAAGCTGCAGCTCGGACGTACAGTCGAACTGATAGTCCTGGTGGAGTCCGTCATCAGAGATTTTCAAGACCAACTCGTAAATTTTGTTGCGCAGCTCAGCGGATAGATCGAGGAAGCGGAACGTGCCTTGTCGCGCGGGCTCGAGCCAACGTCCCAGGTACACTCTTGCGGGGCCTGTGGCAATGCCATACTCGTAATGATCTGCACGACTCGTTATGTGAACAGGCAGATCAAACTCGCGCAGATCCCGAGGGAAGCCGTTCACAACCTCACTGCAATGACCGAACTGCTTGCCCGTACAACGTACAAAGCTCCTGAGCGCGCGATCCTTATAGTAAGTGAAGGTGTTCAAGATCCAGAGATGAATGTCGTCGGCCCTTAGGGGATAGTCGCTGTAGATCAGCGCGAAGACAGACAGCTCACCAGTTGTAAATGGCGGCCTCTCTGCGCTGTCGCGCCATGGTGCGATCAAGTCCGAAATTTCGTCGCGAAGCTCCATAATCTTGCTGGTTGTGTTTTCCATGGGCTCGACCTCGAGTTGCGCTGCAGGTGTTTGCGAATCTGAAGCAGTGGTACTGGAGTTGAGCTCCATTTTCGGCTGTACTGTGTGCGACCAAGAAAGTGAAGCTAGTACGAAGAGTCGACTGTTGATGAGCAAGACTTGAGGTGTGGTGAATAACAGAAAGATGCTACCTTCGGCTCGCGCCGCTGAGGCAGGGAGTACCCGTTGAAGCTGAAGGTAAAGGTAAAGTGAAGGAAACGGCAAAGGCCCGAGGGAAGTCGCGACGCGCTGAACTTCTAAAGCACAGACAAGAACCTTCACCACAACTGAGCAAATCACGTCTCGGTGTCCTGATCCTCCTGTGAATGCATTTGACGATCTCGAAATTTTTTTTATCAAGCTTCACTTCTTCACATTCTTCCTCTGGTCCTCCCTTCCTTGAGCCAATGCAAGTCGTACCGCTTCGCTTCGCTACCGTCTCTGATATTGCAGGTGCGCAACTGTTTCCGTGTTCGGGTATTAGCTGTCAGTGGAAAGGTTTGCCGAAGAGGTCTATGGAATGCCTGGCTACGCCAATGTGCAGGAGTGTCGTCGGTTTCTCAGGTAAAGAGATGCTGGTATGCTGTCTTCCAGTGAAGGCCATATGCAGCCTGCCTGTAGTCCAGCTCGGCACAAGCCGATGCCCCAGCTGCCTCAAGAAAGAGACGCCTCTTCGCAACCGCCCCTGCACCATTTCTGGGGCCATGCTGCGCCGTACAGCCTTTCACCCCTTAACAACGCAGTGCACCCAGTTCCCCTGCTTCACAGCAGCAGAACAAGTTTGTTGAAGACCCAGCTGGCCCATGACAAATTCTCTAAAGGCTGTTCCGCCCCAATCGAAAATTTCGATCTTTTCTGCACGCCGCGCTAAGTCCATAAAAGGCTTCAACTCTTCGACCATTTCGCAAGTATCGACCTGCACGGGCTTCTTGCCGCTAACTTTACCTGTTCTGTTGTAAACAGATCTTCGCACTTGGTTGTACTGTTCGAACCAGTGACAATGGAAGAAACTGAACTTCAGTCGCTTTGGAGCAAGGTGATGCAGCATATTCCCGACTGGCGCCATGTCATAGAACGTTGTGGCGTCTGCGCCCAGGCATATGTGGAGGCACTGTATTTGCTCCTGGGCACGGATAGGCATCGCCGACAGTGCAATGTGCAAGTCCTTGAGTGTATCAAAGCGGAAATTATTGACTCCGTAGAAGACTGAAGATGATTCTTGGTGTATTTTCTTGCAAGTGCGGAAGAGCGCTAAAAGCTCGCTGCAAACCTGGTTTGATACGAATTGCTCGCGGTTCACCTCGGAATAGGGATCGACCGTGTGGTCGTACTTCTGGTCTCCTGGAATGAGCTGGAAATGTTTGTCTTCGGAAAAGTTGATGCCCACGTCGGGGAAACGCAGCACCTTCTCGTATATCTTGTTTCGCAATTCCGGAGAAAGATCGAGGAAGCGAAATTTGCCTGCGCGCGCTGGTTCGAGCCAGCGTCTCAGGTACACTCGAGCGGCATTCGCAGTAATGCCATACTCGGAGGGTGTCCGGTAAGTGGGCCAGCGGACTGCTGTGATGGTAAGCGGCAAATCAAAATCCCGTAAATTCTCAGGAAATCCCTCTACGACTTCTTCCAAGATCACACGCTTCTGCAGGCGCTGCAGCGCCGAAAAGTATGCAAAAGCGTTGATGGCAAGCTTGCCGTAGTAGCTGAACGTGAGCAGTATTGAGGCATGTATCTCTGCGACAGACAGAACATGCACATCTCTATCCGAGTCGTCGTGCTCATTGCTGTGGATCATTGCGAACACTGCCATTTCGCCAACAGTGAATGGTGGCTTCTTCCCACAATGGCGCCATGGTGCAATCAACTGCCAGATGTCTTTACGAAGAGACATGACTCGACTGACTTTGAATGCTTCGAACTCGGCCTCTTGTAGCTCTGGCGCGGCAGACTCACGCATAGCTGGAGCATCAGTGTCAGTCGCCGGCTCCATGGCTGGCCGTAATGTCGCGGTCGCAAGAGTGATGCAAATACTTGAAATCCGACTGTGCCATGTGCCAGCACGGCATACTTATGGCAAGCCCAGTTGCACTTAAGCATGCAAGGGATGCGGGCAGAAGCTTTGCCGAACAGGCAGCAATCAGAAATGAGAAGCAAGGTGCAAGTGAAAGACGGCGAGTGGAACGTCTGACTGCAGACCGGTCATTCGTAAGAAGACCTGTTCTGGACGCCTATGGCCTGGTCGTTGCAGGCCTTCATCGCTAGAGCCATCGCGGCGTGCTGGCATCTCCCATGGCGTTTCCAGGCCATAATGTTGATATGCCAATTTCCTAGGGCTGCAGACGTATGTGCTACCGGAAGGAGTACCGCATGCGCATGCGCCGTGCTCTCTGTTATGCGATGGTGATCGATGGTGATGACTGCTGAGATGAAGTCGAAGGAGGAAGAGGAGCGAAGGTCGAAAGCGGCAGTGGAGCGACGCGAAAGTGACGCGGCCAACCGTGCTTGCCAGGATGATCCTCGCACGCACAGACACGTCTGCTCTCAACCACTTCACCCGTTCCACGCGTACACCAAACTCTGTCTTGCAATTCACCGACACCATCAAAATCGACCTCACTACTGTCAGAATCAGAAATACTCACTTCCAGGTCAGGTTCAGTCGGCATTGAAAATGAAACAGCTCAGCGCGCCAAGAATGTGGCGATCAGCCCACCAATCAATGCCGCCCGACGTAGATCCATCTCGTGTTCTCTTCAGGAGACGAGTTCGCGCTCGTGAAGACAGCATTCCAACCTCAAAACCTAATGCTCCATCACCTTAGGCATTCCTAGTGCGGCTGTGTGGTTTCCATTCATTCTCGGATCATGTTCCTCTCCAGAAGCCGCGTCGGCACGTATGCCGTGGCTGTCATCCTGTTTGTTATCTTCGTCTTACATCTCAGGCCATCCGCATTTTCGTCAGGAGCTGGTCGATACAGACGCCCAGAGAACTCAGATCCAAACAAATTCAGCTGGAGCAAGCGAAAGGAGCGATATCCTGCACTGTATCAGCATGTGCTTCCCGCAGCTGGATCCTTGTCCAGCCAGATTCCAAGAATACAGTATGATTTTCGACAGCAATTTCCCTCCAGAGAAGAGGTTGCCACGACCAGACAACGCTTGACCCAGATCAAATCCGCCATGGAGCGATCCTGGGACGCGTACAGACGACGCGCTTGGCTTATGGACGAATTGGCGCCTGTGTCTGGCGGCAACAAGACCACGTATGGCGGCTGGGCTGCCACTCTTTGCGATTCACTGGACACCCTATGGATCATGGGCATGAAGGCAGAATTCAAAGAAGCTGTTGATGCTATTGCGGCGATCGACTTCACTGCAACCACAATGGAGACCATCAACCTCTTCGAAACCACAATTCGCTACATGGGCGGCTTCCTCTCTGCCTACGACCTTTCTGGAGACAGGAGGCTACTCGATAAGAGTCTCGAGCTTGCCGATATGATCTACGCCGCCTTTGACACACCAAACCGTCTTCCCATCTTGCGCTGGGACTTTCACGCAGCTCGCGAAGGCAAAGAGCAAGAATCGCCTGAAGACATCATTCTCGCAGAGATTGGGTCTTTGTCTCTGGAGTTCACCCGCCTGTCTCAAATTACCGGCGACTCCAAATGGTACGATGCAGTCGCGAGAATCACAGACATCTTCGAGGAGCAGCAGCAGAAGTCTTCGCTTCCAGGAATGTGGCCTTTGAAAGTCAACGGCCGAGCAGCAGACTTTGCTTCAGGAAACACATACTCACTTGGCGCCTTCTCTGATTCCATGTACGAATACCTGCCGAAGATGTTCGCACTGCTTGGCGGATCTTCGCAGTACGCAAATATGTACCTTGCCGCAATGGATACTGCAATCAAGCATGTTATTTTCAGGCCCATGATCAAAGACAACAGAACTGAGATCCTGGCTTCTGGCACGACTCGTGTAAAAGAGGGAGGGGAAATCGAGCTCCAGCCGGAGTACCAGCACCTCGTCTGCTACACTGGAGGAATGCTCGCGCTTGGTGGCCGACTTTTCAACAACCCACATCATATTGAGATTGGCGAACAACTCACAGATGGGTGTATCTGGGCATATCGCCAATTTCCCTGTCTCATTATGCCCGAGAACTCGCAACTCGTCCCTTGCCCTACCGACAAGCCCTGCAAATGGGATGAGAAGGCCTGGCACGACGCGGTCGTGAAAGACTCCGCCATTTTCGATAATATGGGCAAAAATGCCACAACACTGATCAAGGAAATGCACATACCTCCCGGCTTCTCCACGATTCGCGACGCCAAATATCATTTGCGCCCGGAGGCGATCGAGAGCATATTCCTGATGTATCGAATTACCGGAAACAGCACTTGGCAAGAGAAAGGCTGGGAGATGTTCCGAAGTATTCACGCGCACACTCGTACGAAATTTGCGCATGCTGCGATCGAGGATGTTACGAATAGGACTGCGCCGAAGATGGACAACATGGAGAGCTTCTGGACCGCGGAGACGTTGAAGTATTTCTATCTGTTGTTCGACGAGCCTACTCATATCAGCTTGGATGAGTATGTGTTCAATACTGAAGCCCATCCTCTCCGACGGCCTAGCACTGGCAAGACTGGCTGGTTCTCTTGGAAATGATTGTCGCGGACGTCGACGTGGAGCGCTGAGACTCGGCTCCCGCAGTGACCGACCTTGTGATGCTTGGTAATGTTCTCATTGACGATGGAAACCGCTCGTCGACGTCAATGGATGTACGAAATCCGATTTCTTGTGGTATCAGCGACGACTTAAGCTTTCCAGACGTCACGGGATGTGTGAAGCACGAACGCCAGCGTGGGACCTTGCGAGGAGCTGGAGCGAATATATGTGGAAGAGCTGCTCGCGCTCATACGCGCGGCCGACCACGTATTCTGGACGACCTGCGTCTGCATTGGCTACAGTCGTCCTGCATGACCTGCCGCATTCGGAATGAAGGACTTCAAAGCTTGGCGAATGGGACAACGCGACTCACCCATGTGTCTGCCGATCATCCCGCTTCATGAACCACTTGTGCGAGCTTGCACTACTTTCCTGCAGCTTCTTTGACACAAGCATGGCGATCAATGCTTCTTCTGCCCAAGCAGCCGAGATGGCTTGTAAAGTAGGGCAGGCTGAACGGCATCTTGCGCACCTCACTCCATCACGGCCGAGCTACATATATCAACCAGCCCTCGCTCATGAACTTTCGCTGCCTGGAATTTCGCTTCAAGTCAGCAACGATGAAGTCTTTTCTGGCACTCCTGGCCCTTGTGCCAATGGCCCTCGCAAAGCCGACAGTCTACCTCATCCGTCACGGCGAGAAGCCATTGAGCGGCAACGGCCTCAATGCACAAGGAATGCAGCGAGCGCAATGTCTCCGCAACGTCTTCGGCGCAAGCTCCAGCTACGACATCGACTTGATCTTGACACAAGATTACAAGAAAGGTGCATGACCTCACACCATGTCTCCTCTCTGCGAGTACCTGACTGTCTTAGATGGCTCCCGCAAACGCCCTTATGACACCGTGAAGCCACTCGCCGACGACCTGGGCCTCAAAATCGACCACTCCTGCGATCGCGATGACCCGAAATGCGTCAAAGACAAAGTCAACAACTACTCCGGATCAGGCAATGTTTTGATCTGCTGGGAACATGATGCTCTAACAGATATTGTGGAGAAGCTGGGAGATGACAATGCGCCAAAGTATCCTGGTGACAGATTCGATCTGATCTGGACAGATCCGCCAAAGTACACGAGCATCACAGACGAGTACAGCGAGAATTGTCCAGGATTGGATAATTGAAAAGTCAAATCATTTAGCGAAAACCAGGCGACAGTGAGAGAGATCTTCAGAAACAGAATCCATACAAAGCAAATGATCTATAGTGCTCAAACAACAAATTCCAACATCATTTCCAACGACGTCTCATCACACATCTACTTCTTCTCATTCACCTCCACCTTCTTCCTATCCCAACCCCTCTCATGACACCACCTCTCAACCTCCTTATCCAACTTCTCATAACTATCATAAACATTCTCCATCATCTCATTCACAACCTTCCCTTGCGCCTCCCTCTCCTCCACCGAAATCCCCTCCCAAACCTCCCTCATCAACTCCATAACAGCAAACAACTGATTCGGCAACCACGTAACAATCGGACTTCCCCCCGTAGCCGTAGGATGCGCCGTGCGTCTCATAATATACTCTCTCGCAAACAACCAATGTCTCCAACGGAAAGATCGGACATGTTCGAGGAGGCGGAGGTATAAGATTCGGGTTTGGAGGTCTTTGAGGCAGTAGGATTTGATGGAGAGTTCGGAGGAGCGGGAGAGGACGTAGGAGAGGAATTCGCGGTGGGGTTTGGGGCGGTAGGAGCGGAAGTCTTTGAGGATGTTGGTGAGTGGGTTGGAGGGCATGGGGATTTGGAGGAGGTGGTCCAAGAGGGGGATTATGGCGTCGTTGGCGCCGGATTCGCCGCGGAAGTATTGCGGGGTGTTGTTGGCGTGACCGGAGTAGATTACGCCGTTGGGGAAGAAGGGTTGGTTCTGTGGGGTGGTGTTAGAATGTGGGGTGAGAGGGTGGGAGTAGGGAGGAGAGGCTTACTGTGATGCCGAAGATGAAGGTGCGGTAGCTGATGTAGTCCTTTGGCTTGCTTTGATTCCACATTCCTTCCATTGAGTCTTCGATCACACGCATTGTGCTGAGGAGGTGGTCGAATGCATCGGCCACTGTGGATACGCCAGTGTCTGCTGCTACGGCATCGAGGAGCTGGACGGCGCCTTGTACAAGTGGGCCAGTGTGCTTGACCATGTCGACGTGAGTGAGGATAAAGCCAGCTTCGGATGAACAGGCATCGAGACCCTTCTCGAAGGCACGGATCAAACGGAGGTTGCTGTATTCCGAAGCACCGATGGAGGCATTGACAAAGCGGTAGTTGAACAGAGCGTAGCCAGCAGCGTAAGCCAGGAAGGCCGGGACATCAAGCCTGTACGCACGTTTAGTGACGAGGTAGGAGTATGGGGATGAGTTGAACTCACATCTTGGCACACTTCACAAGTGGACCAGCAATCTCCTTTGGCAGAACAGGTCGGCCCATGCCATAGGTGCCATCCTTATTCCACTGTTCCCAGCATGGCTCAAGCAGATAAGCAGATGCCAAGAAGGAGTAGTCTCGGAAGGCGGCAGAGACAGCGACCAGGTCTGGCTTGCCATCGGCAGCAATCAGGTTATCAATCTCATGATTGAGATCAGGCAGCGCCTTCTGCTCGTCAATGGTGGGGCCGAGTTGGTAAGTGGCGAGCAGACCTGGTGTGCCGTCTAGCTTCTCAATTGGCATGTCATCGCAGAGCTTCTGGAGAGGGGCGAAGACTGGTGGAAGTTCGACTAGTGGTGTCTGAAGTGGAAGGAAGCCTGTTCATGTTCAGTACATCGGTATCGATGTGGCTTGGGGTGGATAGCTACCATTCTGTGTGGTGATGGTGAACGGGTCAAGCGAGGAGGAAAGTGTAGCCGGATCATCATGGATATGTGGGAATACAGCCCGAGTGTCAGACACTCTGGGCTCATCTTGCGCAGCATTGCTGCTGAGGTACGGGCTCATGGTTGTCGTGAAGTGTGAGAAGAGTGATGGTTAAGGTGCAGAGGTCTTGGCAGTAGGTCTCTGAAGAATGACCAGAACAAAGCAAACGGCCAAATCTGCTCGAATGTGAAAGTTGAAAGAGAGGAAGAGAGTGAAATCTGGGGAGAACGCGCGAATATGTATTGTGTGGCCGGAATTCTTGCGGCCTTTGCATTATCTCAGAAAAAGAGTTTCGTGATTTGCCATTGGTCTGGCCGGAACAGTTCCATCGCGAGAACGTAAAGGAAATGCCATCGTTTGACCGCCTGACCCGAAGGCGGGGGTCCTGTAGATAAGGATGAAAGTGAACACGATCAAGCATGTCCAACATGTACCTACCGTAGCAGCAACGACCAGTCGGTGATGCCATGGACATGTGTGAGGATGAGCGGCGGCATGGTCGTGAAAGTCAACGTCGAGGATGCTTCCGATGGCCAGTAGAGGCGCTTTTCTGGAACAGCACAGCGTGATGATGCATAAGAGGGCGCCCATGGGGAATGCATATCACTCTCGAGTGCCCTAGGCCCGCCGACATCTCCCACTCATATCTCGAGCATTTTCGCTGATCAGAGGTGCAGAGAGCAGTCACGTGACCCATGCAGAATTTGACGAGTTGTGTCGCCGGCCCGGCCGGATGATGGTGTGACTCGTACAGCGCACAGTGTCGTTGCGTGACCAAGATGGCAATCCTCGTTTGCGCCGAGGCGCAAAGTTGAACAGCGTTCTCAACCCATGAACGTGTCCTTCGGTCCATAGGTGTGCATCGAGGACCTGGCTGCCGTTGACATGGCGTGCAAACAAACGGAAACGCGCGCTGCGAGCTTCGATGAACACTTCCGGACATCGATGCAAGTAGGCGCGTAGTGGCTGCAGCTCTCGGGTTTGCATGGCGCTGATAGCCGTATGCAGCATGATCGTAGAGGGGTGGATATCCATCCAGGTTATGAAGTCGACTTGGGCCTTCTCGACGTGTGAACACTTCCGGACACAGTCTTCGAAGCCTTGGTCTTTGATACGGCCAGAGTGACAGCATTTCCGCTCAAGAAGCACTTCCGAATCTTGAGCGGTTGGGCTGGCCAAGAGCATGGTCTGGCCTGGACAGCAAGCACTTCCGAATGCTGCCAGATGGCCATGTTGCCCGCAGCCACGTAGCAGAGAGGAGCACTTCCGAACCTCAATGCCGTGGTGGTTGCTGATTTGCGAGGGGATAATTCACTCAGTCTTGCAGAGTAGATTCAAGCAATCCACAAAAGCAGTTCTGGCGCGCCAACACTTCCGGAGGCTGCCGTACGGAGTCGATTGTGGTCGAATCTTTTGGCGTCGTAGACAACAGAGTCTATCAAATGCGCATGTGCAGTGTCTTCTTCGCAGCCGTCGCAGTAGCATCAGCCGCTCCATTGCGGACCCGCCCTTCGTGGATTGACCATCTCTTCACCATTCCCATCCACATCACCACTAGCTCCATCGTGTCCAGTTCTTGCATTTCCAAGGTGTTCGCCGTAAAGATGTGGAGTGGCAGCGCTTGGGGCGTGGTGCTGTCATGTTAGTGAGGCATTTGGGCGAACACCCGTTGCTGGAGGTGCGTGCGCTGGAGTCCGGTCATATCGTGGCGGAGGCGGAATGATGAACGACCCATAATCCTCATGACCATGCCATCGTCGAGCAGCTGCGCAGGAGGCCGTAAGTAAAAGGTGTCGTTGGCGCGAGGTTGTTGTCATCGCAAGGCAGAGTTTTGCGGGTGGGGAAAGCGGCAGACGGGAGGTGGTGGAGCCACAGAACACAAACAGCGCGTTGAGGTCAAAACCAACATTGGAAATCATCCCACCACAATTCCAGAGACCGCAGGAGGTACAACGAATGCAAAAGTCCATCGAGCTCGGAAAGAAAAATTAATCAGTGGCATCGACACTGCCACGCTCGCATATTCGCACAATCGCCTAAGAGACTCTGGATTCCAATGAAACCGTCAAGGTCCAACAGTGAGGACGACGTCGACCAGAACATTCACCCTTCATCGAATGCGTCCAGTTATGGTCTGCACTGACGACTTTTCGGGCCCTGCAGCATCAGAATTGGAACTGTTGTCGATGTGCATCGAGTGTTGTCTAGGTGCCGTGCCAATTCGAAATCTCCCACGAAGTGATCCCGATCCTATTGCACTCTGTACAGCTTCTGACTTATGCCACCACAAGCGGATTCCGCTGGAATCGCGGCAGGATACTGTGCGCCCGTTCGCGGGCTACTTGCGATGATGTCGATGATCAACTGGGCCTACTATCGCAAATGATGGTTCCAGACAATCTGGGCCAAGGACAAGTCATGGCATTCTTACGAATCTGGATCTTTTGCCATTTCAAGTTTGGTGCTATGAGATCTCGTGCTCTGTATCCTTGTGCACGGATAAGGTCGGGACCACTTGGCCACTTCTTCTATACTAAGGTGACGCCCGTCTTAGTCCGCGACCATGAGCTGTTGGCTTGCATCTGGCGACCGGGCGAATATCAGGTGTGCTAGACGGACTCTTCGCTGACAGAACTCAAGGAAAGAGAAAAGGTTGCTCCGATGCTGATGACTGCACATCGCCAAGGTACACCGTATTGAGAAGGCCCAACTGCCGGGCCAATATCGGGACGACCAAGGCGCAATCCGCATCTGCTCTTTGCGAACAGGAGCATAAGATCAACTTCAGTGCCTCACAGCTAAGTCTGTAAAGACGAGTCCTCAGAGTCGTGTTGGGACACGAGGTCGGCGTGGCCCAAGATGGGTCATCATACAGGCAATGACATCAAATTTCATTCCGCCTGCATCGTCGCGAAAACGATGCCTCACAGGTAAGACAATTTCACTAATCTAAGCACTAGAAAAATGCCTCGGTAGTCGTGATACCCACTTTCCCATAGGAACTCATGCCACTCCTTTCATGTGCTTCTCGCCAATACAGCAATAGACGCAGTTCATTGGACCGTTCATCGGCTCGCACGGAGCGCGAACGATCAGATTGCCGCTCGGAGTAGGCGGATTCACCGCAGGGGCAGTTCTACTTACTACAAGGCGTCGATTCTGTGCCCATTCGAGGCATTGCTCGTACACTCTTTTTGAGTCTGGCCATTCGTTCATCAACAAGCGCAATCTTCACCATGCGACTGAACCAACTTCTCTGTCTTTTCTTTACGGCGGCCGCTTGTGCCGCCCCTCGTATCGCCCGCGATAGTCTTTCATGCCGAGAGATCAATATCCCGGTGGACGTCTCTGCAAACAACAGAGAACTTCCTGACACGCTCGACTTGTCTTCCCTCTTGAGTCTCTCGGTCTTGAACGATCTTGTGGCCGGCCTTGGTTCCACTCTCGTGTCAGGAAACTACTCCATTGCCGCACGTTACTGCGAACCCTCTGCCAAAGTCGAATCCCGAAACAAGACTTTGCAGATCTTGGTCCACGGCATTCAGTACAACAGGGACTACTGGTTCGGCCTTGCAGCTCCTGGCACGAAAGCTGGGCAAGATGAGTACTCTTGGGCTGTGTATGCTGCCAACGAAGGCTATGCCACTCTCTCGATCGACAGGCTGTGCACAGGGAACTCTTCTCGTCCATTGAGTCTGACGCAATGTCAAGCGCCGCTCGAGGCGGAGACATTGCATGCCATCATCGAGGCCGCTCGCTCCGGAACTCTTCCCGACGTCCAGCAAAGCTTCGACAAGATTGTCTATACCGGCCACTCGTACGGGTCCCTCATAGGCAATGCTTTGGCGTTACAGCACCCAGAGGATGTGGACACATACGTGTTTACCGGATTCTCTCTGGACGCCCTCCAAGGCGCCACTGGGTTCGCACTCCTGCCCGGATTTCTGCCTGCGGCCGTCGTAGCACCAGAACGCTTCGGATCGGACGACCTGGGCTACCTCCTTGCCACAAACGAAGCGGGAGCAAAGAAAGTGTTCTACTACGGCGACTACGACGCGAATATCTTCAGCGGAGACTTCGCAGGACGACAAGCAGTCCCACTTTCGGAGATCGCAACTGTACCTCTTGGACAGCTCCCCGCACCAGAGTACCAAGGCTCAGTTTTTGTGTTGAATGGAAATGAGGATGCCATCTTCTGCGTGGGACTATTGGATACATTGCTTGGAGTCCCAGGCGACTGCTCCAACGGCTTCGCTGAGAGAGTCAAAGACGGATATCCTAAGGCGAAGGCTTTCGGCTCTCACATCACTGCGAACACAGGTCATGCCATGAACAACCACAAGACTGCACAAGAGTCGTTCAAAGCTGCTCATGACTAGCTGGCGCAGCAAGGATTCTAAAAGATACGGAGATTCGAGGGTGGGCGATGCGATATAACATAATTCGTTTCTTGAATCGTCGAATGAGGCCGGTACCTAATTCGAACTTTCACAATAGCTCTACGCAGTCAAACAAAGTGCCCTCGGCGGCACGATGAGGGCTGGGGATGTGACAGAAGCGTATCGGCATCCACTTCTGAAATGGAGTCGCCGCGACTTTCATCGCTCAAGTGAAACTGCAGAACTCTATCAGCTGTGCCATGCACTCGCGCTCAGTATCGTGTCATATTCAATTCCATCACCATATGGGGCCAGAGTGCCTGATAACGAAGCTATTTGTAAGAACTGAAGTGGACCAGACCAGATGGCACTGCACAAGGTTACCTCGGCTCTCGCCAAGCGCCAAGCAATCCGACCTCACCTCTTGCCCGTCTCCAAACATCTTTCAGAACATCCACGACCAACTTCCAATGACCAGAGCCATCTTGAAGATCACAAAGCACAGGACAGTCCTCCAAGTACCTCTGAGACCTTTCTTTGTCCGCCCCTCCAAACGCACAATGTCGTCGAACAAGACCAAAGCCCCTCCCATCATCGCCACAAGGACGTCAACCTGTCTTTGCAAGTCGGTGCAAGTACAAATTACTGGTGAAGACAAGAATGCTGTGCTCTGCCACTGTGATAACTGCCGTCAAGCCAGTGGGAGCGCATTCATGCATAATCACCGAATAATGAAAAGTGATATCAAAGTGTTGAAGGGAGAGAATCTGTTGAAAGTGTATGAGGATTCGGCGACAAAGAGCGGGAATACGATTTTCAGGCATTTTTGTGGGAATTGTGTAAGTTCTGGCGTTCACAATGTCACCTGTTGGTTGTTGTGATGGTATGCTCACTGTCACAGGGTTCGCCACTTTGGCTCTCCAATTCTGCGATCAAGGGCTTCGCGGCCATGAATGTCGGCAACCTCGATGAGGAAAAGAGACCGCCTTTTATGGAGCTATTCAAAGAGGGAAAACATGCCTGGATTGGAGAAGTTACTGGAAAGGCCAAGTTGTAACATCATTGCTGGTCCCCACGGGCAGATTCGTGAACAGAAATGGAATGACACCACGTGCACCTCAATGTTGCATTTGCTCAAACTGAACGATCGCCTACTATCGCTCGCATTTTCGCACCTGCGCCTGCTCTGGGATTCGGACCTTGCTCATTGTGACCAACGAATCACTCCAGCCTCCCGCCATGTGCTACAAGTCCCAAATACCATACAAGCATCACTGCCAATTGTGTGAGCAAAAACATAATGCCTCGGGGTTCTCGGAATCGCAAATTCTTTACCCGCTTCCTCCATTCTCGACTGAGCTCGATCATACCATCTTTGCTCGCGCGCCTGTTTCGTCGCAGCTATGTCCATGAAATGAGTCTCCACAGGTCGCTGCCGCTGCAGCGCTCGACCGCTCATTCAGACAACCGTGTCGAAGCACTTTTAGCCCATCACAAGTCCATCAAGTTTGGCCAAAATGTGCTTCTCTAGGGAGATCTCTTGCGCCACTCTTCAGCCTGCTTCCTCCTCTCCTTCACATCCGCTCTGCCGAAGGTCTGCGCAGAGGAAACATTCATGTCACGGGATGCGTTGGACCGAAGTTCTGGCGTCTCCGGACGTGGTAACTTGGGCGTCCGCCTCCCAGTGGTGGCGGCTACACTCCAATTCTCATCAAGGGCTGCATCATCCATCGGCTCGCCCATCGTCGGGAACCTGCTCGGCTCGTAGTCACTCGGTCCCAGTTCACGATCCATGTGATCCCAGCGCCACTTTCGGTCACCATTCCTGGTGGAATTCCGACCCTGACGCTTCTTCTTGCGCGATGGAAGTTCATTCTCAATCTTTTCCAGCGCGCTTTGGTATTTCCGCTTCTCGCTCGGCTGCTTATTCTTGTCCGCGGCTCGAGTCCGGTCTTCGATCTCGCGGTGACGCAGAGCGTCGTCGGTAGTCTTGTTGGGCGACTCTGTCGGGAATGTCAAAATCTGCTGACCCTCGCCGGTTGAGGGCAACATGGCACAAAGCTTTCTAAGCTTCTCCTGAATGTGTGGGTTCTTGGAGTCTTCAGGTCTGAACAAATCCAGAATTTTGTCAATTCCAGTTTCGAGATGTTTGGTTCTCTCGGCATCTTCGACACGGATCTCCTCGGCTTGGTCCTCGCGCGCGGCCTCTGTCTCGTCCGGTATCTTGTTCTGCGATGCCGTGCGACGGATCTCGTCGAACTCGTGTTGCATCATCATCGTTCTCCCCCTCTGCTTGGGCTGCCGCAACTAGCCCACCGACTGATGATGTACTCCTGGCAGGCTCGAGGCGTCGTGGTCGTGGTGTGAGCTCAGCTCTGCGATGGCACGTAAACAGCCGCAGAGTGTCTGACGGACTCGATGTTGGTACGGGTGAAAGCGGGCATACGAGAAAGTTCTGTGATACCACAGCGAAGCATCGAACCCTACTGAGTGAATGACTGCAAGGTGAATGACATCGCTGTGTCACGAGACCTCACCAAACACATCAACGATCTGGCTGTCTACAGAATTAATGCCACGTGACCTAGCGGTGCGAGTCTGCCATGGAAAGGTGTTGACCGCACTGGGACAAGAAGGAGAGATGCACAACTGTCATGCCTTTCTTTGATCGTTGGAAACGCATTATATCGAGTTTTCTGGGCCGGCACAGCTGGACAGCCTCTTTGGTGCCGTGCCTTGATCAAGCGAATGGAAATCTCAAAATCGCTCGCATGTCCGCATTTGCGACTGGGCTGAAGTCCGGACATTGACTACCACAAGCGGCAAGCTTTTCCTGGACTCACTGCATCTTGAACGAGCTCTCGCAACGTCGTACAATCATGTACATCAACTTTCTGGGCGAACACCGTTCCCACAACCCCCTTCAGTGCCTTCCTGTTCGATTCCATCCCGTCGCACAATCTTTGGACGACTATAGTGCGTCACCTTGAACAGCTCCACGTGGAAGGCAACAAGTCAATGCCTCGCGCACAGCCATCCGCGTCAGTCAATACCCAGCCCTGCCCACTGGTGAAGAGTCCGTCCCCATCGCTCCACGTCTTTGCCTTAGGCACGCCGCTTGCCAACATCTGCCAGGCCTGCGGCCAACCCGTCGAACTTGTTCTTCATATCGGTCCGCATGGTGGGTGCCTTGGTGCTGACGGATGCCACAGATTGGAGCTCCACTGCACTCGACCGTGACCTCTCGGTAGATGGCGCGCCGTCGGTGGCTTTGCCATAAGTCAGGGCGGGAGCTCGTGGACCTGCCGACTCGTTGGTAACGGGTTTCTGTCGCATGGCACTGTTCCCTTGGGCCATACATCGCTTCTTCTGCCCTCCTTCCTCATGCGTGACAGGAGCCTCAGCCGGACGCTTCCCGGCTCGAGACCCGCCATCAAGAGGCCTGCCACGGAGATACTCGTTTTGGAACACACTCTGCGGCGGGCCCGGAGGGCGAGCGACCGTATGACCATCATCGATATCGCGCGACGACACAGTCTGCGGCGGGTTCGAAGGGCGAGCGACCGTATGGCCATCATTGATATGGCGCGACGACACAGGATCGACGTTGACACCAGTCGTCTCGATCGCCTTCAACGCGAAATCCTCCTCCGGCTGGTTCGACAAGACACCTCGGTGTGCCTGTGCCGTTGCCTCTGAGATGTCACAACCTTCCAGAAAGCCTGCCATGCCATCGTTTCCGCTTTTGTCCTCAATGATCAAGTCGTTCAGTTGCACCAGGCTTTCCTCGGTCATGGTGACATAATCGATCAAGATCTCCTCGTCCAAGCGCACGAAGTACTTGGTCAAGCAAAGCATCGAGCCCTCGCACTCATTCATGCCTCGTACGAAGAGCACAGTGGATGATCTCGGATCTTTCTGAAATGCGCTGCCTTCGGTCTCAACTTGAACGTAACGACTTTGCTCGTCCTCATGAACGCTCGAGAATCCAGTCTTCTGCTTCGATGTGAAGACCAGCACACACACATAATTTCCGACGATGTAGATTGGGATGCAGGTATAAGGCCCATCGTGGATCGCGCCACCCGAACTTGGCACATATTCCGGGCTGGTGAACGGTATCCTGCGGGACCTCATGCGCTCAACCTTTCGGACACGAAGCGTCATTTTTCCAGGCATGATGCGGCGTCGATTGACGTACATGTCGTGCGATGGGCCTGTGTACATGTCCATGGCGGGGATCTTGTGGCAGCCCTGCTTCTTGGCCAGCTCTTTATGTTGCTTGGTGACTCGAACCTGGGCCTGCAATTCGCGCTCATGCTCCTCGTCGTCCAGGAGCATTATGAGCCCAGTTGCGAACAGTCTCACGGACTGCTGATGATCTATAAATCCAGACCTGACAGCCCTCGTACCCTTCACATACAACGTATGTTGGAAACCAGGCTCGTTCAAATTGTCCAAGGGCATTTGCTCCAGCAACTCGAGGAGATCGGCATTCCTTCTGTATTCCCTCAGTGGGCGCTGAGCACTGATATTCCCGACTAGTTCCTGTCGCGCGGTCTCGAGATCTTCCAGTATTCTGCTCCGTGACGGCGTGCAGTCCATTCCGTCAATCTTGTATCGCGTCATCTTGACTTGCGCCCAAGTGCGATTCGCTGTTGGAAAGGCCCCACTGACCAACGGTGTTGTCCTGAGGATTGGGTGGGATGTGCCGCACTCTCGGTGGATGTCTGGTGTCTCGATCCACACAGAGTGCCAGATCGAGTCAACGTCGACACGAATGCAAGCCGATGTCCGGAAGGGTGCCTGACCATACAGTGCAAACACAACCAAGCATTGCGTGCGGCCCCACCAAGTGAACAGTTGCAAGGTGAATGGCACTTCTGTTCCGCGGGCCATGCCGCCATTATTCTGGTCGGTCAAGGACGGGCTGGAATCCTTCGATGATATCTCATGCCTTGGCTCTGGAGGCTCTCAACAGGCTGCAAGACTACTATTAGTATGTCACGTGGCTTAGCGTGCCTGGTCTGCTATGACAATGGATTCTCTCGCGACAAACAACAAAGGTGTCTACATCCGGCAGGCCTTTTTCTTTGACAGTTGACATTGTATAGATCTGAACTTTTCGAGCTTGGAACTCGCCAGACCCTTCAACTTCGCTTCAAAACATGTTCTCAAATCTGTACAATCGTTTGGTTCAGTGGCCAGATCGTCGTCGATACTGCCCATTGCAGGACCCATTTCGGCTCTCCTCGCAGGCTCAGATTGCTAGTCGCAGCATTAGAAGCGTATCTCGAGGCAATCGGACAGCGCAAGCTCGAGACAACGACTTTACCGTGGATGGACATTCGTTTCTCTCCTTACTGAAGCACCTCAGTGACCTGACAAGGCAAAAGGATGAGATAGCAGGCCAGATTCACACGCAGGATCGCGAACGATATTTGGCACGTTCCGATTACGACCTCTGTCAAATGGATCTCGATAAGTTACGAGATAGCGACAGTGTAGAGGTTTTGCACTACTTGGACCGACGCAAACAGTTGCAGAAAGACGAGCTGGCCAACAAATCCGCTGCCGACGATGCAAAAGAGCTCCTTGTGAGTCGCTGCGGTGAGCTCAAGGAAGGAATCCAAAAGCTCTGGCGGACTATTCATGCACGATCACAAGCCTATAGTGACGCATGCTTTAGAGCAAATTTCGATCGGGAATGGTGTATGCTTGATCTTGTGGCATATCTCGACATGTTTAGATGTGCACAGATTCAAAGCTTCCTGACTCAGAATAGACGCGAGCTCAACAGGCAGCGAGTGAACAGGATCCTACTGAGAAGCCAGACAAGAATTGCCATTGGAGCTCACGCTAGCACTTCTGATATCTTACCGTCTCCCGTCCGCCAGGACCTTCGTCGGATCCGTGACCAAAGACATGAAGAAGCTATTGAAGAGGTGGAATCTCATATCCGTGTCTTGGAAGATATTGTTGGTCTACAAGAAGCTCACCTTGCAGAAAGACGAGATAACTTGATACGTGAGCGATTTCGGCCGGAATTGGAACAGAAGGGCTTACTGAAAAGTGATTCTGATGCGACTGGACCCCAGCATGATAGAGTGCCCCTAGAGCAACTAGCACCAGCCTTGACGGGACATCCAGTCACGGAGAATTCTCACCATGGCAGCGATCTTCCCGATCATATCGACGAATTGCTAGAAGAACACGACACTCTACTCAAGAAGCTTGAAAATCTACAGGAGGAAGTCGCACGGTGTGCAGTGGACGTACGCTCGAGTGTCCCTGAATATTTCATCGCGTTCACAGATCTTACGACCGAGAAGCTGGAGGCATATATCGCACATGACTCGAAGACTGCGAACGACGCAGCAGCAAAGATAGAGCAGCGCCTCATCCTGATCCGCAAACATCTGCACGACCGCGGAGTACCTGTACCAGTGGTGACAGCCTCGACCGTTCATCAACAACCTACGGGAGGTGGCCTCAGCACTACATCCGTAGAAAACGTCTCGCAAAATGATAAAGAATACAACGGCGGCTCAGAGCATGACTCACATGAGTCTCGAAAACTTAATCGGCGCATAATGAATGATCACCGACTGAACGCATCACAAGCACAGGGTCGGTCGCCCAACTCTGCGGCTACTCCTTCATCAGATGTCGATCTGACAGGGGTCCGCTCGTCTCTCGGGGCAGATCGGCCGCAACAGAGTCCACAATCAGAGCAAAGCGCTCGGCGAAAACGCATGCTAAGAGAGTACAAGGCAGCTCAAGGGAGAAGCGATGATGACGTGAATGACGGGAGAAAAAGACAGAGAACCAAGACTGCCATAAAGGATCAAGCTCAAGAGAGTATTGTGGAAGCAGAAACAATAATGTCAACGGGCAGGGTGACGAGAGCGAGCACGAAGAGGGACAACACAAGGCTACTTGGAGGTATTCGATAATCACGCAGGCTATGGAAACATTGGCGGCAGTGCAATGCTGGAGTCCTTCTGTCATCATGCTACATATAGCTCTTCTCTCACGACCGACGACTGTGCCTCTGCCACGTTTGCTGGTCAAGTTTTAGATTTGGATGCCATCCCACTCTGAACTGTGTGGCATATGATGTAAAGATTGACTACATTCTCCGGTGAGTAGGACCAAAAGGCCGATATACCAAAAGTCAATGAGCTGTGGGAATAAGTGCGTTGCGCAATTCGCATCTTTTGATGATTAATGTACAGTACAGATTCTGGTGATCGGTATTTGTTGGACGTCGAGAGAATTCTGGTGATTCTGCCACCATATGAGTCTTCCAGATCTTACGACTCTCGTGTCCTGCCACTTCGCAACGAATCACTTCCACCTGCAACGGTCGTTGCGACTCTGGCAATCTTGTCTGCCTTATCCCTTAGCTCTTCTTGCATCTCACTATATTCACGCAGCTTCCTTTTCCTCCCTGAGCTTGGTGTCGTTGGTGTGCTCGGCGGTGGAGAAGGGCCATCTGCTCCATTCGTGACCTCTGTCTGTGCTGTCGGTGGTGTTGCCGGCGAAAGTGCTAAGTCATCGGGTCTTGACAATGAGCGCCACCGATTTATACGTCCGAGTCTGCGTCGCTCCGCGTACGTCAATTTTCCACTTCGAACAGAAGAGTTAAAAGATCCACTACTTCGAGCGTGCTCACGATCCGAGGAACGTTGCGACCGCTGAGAGCTCGATAGTGAGCGCGTGGAAGGGACACGAAAACCGTGCTCAGTGAGGGAGTCCACCGCAACCTGCAATTCTTCTTCTGCAGCCTGCATGTCCTCCTTGAGTCCTTTGGTGTCGAAATCCCGAAGCTGACTGTAGCGCATCTTCGAAGACCTGGGAAATGCTTGCAGGTGACTCAGCTCGGCCGTTTGCCATTTCTCTGCATATGCGTACAGCGCGTTCTGGACTCCCAAGAGGCGGTCGAGTGCTCGTTCGTAATTCAGGTGCAGCTCGGCTCGACCGCCTGATGAATCGGGCGATTGCTGGCTGTTACTTTCTGGTGGATAGAACTGTGAATCAAGTGTCTGGAAATCGTGTTGAACATCAGGCGATCGAGGCAGGCTTAAAGTATCAACATGGCTCGTAGTCTCGCTGCTCTGCCGTCGACTTTCGGATCTCTCAGGTACTGTCCAGTGATCAAGCTTGCCCGCTGATCTCAACATGGGCTCGAAGTATTCGCTCACAATCTCCTCGTGGAACTCTCTCTGCTTATCTTCCGTGAGCTCAACGAGAATTTGTAAGTGCCGTATCCGATCGTCAAGATCGTGTCCACCTGATTGATGTCGAGTCCAAGCACGTTCAAGCTTTAGTTCGCGAAGCTCTTGCCGACGCCTCTTGAGTAGATTGTAAGTGTCTAGTGCAGTGCGGATGGCGACGCAATCCCCGTGGCTGAGACACCATTCCTCTGTGAACAAGACTTCAAGACACCGGTTGAGATACTCTTGACCATGTCTCCAAAACTCATCCCATGTGTCCGTTGACTTTCGGTCCAATTCTGTCTTCGCGGCAATCTTCACCGCGAGCAAACCACGGTATTCGGCCGCAGTACTTCCGGCTGATTCTCGCGCATCATGGATCCGTTCCACCTCGCTCGTGAAATCAGCTCTCTGGTCATGTTGTATCCGTTGTTCGTCGCACATGGCTACGTCCAACCAGTATTGATTGGTTCTTGCCGTTCCTCTATATGACTTGATAAGCTCTTCCGTCTCCTGTTCTTCACGGTGGATTTCATATAGATCTGAGCAAAGACTCAAGTAGTGTGGCCCGAGATCGCTAATGGGACGAAAAGGCGTGCGCCTGCCCTGAGCAAGCATCGAGATGCGCTTTGCACCCGGATTATCCTGTCTGACCGTGGTGGAGCACAGCCAGTCACTGAGACTCCTGCCAATTTTCCGTAACCAGGACATGGCGAATGTTGATCGTGATTGTGTAGCAGTAGCCATTCCACATTCGAATCAAGTAATGTTTTCTCCGTTCCAGACGACAAAGAGAGCATCCAAGCTGCTTTAGGACGCACCTTGATGAATCAAAGAAATGGTTCCTTTGTGATTGAGTACCAAGCGACTCCTGGGTGCTACGGAGCACATGCATACAGGGCATTCATCACTGCTTGAAGGTCGAAGTCGAAATTTATTGCCTTATGCTAGGTAGGTGAAACGAGTTGCTGTTTTGTTCACCAGATCGAGTCATTGGACGTATATCAACTCCCATACAAGACGTCACGCTGCTCATGCATTTAATGCAAGTGTATGCTCTTCGAGCTCTACTATGCCCTGATCGACTCGGGAAACAACATTCTACTGCAGTTTCAGATTGATCGATGCGTCCCGATACACTGTGAGCAGTCTTCCGATTTCAACTTTGTATAAAATGCTCTGTTAGACGTGCTTATGTCTTATAATGTTGCGTCGTGTATCCTTCGTTCGGACACTCGAAAATCATCACCTAAGCTCGTGATGCGCCGCCGTATGGTCAATTACCTCTCATGGTCTCCTCATTCATTCTGTATGTTAAGAAAACCTTTCGGCACGCGCATTGATCGCTGACGGAAACTTGTGCGTAATCATGCGGTTGAACGCTGGCACAGTGACCTAGCGCTACATTAGGAGAATTTTGCGCTTGCATCCTTCTGTGAAGCAGTAGATTACTTCAATTTCCTCCTCTTAGTTGAGCTTGACGTCTGCTCAGGGCTAGGCGTGATGGAACGTGACGCATTATCGGATATATCGTCCATGACAAGATCTGGGGGCGGCGTGCCGCTGGCCATTGCGTAACCATCAGGTTTTGACGATATTTGCCAGCGATTGATATAATCTCGTTTTGCTCTCCCATCTGCCGCTCTTTTCCTGGCCGAGCGCCGCGGGCTGTGTCCCTGTGAGTTTTCCCGACTCATTCTACTGCCACTGCGTGGTCTAGATTCTCTGCGGCTATGAGTATCTGACGGCCCAGTCAGTGATGGAATATCTCGGCCTAGTTGTGCTAGCTCGCTGGCGGCCTCTTGCAATCTCCCCTGGGCCTCCTCGATTTTAGCTCTGACATGCTGTACCTTTCTCCTGACTAGAGCATCGAAACGGGCGGGACTCGAACGAGGGAATACCAACATATGCTGTGACTCGTCGGTCCGCAAAGCAAACTCCTTCCGTTGAAGATCCTCTTGAAATTCGATCAGGTCATCTCGAGCCTCTAAGTATCGTTCCTCCGCGCTTCTCGCATCTGGTGCATCAATTTCCGATCGCGGGAATGACTCTGCAGGGTTTATGCTGCGCGGACGATCAGGAGAATCTTCTGCCAGCTGCAGTCGTCCAGCAGCAATGAGCAGCTTTTTGACAGCCATGTTCATGAATCGGTCATCGAATCTTCTACGCCTCCCCTCCATACCTTCCAAAATGCGCTCCGCATGCTTGATATCGGTCTCCAAATATGCTCCATCATTTTGATGCCTAGAGAATGCCCTCTCCACCTTAAGCGCTCGCAAATCGTGTTTGCGCTCCTGAGTAAGGTTGTGCATATACATCATGGTACACAAATCAATGCACCAACCATGGCTTAAGCTCCATTGAGCTTCAAAATAGGTATCGAGACACTTCTGCACGTACTCTTGAGTATGTCGGAAGATGAGACACCATAGCTTAAATATGTCACTCTCCAGACCAGAAATTCGTGCCTCAACTTGCGCCGCTGTGGCCTCTTCCTCCGTCTGCTGAGGCGATTCCCGCTGGATCATTTCTTGAGCACGTTCGACGAGTTCGGTGAAATCATAATTCATGTTCTTCCTGGCCAAATTTACATCGCTTTGAGCAAGATCCAAATCTTTTTGACGGTCGTGGAAGCGACCATCGCAGTCCCATTTTTGACGCTTGCAGTCAGCCAACTCAGCTGTCTTTCCGTAGAGTTGATCGAATAGCTCCAGAAAGTAGGGGCCCAGATCATTAGCCGGATGAAAGCTTGTGTTCGATGCAGGAAATTTCCATGGTGCGTTGTCTAGCTGCGTAGAGCTGTCACGGTCAGCGCCGGAGAGCCAGTGGCCCACATTCGCAATAAATCTGCAGAGAGATAACATCTTCGTAACTAGCAATATCTGTGGGTGAAGATGAATAATTGAGGTCGACGGAAAGCATGTAAGACGCGAGAGACTGGAATGCATTTTCAACAAAGATTGCGTTTTACAAAGCGGCCTTTGTCAAACCTGAATCAAAGACATGCTGTGGCCGCTTTCTGCCAGTAGTCCGCACACCACATGGAGACAAGGTATCCATGGTTTGCGAAGCCATTCACGATGGGATCTGACATGGGCGCGATGGCGGTCTGCGATCTGAACGGATTCCCGATTCCTGTACTAAAGGAATTGTGATTATGTTCGTGAGCCGTGAACCTGCGGCCAGAGCCTTTGCCAAGCTTCTGCAGCGGGCGAATTGAGTTGATACCAATGCAGTTGGTGAACGAGGGCTGAGGCGCGAGTGAACGCCAATACGGCTCAGCGCATCCGAGCTGTTCACTCTTGAGATGACCCATCCGGGCAGCAGACCATCTTGGCGCGGCAGACATAATCGCACCAAACCCGGCACGCGTCCTTGCTCTCGACTGATCACCATCTGCAAGGCTGTCGTATCAAAGGCTTCTCATCGACAACGTCTCGTAGCTCTGACGAGCGCTCCCCGAGCAACTGTTGGAAAACAACTCATCGAGTCCCCGCCGACCGGCGCGCCAGTCGATGCGATGTCAACCCAACGAAGCATCCCACCCATTCCTGGCTTGCCATATGATCGCACCTTCTCGAACGATGCTGATCTCGTTGATGAGGTGGCGGATCAGATTGTGCCCATTTGTGCGGAAGACGACGAGCCAACAGCACAGCAGCTAGAGAAACTGGATGAAAAGGTCCTGTTATCCAAGGCTAACATATCTTCGGATCGACAGCGGCAGGGCGTATCATCAAAAAGAGCTATCTGGGAATAGTCACGGGAATCAACAACCAATCCTTTGAGGTCAATATCCTCGAGACACGCGGGGGCAAGGGTTTTGAAGGTCTCCCTGAGGAGGATCGACGATACTATTGGCACATTATGGCCGAAGGCAGCCAGCATATGATGCCGAACGCACTGGCGGATCCGGGCCTGTCCACATCCCTCGACACGGACGACCCACCTGAGACGGTATTTGTGCGCCACAGGAACATGCGCGAGAATGGTATTCTCAACTTGCGGTCCAAGAAGTTTCTGTACTCAGAGTTGGTCAGCCTTGCTCCAGGTTGGCTTACCGAGGAGAGCACTGTCCGCTTGGAAGACAAGCTGAAAAAGTGTTATCCTCTACAGAAAACAAAGTTGATCGAGGCAGCTGGAATATCGCAGTCTGAGGCGGACAATATTCGTGCCATGCCTGCCCCAGGATCTTCCAACTCAATATCGGGTGAAAATTCCGGCGAGGTCGCAGCCCACACGAACACAGGCGTTTCCAATTCTGGTAATGACTCTTGGCCTTCTGACGAGATGCCTTCTGCTCCTCGTGTCTGTCCAGACTTCAACGAAGGCTCATGTAAATCTGCTGGCTCGTGTCCTCATGGTTTGGAGCATCTTTGCAGCGACTGCTATCGCGAGCACCCAAGGTGCGGGGGACGTCTGCCTCTCGGCGTCGAAATAAAGAGAGAGAACGAGGAGAGACGCAACTCTGCACGCGGACTGAGGCCGTCAAAGTCGAACAAGCGTAAGCATTCAGCATCAAGAGCCTATCAAGATTCCAGACTCCATGAAGCCCGCGGCGGCGGCAACGATCAGAGGCCTGACGCGCAACGAGGTCCTCATGGCGATTTGGACAACAACCGCGCACAGCAAGCGGCCTACACGCGAACGAGCAACGGCCGATCGCCAATTCGTGACGACCGCGACGACCGCGACACGCAGCGAACGGCGCACCCTCAAACAGCCAATGGCCGACCATTTCGTGCAAATGAGTCCCGAGGCCGGTCTGAGCGTCGTTCTAGGTCGAGAGATCGTAATTTCGAAGACGATTTTGAAGCGTCATCCTATCGGCAATGGAATGACTCCCGTCGTCAGGATTCGTACCACACGCAGCCGAGAGACTACCACCGTGAGCAGTCCACCAACTACCACCGTCGAGAGTTCTCCTATGCGCAGACGAACTACTCGGATAGGGATCAGCCGGCCTACTCCAGCTATCAAGGCTCAGAATACGTTGAGTCGCACAGGTCCTACGAACAGCAGTCATACGGCAGAGGTGGATATGATCCACGACGCCGGTAGTCGTGTTTCACAAGGATAACTCCCGTGTTCGATCGATTAGCATGCCGGTTGACTTCTGCACGCCTGACAGCATCGGCTGTTGGTCGAAAGAAGCTGTTGAGAACCATGTGGCCCCGGGAGTGCTGTCCGGCAACACCTGTCAACGGGACATGCGAATTCAGCATTGGTTCCTTCCGACTTTCTCTTTGGCGGACCTCTTTCACTTGACGACTTTCCTTCCGGTCAGCCAGCCTCCGCATGCCACCGCACCACCGCACGACGAGCCATGGTAGCGAGCAGCAAATTCCTGAACTTGACACGATGTTGGAAAGTGCGAGATACTGCTGTCGATTGGTGTGTACCTTCTTTGATTCGGATTTCCTTGAGGTTTGAGAGGGGGCATTGCATGGTATCGGTTGCACAGAACGCTGCAGCATTCGAACGATGGCGGAATAATGAGTGGCGATGAGACTGAAAATGCTTTGTATGGCGTTTGCGTTGTTTTGATGAGATACCCCCAAAAGTTGTTGATTTGCGATAGCGTTGCTTTGACAGACATCCGGAGAGATGCAAATACACTCGTTGAAATCAAGAGGCATCTTCTCACTTTCCGATTTCGAAAATTCCTGATAAGAGCTTGCAGATTCTCGTCCAGGATGGTTAACGCCGCGCCAATAGTTGCAATCATCGCATAGGTGGTAACGTCTAGATGTTCCTGGAATGGCTCCTGTGGGCAGATGGGCAGCGGCAGTGTGGTGAGCAGTCCTCAGCCTTCCACAGTGTCCCGAATGCTTTTCAAGCTCAATTCGCCCTTCCTACCCCAGCCTTTTTGCCCGGGAGCAATATTGGGCCGGAAGTCCTCATACATGTGAAACGCTCTCTTACTCAGCTCTTCCTCTTTGCCCTTCCATCCTTCTAGCGCTTCCAGCATCGCCTTTCTGACCTTATTGTAGTTCTCGTCCCCTCCATATTTCTTCTTCAACGTGTCCTCATTCGCTTTCTTTGGCTGATCACCAACCACAGCCGACCCATCTTTCAGCTTGAGATGAAAGCTCATGACGTCGACTTCTTCTAGCTCTACCTGTTCCTTTTTACGCTTCTGCTGCTTAGCAGCTTGTTCGGTGCTGTCAGGCTTGTCAATCTTGCCTATTGAGCGACCCTTCGAAATGGCGGCGAGAGTGCTGATGGCGGAGCCCACGCTGAGACATGTCGACCAGGCAAGCGATGGGTGAAGTGTTTGTGTGATGCAGGCTCCCCAAAGTTCTAGCACGGGAGCGCGGTTGATTATGACAGTTTCATCCTCTGCATCATCTTCGACTTTGGTGTCCAGATTTCCCGACTCCGGCTCGATTTTCGTTTGTTTTGTGGGCGCGTTCTTTGCCTTCTTCGCTGGTGTGGACTTCGTCGTGGAGGCTTTGCGTTTCGTACCAGTAATGGCATTTGGTGAGGCATCTTTACCAGTTTTCGCTGTACCATTCGACTGACTTCTCGTGGTCGGCATCTTGATGGGAATTCGCGATTTCTGGCTTGTTTGCCACTGACAAGCGTGCTGCCTGTGTTCTGGCGTTGGGACGCGACTGTACCCGTGTATCGGACCAGGTTATGGATCTAAGAAGGCGAAGATCTGTTACGAATGTTATGTGAACATCTAGAACATCGTCTGTCTCGGGGCTAATGATAAAGAAGTGTACAACGTTCGTTGGTAAATGGACGCGTTGATGAGGTGATGTCACGAAACAGCTCACAGCTCTCCGCAGATCTCCGCAAGGAACAGCGCCTCGTCCCGCCTGCCTAGCCTCCCTTCCAACACCACCTCACCTCACTCTCTCACTGAAAGCATCTCGGAATCTTGCAGAAGATCAAAGAGCCGGACCTCTATGGGTCTTTGACTACAAAGGAAAATACGAAAACGGATGAAATTTTGCAAAAATGGCATATTTCGCCAATGCAAAGCCTTTCTCTAAATATCACAATCTCCCGAGATATCACTCTATCCAGCAAAAATGTGGCATCACATATCCAGAGTCAAATCGAGACTCCAGAATGCATCGTCGAAAATGGCTCACATCTACTCTTCAGGCTCATCCTTAGCAGTAGGCTGTTGCCACACTTTCTTCTCAGCAGTCGGCTTCACATCGCAAACTTCAGGGATCGAAGGAGAAGCAGCAGAAGGCTCATCACCTTTCACAGCTTCTCGTCTCGGAGCCTTAGACTGCTCGCTAATATCCAGTCCGATTAGCCTGTTCACCAAATCGTCCTCTTTGCTCTCGAACTCTTTGACTCTCTTCTCCATGGCCTCGGCTTCCTGTTTCTTCAAAGCTGCTTGCTTCTCCAATTCTTCTTGCGCTTGCTTGACCGTTTTGGCTTCTGAGCGAATGGTCTCGAACAAGCGCGTGTTACCTTGGAGAAGGCACTTTTGCTCCTTGAGAAGCTCGCGCTTCTTGCGTTCTAGCTGTAAGATCCGTTCTTCCATGAGGGAATGGTCGCGCTCTAGAGTTTCGATTGCAGATTTGTATGTGAGGGATGCAGGGTTTTCATCATTTCCGGCTTCGGTCGCTGCAGTGCAAACAGGCTCATCGTCGCGTTGGGCGGCTTTATCTTCTAGAGTCTTTCCTTCCGCATCGCGTTTGGCTGCTTTGTCAGCGAAAGTGTCTTTCTCTTCATGGCATTTGGCATTGGTAGCAATCAAAGGCTCTTCCGCAGCATCGAGTTTGGCGGGTTTGGCATCGCATGTGGCAGTTGTGTCAGCTGCGACCTCTTTCGTCATATCGCAATCGGCAGTTTCCTCAGCTGGAGTTTCTTCCTTGACGACATCGCATCTGGCTTCTGTATTATCTGAGACCTCGGCCGTCGCATCAGTCCTGGCAGATCTGTCAGTCGGAGTCTCGCATGGCACAGCAGGCGTGCAAGGCTTGTCAGTCAGATCGTCGCTCTGCACCTCGGACCTAGAGGATCGATAGATTTCCTCAAGTTGCTCTGGAATGCTGTCGAGGTTACGATTGAAGCGTGCTATGAGTTCAGTCTCCCAGTCTTCGAGTTTCCTGGGCTGGACACTGGCATCCCTCTTCGCGGTCACTGGTCTCTCAGCCTTGAGACTCTCCTCTTCTTTGAGCTTCTTTTCTTGCTTGAGTCTCTGTTCGTGCCTGAGCTTTGCTTCTTCCCAGAGTCTCTCTTGTTCTTTGAGCTGCTGCTCTTGCCTGTGCTTTTCTTGTTCTCTGATCATCTCTTGCACTTTGAAATGATGCTCATGCCATGTGCTCAGGAGCTCGTACACACCGTTGGGGTCCCCATAGACATAGTTCCGTAAAGTGGATTCACGAAAGCGAATGTAACGCATCTGCTCCGCATTGCGATCGATCTCGCGAGCCGGGAAATTGTGCTTGTCTGTGCTGCGAATGCTCTGTCTCTGGGACCTAGCGATACGGCCTGTTTTGGCACGGGTTAGCTTGGTGGAATTCTCAGGCTTGCTCTCAGTTGGTTGTCTGATTTCTGTCAGCTTCGCTCGGTACCTTACCAAGAATGTGCGGATTCTGCCTTGCTTGACGCGGGTCAGTCTGACGCAGCTACCAGGCTTGCATCCGTCCGGTTGTCTCATGGTTCCTGGAACTCGGGATTTCTACTGGAGGTAGATTACGAAGCCTTTGTCCGAGACCGGCTCAGATGTCAGTTCGAAAAAATCGTCAGTGTCTTCCGAGGTCGCAGGACTGCTCAGCTGATCGAGACTCGAAGTGTGCTGAGAATGGTGAATACGCTTGTGTGTGCCAGTACATATACTTTTTCTGTGAACGGAGTTGACAGGCACGGACAATAGCTTTGTAAACATTGCTCCTTTGTGCTTTTCGGTGTTGTTCCTCTTCTTCCGTACAATGCATCTCAGGCTTGTGGGAACAAAGGAAACTGCTTCAAGGAGGTCAATCGAAGCAAGCGTCCTCGGCCCACTTGCCATAGCTTGTCAGCAGTCTACCGTTAAGAGTCAATTTCATTGTCGCTCTTTCGTTTGCGCGATGCTCGTCGTCGTTACGCTTGTAACATCCGTGCCACCAGACTCTAATTGAGCATCGTCTGGCACCGTCCCTGGTCGGCTCCAAGCAGACAGAGAAGGCAGCAAGTACTTTATAGCTGATCTGAGCCTAGAATCGTGTCGCCAAAAAGAGCGTTCCTCTAGAGGATGTTCATTTTGGGTAATCTCTGTTGTCTTCGGCGAAGACAGAACGCCAAATCGTGGAAGATGTAGTTCATTTGGCTCTGCGGGTATCTCTGGTGCTGCGTTCACGACAACTGGCCGTGGTCCACTTGGTTCGCGAAAACGACCACTCCTCGAGAATATCGAGAGCAATTTGGCGATTAGTGGCAGTATCGCCGGAAGTGAGGCGCAGATGACGCCTAGCAAGATTTCGAGTTGCGCATATATGGTGCACTTCGCCGCTGGTCAGTAATCTGAGAATCAGACCAAACGCGGCAATGCGGATAATCGTACCAGGATTGACGTCCACGCGGCGTCCAGAATTTGATTCGCGGTCACAAACTGGGAGTCGAACAGAACTACAGCTCGCATCACGCTGGCGATACAGGATCTCATACTCTAGTCAGACTTGAGCGTGCGACATGAATGGGAGGGACGCTAACTCACGATGTACTGAGGCTGAACAGCAAGATGATGCCAATGCGCCGACCACGCGATAGTCGGAGCTGCCACAAAGGCGGGATTAGAAGAGCAATCATGCAAAAGCATGTGCAAGTTTCCCAGATCGTCTGCACTTTCCAAAATCTGAGCTTATTAGCACGAGATGGGGACCTCACGACTCGGGACTTACAGAACTGCATCGATGCACTTAGCCGTGGCGTGCAACTCTGGGGTCCACAAGGCTCGTATAGGTATGCATGATACTAAGACGATAACAAACGTGACACAATTGGAGGCCGTAGCCATGATGCCGAGAGACCAGATCAAAATCTCCCCGGTGCGTGTAACTAAGAAGCGAAGCAGTTGAAGCAATATTGATATCTTGGCGGTTGTGTTGGCGATGGTCCAAAGGAGGCATGCGGGAAAGTTCATCTATGAGTGTCAATGGTCGGAACCTAGAGGAATGGGAAGGCTTACTCTTGCGATATTGTTCAAGTTGTATGTGGTCAACGCCACAATATGTCGGCCGTCTCCATAATGTACCTCTACAATCGATGTCAGGCAACTGCCAACTGCGAGACATGGCTTGCCTACGGAAAGCAACGAAGACCACTACCGCCGTCATGAAACCCTGTACTTGTAGTCAGTAAAGCCCTAGTCAACCGAAAAGGTATAGGCTGAACCTACCATGCTTATGACCATAAGCCAATCGTCGAGCCCAGTCCGGTTCGTGATCCATATGCGTGTGTACATGCGTAGAGCGACAACGAGGACGGAGGCACCATAGAAGCTAAACACCACGGCCAGCGCAAGCGGGCCTCTGCTTTCAGTCAGTAACCTCTGTTTCTCATCTTCTGGTACTCCTCGCCACAAGTCCGTCTCTGGCGTATACGCGTGGCGTGACATTGATCAGCCGGCTTCTGGAGGCCTGGCTGAAGCTCCGTGTCATGTCTCTGAGCTTCAGGCTACTGGCTTCGGCCTGTAGCCTTATTTTCACGATCAGGTCGTACGGAATGGCTATGAATCTGAGCTTCACGTCAGGTGCATTCAAAATAGGAGAGGTGTGCGAGACTCGGTAGCTATTAGCTGGTCGCCGAGTCAGTCCATAAGCACTATCCGGCGGTAGCGGAAGGCAGGGACCAGGATGTCGCTGGATTATAAGGTGTGTTTCGAGGTCGTAGACCTGCATGATCGAGGGCCGCATTGTACACTTCTTGCAGGATAGAGGCCCACGCATGAATATTTCTCTCTTGAATAGAGCGGAGCGCTATATATAATAGCTTGAAAGGCGTTGTTCCCTAGCGCATTTCAATGTTGTTCGGTGCAATGCATCGAACAATGGACACTGCTCCAAGGGGGGCGAAGTCCCGTGGAAGAGAGATGTTGCGTGGAAGCAATGTGCTTCCCGTAGTAGTTCATTGCCGACACACATGACAGAATGTTCTGATGGAATAGATAGCGGCGTCTCCACGACCGATGGAAGGTCGCAACACCGCTCCGGCGCGTGATCACCATACAGCAAACTCTCGCGCTTCATTGCGGTCGCAGGCGTGAGAGCCGCACGAGGCACATCAAAACCGGTTCCGCTGTCTTCGCCACGAGCTGCTGCCCAAGCATACTCCGTCTGTCGTATTGCGAGGTCGACCGCCGACAGCATGCAAGCGCAGCTGCGGCAGAACCTCGATGGCAACCACGTGGTCAAAGTTCACCTCAGCCATCCAGGGACCCATCAAGATCTGAAACATCAGAACGTCTTCCGCATGTCTACAAAGCAGAGAATCTCCTCGTCTGTGCGAGAAGTTATCGCGATGGTAGCTGGATATTGTGGTATCCAGTGCGGCATCTGCTTCATTCAACGTGCCGCTTTTTTGCAGTGTGGGAGACCTGCATACTCGATGCTGACATGCCGGCAGTCTCGCGTCCTGCATCTGTGCGCATCAGGAACCAACATCTGATGAACGTCACAGGCAAGGACTTCCTTGCGCAACCGAACCCTTTGATTGCACAAAACCATACCACCTGCAGTCACCATGTTCAAGGCTGGCGCTTCCCCGAGGACACACCCCGGGAAGTACTTGAAGACAGTTTCAGATCATGCTCAGTGACGCAGTGTTCGCATCTTTTGCGCTGAGCACAGCACACATCACCGTTGCGCGACATTTGTGCTCAGGAATCCGTTCGGCCGAGACAGTCTTGGCTTGCCCAGGTCCAAATGTGCTCCTGTCGTTCCCTTGGGCAAAGTCCAGGCTGGAGCTCAACGATATTGTCCACCCGGCTTCCGGCCTGGGTCAAGTGCCTTCCCCGGATTGACCCATGGGACCTCCGCAGCCGGCATACATGCTCGTGCCGATCCATTTGAGACGAACGCCCTCTCGATCTGAAGAACTGCAATATCTGAAATGTGTTCTGCACGATACTGAGCAACCCGCGCTGCTCAAGAAATGATGTGCAAGCGCCCACCAGCAACGAGCGGCATCTTTGTTCGCGCGCCTAATTTCGATCTTTGTCGCCTGTGCTGCCCTTTCCGACCAGGCCCTCAAGGTTAAGGGCCGTAAGTTCAGTGGCCCTGGCCATTCAGTTCGCTGTCTGACAGGGATAGACATGGTAAGGCACATGTCACAGACAGCATCACACCAAGGTATCCTCGCGCGCCCCCGAAGTCAAAGACTTGAGCATAATAACATGGGACTGCCTCCGTGCTCGCTACCAGGCAGCGCCTCCTCTCCTTCGCCAGACGCTGACTACAGCAGACACTCCTTTCGATCAACTGCAGGCTTCCCACTCAGCCACTTCGTATCGCGACATGTTGCGATCATTGGTGCTCGCCACAGCATTGCTGTGTCACTCGTTCACAGTATTTGCATCCGACCATGGACACAAACATCACAAGATCTACCCGCGACATCCTCTTGAGGAGGATCACTGGACGGAGGAGGAGAAGTTGAGGAAGAGGGAAATCTATGCGCGCAATAAGGAAGCTGCAGACAAAAAGGAGTCCACGAACTGGATCGAGCCGGGTTATGAATATCTGGAATACAACAATGAGTGCTTGAAGCACCACAACTACCACCGGAACAATCATATGGTGAGCTGAAGCCATGATCTTTTACGGGAACGCGCCATATTGACTCTTTCCCAACAGTGCTACGACCTAGTCTGGGACGACGCACTAGCCTACACAGCACAACTCGTCGCCGAAAGCTGCGTATACGGTCACAACCTGTACGTTTCGTCAACACCTCTTCCACCAAACATCCTACTAACCTCTCCACAGCGCATACGACTACGGCCAAGCAGGACAGAACATCGCAGCCGGAATCCCAGCCTACAACGTCTCCGGCGTCATCACAGAACTCTGGTACAATGGCGAATATCCTTACTTCACTTACTACTACGGCCAGCCGCAGCCTGACTACACTTATTTTGAACAATGGGCCCACATGACGCAGATTGTTTGGTGTAGTACGACGAATGTTGGGTGTGCGACGCAGTATTGTCCGTATCTGGCGAATGCGGGGAGTGTGGAGGGGTATTACACTGTTTGCAATTATAAGACGCCAGGTGAGTGTGACTTCGTCGACGGAGTTGGAGTGATATGCTGATGTGATTGTTGTAGGAAATGTCGAAGGACAGTATGCGCAGAATGTGTTTCCGCCGCAAGGAGCGCCTGATATTCATTGGGATCAGTGAGCGCTCGAATGATCCTTATGCGCGTGTGCTGGAAGAAGATCCACAAGCGAGTGGAGGAGCGGATGATACGGGGATGGTACGAGTTGAGGAGGAGCTCGCAAAGATCGATGAACAAAGATGGGATCGCGAGATTTGCTGGAGCATCTATGAGGCGCTGGGCTGGTGAAGAGAAGACAAGTGAAGCTTGACAACAATATAGACTCAATACCGACGCTCTCAAAACCCCAAGCGTTGACAACGGCAATCATCAAGGTGTTCCTGCCTAGGTCCATTGTCGCCGCTGCCTATCTACCAAAATGGCACCACCCTCATTGTCGCTTCCGCCCCGCCGCGCCGCTGCCTCACTTGTCCATGGAAAGTGGATCAAGCACACCGCCACCGCCGTTGGTAGCTGCAGCTGCACATGTGCTTGCATCGGCTGCCTGATCACGCCGAAGGTTCTTGCCGAACTTCACATGCCGTCTCACACGACATCTCACGCTGAGTTCGCACTTCGACCATTTTCTCTTCAATCTTGTGCCACTTCCCCTTCCCCTTCGCCATTCACGCTCACACGCACATGACAACGCTCACTCCTGCGCCAATTCACCACCACCCCACGATGCATACCAGAGCCATGACGGCCACGAGCCGGCCGACGTTGACGCCGTCGGAGATTGATGGCGCTTCCTGGGGCACTCTTCCTTCGCAGCCCTTCCGCCACTTCATCGACACTCGTTCTGCTCAGGTTCAATCTCTCCCTCACAGCGACAGCGGCCTGTTCACCAACTACAAGACTCCTTTTGGCGAAGATCACGTCAACGCTCCGCCAACGAAGTTGAACTGCACCACACCGAACTCGAGCCCGCCAGTCGCGCCAGTCGCGTCAGTTCCAGTTCGTCAGAGTACTCACACCGCCGCGCGCAAGGAAACCTCCGTCATCCCAGGAGCCACGGCAGATGATACCATCGATGTCGATTCGCTCACTCCCCAGCCTCAGCACCGCCGCACTTCCACCAAGGGCAAGAAAGCGGCTAGGGGCCGCTCTCTTGGCGAACGCAGCACGAAGCCCATCAAGCAGCTCCGCATGCTTGCTGAGAACGACAACTTGGACGCGGCTCTCAAGCTTGGCTGGTCCGTCGAGCGTCTGACTGAGATCTTCAATCGCAACAAGGCTGCTCGTGGCATTCACACCACCTCCATCATGCAGCCAATCGATGACCCCGAACTTCTCGCTCGAATCGAAGAGAGAAAGCACAACGCCCGAGTCGCCACCCAGCGTCGCACCAACCGCCTCAAGGAGAGAGCTCACAATGGCGACTTCGAGGCAGCGAAGAAGTTGGGCCTCGGCAAGAAGACCATGGACAACCTGTTCCCTCAGCCTGCAGGAGACAGAGATGGAGATCAGGTGAAGCGCGAGCAGGAGTCTCTGTCGCCGACTGAGCCGAGAGACTTCGATGAGGACATACGGCGCAGCATGGAGCATGGACACTTCGATCGGTATTCACGAGCTGGTAGTATGGCAGTGAGTGAGATGGGCAATCGCGCTCTCAAGGTCGAATCCGGCGAGACACCCTTTCTTCCTCCACGCAGTACAGGGCGTGCTGGTGGTGGTCAGCGCACCACTCTTCGCGATTCTTGGGGTAGGCAGACCGACATTCCAGCCTTCCAACCTGGTCCTCCATATCGTGCCCCTACGCCTGTCGTTCCTTCCAACTGGCCAAACCAATACCCAGCCACCATGGCACCGCCAAACGGCCTGCCACCACCACCACTGCCATCGAATGGCTTGCCACCTACCACATATCCAACTCATGCGCACCAACCAGTGATCCAGGATATGGCCCTTCAGTTGGCTCTCGAGCGTCGCGAGCGTTTGTCTGTTCTCGAGTGGGCACACGCACGTGTCGCAGAGACTGATAACAAGATTGTTCAGTACCAGGCCTATCAAGCGCGCCAGAACTCGATCTTTCACAACCACCTCAACGCCGCCGATCGTCGTCAAGTCACCCAGAACGGACAGAGTTCGGGGTCTGCTGCAGCCGACAGAGACTGGACTTTCGTCAATCAGACTGGCCAGGAAGCTTCCGAGGACGAAGTGCACATGGTAGAGTGAAGTCTTCCGCTTTCAACGACTCCCACCCAATCATCCCGCTTGCAGCACTGACAAGCTCCACAATCCCGACTCTTACGATCACGAAGCATCTTGCGAGTTCTCACCACTGCTACGACCCCGGCACTTGAGGGATCTTGACTCTTCCCTTACCCCCAAAACGGAAACGACTTGTAATGATCGAAACGAAACGACACCCGAATCAACGAGCAACGGCTCTCTTCTTGCATCTTTTCCTGGCGCTTGCATCCTTCTTCAGGCATTCTTGGTGCAACGTCAACACGACTTGCCGCACCACCGCGGACAGCAGATATCGGAGACGCTGGACGCTACGATGATCACGAGGTTTTGCGAGAAACATCTTTGGAGCATAAAGTATGGCGTATGGATCTCTTCGACTGGCCTTATGACTTGCAGATGATATCTCAAGGCGCGAAGGCGGAATACTTGTGCCTTTTCACGATGGATTTGGTGCATGCATTGCCTCTAGGTTCGACTGTAGCATGAATGAATGAGATATCTTTATCATGTCCTCTCGTAGTTCCAGCTGATGTTTCGTCATCTGGGTTTCGTTGCCTGACTCCTGCGGTATGATGATTGATGTAGCCGGCCGTCTGCTCGCCCGTCGAGTAAATCTCCTCTCCCGCACTCTTGCCCAACACTGGATTCGCTTCCACCTTTTTCTCGCTTCCAATTACACGAATCGGCCGGAACGAAGCTGTGGGGCTATGTCTGCCTGTGGCGTTCTGAAGTAGACGCTCATAGTATCAACAGAGTCTCCTCCTTCGTTATGCCTATCGTCGTTGCTGAAAGGGCGGCGTCCTTCACACGCCCACCAAGCCCGTCCACCGTTGCAATAGCTGTTCCACTGCGTCTTCGGGCTCGAGGTCCTCTTCTCCTTCTTCTTGTTCCTCTTCGGCTTCCTCTTCCTCGCATTCTACGGGCTCGAGTTCTTCTTCGGCGCCGAGGTCCAGATCCAGGCCATCATCGTCAGCGAGTAGTTCTTCCTCAACTCCAGTATCATTGGCCCATTCCTCTTTCACCAGTGGGGCAGAAAACTGATTCCCAAGATCAACGAGCTCACTCTCTCGCACAGGAGAAATATGAGAGGTCAAGGGTCTGGTATGGGCTTCATATGTTGTGGTTAGCAGATCGAAAGGTTCTCGAGGAGTTCGCGACGGCTGAGGACTAAAATCGGGATAATCCAAATTTTCCTTCGGGCTTGTCCAGATTGCTGGATTGAATGGCTGTGTGTGCCATTCGGTTAGCGCGGGATCTTGGGCCGGCCTTGCGAGACGAGTATCGAAGGGAATACGGCGTAGCTCATGACTTTGAGCTCTGCACGTTTCTGAGAGATGAGAGTCTGTTTCCCTGTTTCGCTGCGATGTTTCGCGGCTCTGAGCAGGATGACGTGGTTTGGATCGCAACTCTCGAGATTTGTGTAACTTGTTGGTCTGCGAAGCAGCTTCATCGTTGAGTTCGCGGATCGCTTCGACGGCTTCGTGGAGATTGAAATTGATGGACTGAGGGTGAAAAGACCGCGTGGTCCGCCATTTCTCGGCTGAAGAGTCGATGCAGATTGCTAAAAAGCTGACTGTTGTGGCGCAACGTTGTAGTGCGGTTGCCAGGCTGTCGCTGGGGTTGGTGATTTCTGTGGGGTCCATCTCGTTGTGAGGAGCGTCGGCGCCAGGCAGAGCTACTGCAATGTTCGCACTTGCTCCTTCAGCTGTCGCTTCAATGTCATCAGTTTCGCGGGCATTTGCGCCAGCTTTCATTTCCAACTCCTCAAACTTCCTTCTCAACTCCTCGTACCTCTCTTCAGCACCATTTTTCGCTTCAATCAAACTCTCGACTTGCAGTTTGTCTAGCGTGAGCTCCACTTGAACTTTCATACTGGCGGCCACTGCCGCTTGAGAAGCTTTGGCACCATATGCGAGCACACTCAGCATAAGCAGGAGTGTACTCTTCAGTTTCTCTAAGTTTGCTCGAAGTACCTCCAATTTGCTGCTTCGTAGAGGCCACTTCAGCTTTTCCGTCATGGACATTGTAAATTTTCCATTTGCTCCAGGTCTCATTGATTTCATCAACGCATCATCGACTTCCTGGAAAGCCTCTCTACATCCATCCAGAACCTCTTCGAGGTCATGGATAGCTTCGTGCTGTGGCCGTCTTAGCACTTGAACCCAGATGTACGCTGCTTGTCGCGATGTCTTTCATGAGCTCGTGGCATGACTTACAGTACAGCTCTTCCCTAAGACATCAGCCTTCAGCTGCTCGTGCGTTCGCTGCAAGACCTTCGCTGTAAGCTTCACATCTCTGGCGATTTTCTTGATATCTTTTTCTGCGCTTTTAACGGACTTGGAGTAGTTGTACAGTGTCGTCGCAAGAGAGAAGCCTGCTTCGGCGACTTGAATTACGCTGGCAGCTGTACCGATGATTTCGGCCATGGTTGTCTAGTCTTTTTGTACTGCCGCGACACGATGGTTGTGAGACGCCGAGAGAGACTGATTCGGGATGAAAAGGAACACCAGATTTGGGTCATATGGAGCTCAGGCAGAGTCTTGCAGAAGTGACAAGCGAAAGAGCCTAGAATTCGGAAGATACCATTCTGGAGAGCTGTTGTTGGAGTAGGTAGGACAGACGTGGCGCAGCCCGCAGACGTAGCGCTTGCGAGCTGTGGGACAGGGCAGGGCATTGCGATCCATTGTGGAACTAGGAGGTAGGCGCAGACTGCGCTGCATAGTGTGTGCACACATGGTCCTCATCAGATATGAAGCAGAAGCTGAGCTTTCCAAAGCACAAGAACCTGCTTGTATAGAAGAAGAAGAAGCTTTGCCAAAGACACGAGCAGAGCGAGGGCCAGGAAACCGCGGCTGACGAGAATACTTGGAGTCGTGAAATTTGATGTCAATTGGTTGCTCCAGAGCGGACGCTAACGGAATGTCACGCTCATTCACCTGCCCGTCACTCACACGTGCCAGCCACGACGCCACGAAACAAGCCAAAGCCCATGCACATCACATCCCGTCACATCATGAAATAATGAATCCTCGTATATACAAGGGTGAACGCTGTGAACTTCATTCCTTAAATAAATGAAAAGCCAGAAATCCTCGAGATCTATATCGACGAAAATAATACTTTTTCTACATTTGTCATGTGAACAGCACAGCGTCCATCCCATTCATTCCACGCTGCTGGTATGTCTTATCTTATCTTCTCTTCCTCCCTACAGACATTCGTCGACAGACACTAGAAAGAAACGTGCCATCACGTCCATTCACCCATCCATACCCGCCGGAACGCCTCGCTTAAACAGAAACTGAAAGGGAAAGCCCAGCCCATGATGGGCCAATATGCGACAAAAGAGAAGCTAAAAAGGTGATGCGAATTTCTTTCCTCCTCTTATCCTTCACCTCACGAACGAATTAAACATTCATCATCTATACCTCGCAGCCAAGCCCGCAAACGCGTCCGGACTATGTCTCCCATTGCCAGCAAAGCCTTGAAAGTCCCTGCTCTCATTACTCACGTGCCGAGGTGCCATCTGCTGCTGCTGTTGCTGCTGCGCGGGCTGGGCGCCAAAAGGGTTCCCGCTGTTCATCATGAGGTTCGGCGGCATAGTGACGCTGCGTTGAGGGACCTGTTGTTGTTGCTGCTCGTACGTCTGCTGGGGAGCCGAGCCATCTTCAGGTAGAGTTTGTAATTGTCTTGGTGCAGGCGCGAGCTGGGGATAGTTGTATAATGCCAGGATTGATGACTTGTCTTGGCGAACGGGTTGCTGATATTGAGCATTGAGAAGTGGTTGGGAGTTGTATTGCCAGGGCTGCTCTTGTTGTGGGTGTTGAGCAAATTGGGTTTGAGGCTGCTGTTGAGGCTGGGGTGCGGAGTGTTGAGCGAGTTTCTGTGCCCAGGGATTCGAAGCAGGAGGTTGTGTGAAAGATTGTTGCTGCGGCAATTGCTGTTGCGGCTGAGGTTGAGAGAAAAAGTCTGCTTGTTGACCGTACATGGGCTGCGGTGATGCCATTGGAGCTTGTTGCGTAAAGCCCTGTTGTTGCCATGGGTTGCTGGCTTGCTGCTGCGCGAATTGCTGCTGTTGTGGAGCCTGTTGTGCCCAAATGTCATTCGCACTCGCGTTCGCAGTCTGTGGCTGAGCGCTTTGCTGCATGAACGGGTTGTTTGCAAACTGTGATGTTTGTTGCTGCGCAAATGATTGCTGTACAGGTGGCGGATATGAAGCAGATGGCTGATCCCAAGGAGACGCCGTCTGTTGCGGTTGTGCTGGTTGTGGCTGCAAGAAAGGATTGTTGGCCTGCATTACAGCTGGGCTCTGCTGATATGCTTGCTGGGTCCCGGTGTGCCAAGGTGAGCTAGCCTGCGTTGCCGGTTGCGAAAGAGACATGTTCTGAAAGCTGTTCTCCAGCGATGTCTGAGGCTGTACAGCCGATTGCGGTTGCAAGAATGGATTCCATGACGCCGATGCCGCCGTAGGCTGAGGAGGAACAGAAGATGCGCGTGCTGGGACCGCGGGAGGCGCGGCAGATTCTCGTACCTCCCACGGGTTACTTGACTTCTTCTCAATGCTGATGCCGTTTGCCCCAGAACTGCCCATCGAGACCGGTGTCAACGCTCGTGGCCCCGGTGTCACCGACCTCGACAACGGTTTCGTGCCTTCGCCTAATCTTATCAATGTTTCAACAGCCTTCTCCACATTCCCGCCCGTGCTTTTCAATATTTCGGTGTTCTTCGAATTGTCTGGGAACCCCATATCTCGAATGTGCGACAGCTTCGCCTGGAAGTTATTGTCCACTGTAGTGATCTTCATACCAAATAGCTGGCTTGGTTTGTTGCCCCTCTTCGGGCTCGGCAGATCATTGCGGTCCCCGCTGTATGCAGGCGAGAGAGGTGGTGTGATTCGATCCGCGCGCTGTTTGGGTACCGCCGCACTTGAGGACCGTAAAGAGAAGCCAAATCGTTTCGTGGGCTTAGGAGGCAGTTCGGGAGGCTCCTCGCTCCAAGATCCAAGGTCTGTTGCAGTACTCCCCGTGTTCTGTCTTGCAGCAGGTTGTGCTCGTCCAGTACTCAAGGCCTTGGTGACATACTTTTGCCGTATGTGTCTCTCTAACGCCGAGTCGACCTCGTCCACATCAATAGGTATTTCCGGTCTCACATTCTGCGGGTTGTATGTCTTGTTGCTGGCCACGTTGCCCACTTTCTTCATATTCTCCACCTGCTCCACGCTCCAGCTGTCCATCGACAGTGATTTGACCTTGGAGACATGTGTGCCGAGCTTGCGGTGCAGAGCAGCACATCGCATGCAGAGAAAGATGCCCAAGTTCCAGCTGGCCCAGCCTGGATTCTTCGCAGCGCAGTCTGCGCACTTGTCGTTGCCCGGCACTGTCCGTAGGAGGTCCTGCAGCATGCGCTCGTTGCGAGCCTGCTGCCGTTTCGTGATCGCGCTCGCCATGTTGCTGACAGCTCAGGCGTGACCTCGTGCTCCTCCAACGCGGACGCGGGTGCGACTGAGGGTGCGCGTGGATCGCAGGGCCCCTATGTCGTGGGGGCTGGGCGGCGGGATGTCGGAGGAGGAGGCAGAGGGGAGCGAGGATTCGAGGAGGATTAGGCGTTCGTAGGTAGATGCTGCGAATAAGAGATGCTCGACCAAGACAGCAGCACAAACCGCCAACAGATGATGCGGAAACAAGCGTAGGAGCGGCGTGCATAAGATTTAGATTAGCATGCACGCGTCCTCATCGCCGCCCAGGGGCCTGATCACGGCGCCGACCACCCCCGTCCTCCCCAGTCAATGACAGCTGAGCGCCGCTGTTCACGCTTCTCTCCTGCTTTGCACCCACTTCCACGACCAATTTCACGCTGGCTCCAGCGCTGGCAGTGATGCTATCCACCGCGACGCGCATTTTCGAGGTTGCGTCCCGCGACCGCCACGGCCACGCCTTGTGTGTCTCGGCCCAGATCGCCCGATGAATTCGGCCCGTGCTTCAGGCAATGTCCAGGTATTGCCTCGCAGTTGCTGGTGTTGACACATACAGACGTCCTCGGAGTGTTCCAGATTCCCGCCGAATGTAACCAGAACAATGTCGGCGCCTACGCATGCTTTTGTCGCGAGCACACGCGCGAGCCATATCCAGAACGAAGCCTTCCGACAGTGATACCAGAGCGAAGTGCAGTAGATGTCATTCCGATGGCAGCTTGCACGAACCTGCGCGAAGAAAACAGTCCCGGACGACGTCGTGGAGTCGGACAGCATGATACGGGCTCACTTCACGCACCCGCCGGGATTGTGCGCTTTCTCCATACCGCGACCACGGAATTGCCAAACCCAACATTCCAAGGCCTATACAATCAGACTTCTCGTTCGCAATAAGTATGAAGTTCTCAAGCGGGTCGTTGGATCCTCACGTACTAGTAGGTATGCGGTGACCCATCGCGTCCATCGGCTTCTCGACGCGGAGTGTATGGGCCGAAGAACTTTCCACTGTCGGCATAACACGGCTGCTTTGCCCACGGTATGTACGCAAAGTAACAGTAATGGACTCAACCAGAGTATTATTCCACTTGGCACCAGCGCACCAGCAACCTTTTACGAAGCACAATCATATCTTGCACTGCCGTCCGTTGCATCCCTCCTTCACAGCACCTCTTCAAACCACCTAACACAGCACCCACATCGCAGGCATCACAAGCGACAAGATGCAAATCTCGAAGTTCCTCGGGCTGGCGCTCGCGGTATGGTCAGCAACTGTCTCTGCCAAGCTGCATTTCAGCTTCGCCCAAGGCGGTCACAACTCTTCAGCAGAGGGTCTCAATCACTGCCTTGACATGTACCAGGAAGCTGTTCAGCTAGCTTACAAGCGCCAAGCAATGTTCAAGAAAGGCGACTGGAAACCTCTGCAAGGCGTAGACAACTACGACCACAGCATCAACAATTCAAGATTTAACTGTACTGGAGCCGAAGATTCTGTCTTTGAAGACGGCAAGAAGCACAGCGGAAAATCCCGCACGCCATACTTGCAGGCATGCATGCCCATGTTCAGATCCGCTGCGAGGGAGGGCGCTCGATGGGCACATTGCACCTTGAAGGACCATGATCTCAGACATGGCACGGTCAGAGGCTTCATCTATATGGGCTGGAGTCCCGCGGGTTTCGAGATTTGCAATGATGACGCGAAGAGGGGCATGCAGAGCACTGGCCCTTGCAGAATCACGCGCGATCAGTCGAAGCTTTTTGAAGGGTACGAAGGCAACAGAAAGTGATTTTTGATTCTTGCGGTGCGCCAGGAAACTTTTGGAGCCTGCATTTGGAGCGTTGCTACTGGCAGCGAGCGGTGGTTGTCAGACGACAGGTGAGGCAGCAGCTCGTAAAGCAGGTCATGCGCAAGCAAATGATCGCGTCCGAGGGACTTGCGGTTACCAACACCACTGCGAGACACGGTCCTCCCGCGATGTCGAATTGAACCAGTGAACGGTCGATGGCGTGCGCGAGGAGAGGGGACTGCGAAGGTAGAGCGCCCCGTCAATTGGGATCTGAAAGGGCAATCACCACTTAACGAGTAGAATGAGGCGGACAAGACCAGCCACAGCAGTCCCTACCTCTAGGAGGTAGCTCAGCTACTCCATACCTTCCTATTGCATCTTTTTGACCAGTTGGTAGAGGTCCACCTACCAGAGAGCTCCTAACACTGGACACATCCTATATTAGCTGCAGGTACGCAGGCATTCTTGCATTGCATGCCGAGAAATTCGTGACGCAATTCTAAGTCTTTGCAAAACAATCTCTGTTTCAACGTCACGTCTTTCGGTCCCACCTCGCTACAACTCGTCTTCCCCGTGTTGTGTACCGTGTTCACGGAATTGCCCCATCTGGAGATCCGGGGAGAGGCGGAGGAGGATCATCGGGCCTCCACTATTGATACACGATGCCTACACATTCGTTGTCGATGATAAGATGTGTGGGACAGGGGAGAATTTGTGCTTGCGCGTGAGGCTCTCGTCAAAGTCGTGGCGTGGACAATTCATGCTCTGATAGGGCAGAAAGTTTGCCGAGGCTCTCATTCGGCAGGAGCAGACGACAGCGCGAGGCGATCACAAAAACATCCCAGAACACAACATTATTGCTCATTGGAATACTCATTCACTCTTCATCGCTGACTGCCGCCTCACTGCCTCACCGGGACCTTCCGCTTGGTCAGACGATCACAGACAACAAGGGCCTACCAACGCGACGCAAAGATGGCGTTCGAGCGGGCGACAGCAGTGAAACAGGTCGACTCCCATACCTACAGCGCCGAATTCATAGACGATTGGTGTATAGGATCTGGTATGTCGCAAGTCTGCAGATCCGCAAACCATCCGCCCAATCTTCTTCCATTGCAATCCGCCCACTCTCCACGCTCCCTGCCTGAAGTCGGAAACCGCTTGGGAGCCTCATCGGGCCTACTTCGCCCGTACCCAGTCATATGCTGATAGACGGGAACAGTTCCACATGGCGGCTACGTAACTTCGACTCTCCAAGCAAGTCTACACTTCATACCCACACACGTGCAGAAGTCACTCAACAATACTTAAAGACTGACAATTTCCGTTGTTCTTGTTCTCGCAGAAAGCAGTCAAGAAGCATTTTGATACCACACTTTCCAAGCAAGACCAACCACATACCCTTGCTCTTCACTTAGACTTCCTCCGAAGAACACAAGTCGGCCCCGCGACATTCACCATCAAAGATGTCAAGCTCGGCCGCCAAACCTCTATCGTCCACGTCTCACTCACTCAAGATGGGCGTGAAGAAGTTGTTGGGTAAGTCCACCCGCACTTCCCAACACTCTTCCTCTCCATACTCCACGGCCGTCACCTCCACCTACACCACCCCGGCCGAATCACGCCGCAACTCCACTGTCGACTTCGACATGCTCTCGCACCTTCTCGCAGCCTACGCCGAGAAAGAACGAGACAGCAACAACAAAGCCAAAACCTCCCTCTCTGACATCGCCCGTGAACACTTCACAGCTACTGCACCAACACGAACCTCTCGAAAGAAATGGGCCTTACCTTCCACACGAACTGGCAAGCCCATCCCAAGCGCCTGCCGCTAACCTCCTCCCTCACCACCCTCGAACGCAACCAAGACCCCTCTTGGTCCGAACTCACCACCTGGCCCAACCACAACTTCCGCAAAGCCACCAACCAAATCCGCTCCTTCTTCCCCCGCTCTGGCCAACCCGCCCAAAACATCTACGACCAATGGGTCTGTCTCCGCGACCCCACCGAAACCTGGACGAACGAAAAACTCGGCTATCTCGTCGACATGTTCCCTCAACTCTGCGAAACTTATATCCTCGATGGATTTGATCAATATGATCCCAAACTCATCGAATCTGAAGCTGGACTGAAACTTCGTGATTCGAAGAAGAAATTCACGCCGTATTGGTATCCTACTGTACTTTTGAATTTGGATGTGAAGAAAGCTTTACCGGAGGGGGGAAGGAAATTTTTGTTTTCGAGGTTGCAGGCCAAGCAGATTAAGAATGGGAGGTATGATTTGGAGGTTGTGGTTTGGGATGAGGAGGATGAGATTGTGGCGTTGAGTCATCATGTTTGTTTTGTGGTCAGTGCGGAGAGGAATTTGGCGAAGAGGACTACTGGGGGAAGTAAGATTTAAGGATTTATTTGGTGATAGTGGGAGGCAGGTTTTCCCTTTTGTTGTTTATTGCTGTACAGACAGATATGATATCCGGGAGAACGGAACACGATATCTTTGAAATATAAATGCTTAGAAAGAGAGAAAGAATGTTGTAGACAAGACTATGATATTAGGTCAAAGAATCATGCTTGTTTGGGGTATCGTATGTGGTCTGTCACCGAAGACTATGCTATGCAACACCATGAGCGCTCAAATGCTCGTCAAAACATCAACTCATCGCAAATAATATCGCATCATCCCACTACCCTCTCACATACCAACTATTCTTCTTCGCAAACTTTCTCGATTGCTCGCTCTGCGGCTGACTCGTTTGCTGCGGATTCTGCTGATAACCCCGATGCGCTCCCGCAGCCGCCCAAGCCGCAACATCCGAATGCCCTGTTGGACCACGTTCGTAGCCTGGCTCGCCAGGGTGCACAATCTTCAGCTCATGTTGGGGCAGGCCTTCCGGATTCTTCTCGCTCATCATGTCTCCTGAACGATGAGAGCGTCTGAGATCGGGAAGGTGCTCGCCTGTGAAGGCCAAGATTGTCCAGAGGCAGGCGGAGATGAGGACCAGAATCGTTGTTGCCCAAACGAGTGCAATCAGTTTGTGTCCTGCGTTGGCTTTGAGGCCGACGTCGTCGCCGAGGACATTGATGACTGCGGCGGCAGCAGTTGCGATCCCGTGGGTAGCGGCAGCGCCGAGGGCGAAGAAGCCTAGTGCTGGAACGCAGAGAACGACGTTCAGGATTGCCTTCTTGCGCGAGTATGAAATTACTGCCCAGATTGACGCGAGCAGACAGAGACCAGTGAAGAAGATGCCAATCTCAAAGAGGACACGGACAAGGCTAAGCGGGTTGAGAGCGGAATGGTCCTTGCATTCTTCGATGATCTTTTCGGTTCCATTGGGAGGCAAGGGTGAGCCGCCGACAGTAATGTTGACGCCTGATGGGGTCTTATATTCGCCAGAGCAGGTTGTGACAAGGTGGACGCTGTAGAAGCCGTCGAGGTCCAGAGTGGCGAGAAAGTCGGAGTAGGTTTCGTTAACTTGTTCAACGACTGCGGTCTGCACAGAGGCGACAGCAGAGGAGATTTTCGAGACGACTATTCCTTCGACTGAGCTGGCTTTGGATTCGACTGCAGACGCGATGGCTGTTGCTTTGCTCTGTATGCCGTCTTTGGCAGAGGTGATTGCATCGCCGACGGCTTCTCCTGCGTCGCTCTTGATCGAAGCGATGCCGTCAGAGATGCCGTCCACGAAGTCATCGAGGCCGTCGGGATTTCTTGGTGCGAGTGTGATGTGTGCTCCAGGTGGTGCAGTCACATGGGCCGCAACGTTGACATCGATCATCATGGGGACTTCTACCAGATCGCGCTTGGTGAGGACCCGGGTCACATTCAGCCCCATGATCTTGTTATCGATTTTCTCCACTGCATTCTGGCCAAATCGAGTCGTGTTGAGGTTGAAGACATAGTAATCTTCCAGGAATCCAGAATTATTGCCAGCAAAGATGCAGAGGAAGGACAACACAAAAGCTGTCGCGATCACCAGGACCGGAAGTATTGCGAAGGGTTGAAAGTTGCGGGCCATGATATCTGCTGTGCTGGACTGTTCGTGATATGTTCTGCTGCGGGTTGATTCTGCTGTTTCGTGGTCTGTCGTGCAAGTGGTGATTAAAAGTCTTGCCAGCAAGTTAACGGTATAGCGCACAGCGCCTGATTTGAACAAGAAGGAAAGATAAGGAAAGCGGTCGGGCGAAGAAACAGGAAATAGTGAAGTGTCGGTGCGGAGATGGTGAATGCAGGGAAGAGGAAACGGTCGTGAAGACTACCTCGCCGCCATGCCACTGCCACGAACAGCAGGCGCTGCCAGGCCAGCGTGACCCCACTTCATTGTCTCGTCGACCTCGACAATAGCCCAGAATAGCAGGCCAACAAAGAGCGACATGTCGTAGCGCGGTTGCGAGTCTTTGTGAGAGGGTATTGTTGATAGGCTGGCGTTGCGCGAGTGACGCAGCGCCTACCTGAAACATGGCCAAGCCTTTTTACGCGAGACCACGTGATGCGCGTCTAGCAGGGCTGGCCCTGGCCCTACTTCGGCTAAATCAAATGGCGGGCGATAGCAGCACTGTGACGTGGTCGTTCTCTCCATCGCATGGATTAAAGACTGAAATCTTGCTTCGCGACCCCAGGAACATTGCCCACGTCGCTATCGTGGTCTCCTCTAGATCGAGGTGACTCATTCGCGTGTCCAGATGGCGACAGTTCCGGGAAAGACACCATTTTCGTAACAGTGTCAAAGGTATGCTTCGCCATCATACAGAAAATGGCATTTTTACTCGTCACAGGATTTCTGCTCGATAGCAACGGGGGCGAAAGATTTGCCCTGATCGCACTGTAAGTTTTCGAGTTAGATTATGCTCAAGCTCAGCCAGGCTTCAGGCAAGCATTTCAGCCCGTTTCATCCGCCTCACTTCAGCGACAGGACTGTCGCATCACAAGCACGAATGTCGCAAAAAGAGGGGGAGCGGGCCAAAACATTCAGCTTCGCAGCCTAGATGATTCCAATCTTTTCGCCATCGCGCTTGACCAATCTACCACCTTTCCAGACAAACTTCACCTCTTCAGCTCGCGCCAATACCTCAATATCGTCCAAAGGATTCTTCACCAGGGCGATGAAATCGGCATCGTAACCTTCGCGAAGCTGTCCTGACTTCGGCGCCTGCGGGCCCAGAGTCGCAGGAGCAGTCGCAGTTCCAGCTTCGATCGCTTGCAGAGGCGTCAGACCTGCTTCGACGGCGTAGTAGAACTCCTTGCCATTCGTGCCGTGGTTGAATTTGGCTCCGTGACTGGAGATACCGAGATCGGTACCAAGAGCTATGCGTACGCCAGCTTTGATCTGAGGAGAATGTCAGTTTCTGTGAGCTGCGCGCTCGTTCGTCGTGAAATGGCCGGACACATACGGCTTTTCGGTATGATTCCTTGTTCGCATTCACCGTCTCGGCCATCTTCTGATAGCTCTCTGGAGCCATTTGTTCCGCATGCTCAATGCCATATTGTTGGACATAGCGAGTGGGGACAAGAATTGCTTCCTGGTGAAAGTCAGTCGCTGCTACTGCCTTCATACCACTGTGGACGTACCTTCTCAAGCATGAGCTCGATTGCCTCTTCTGTCAGGTAACTCCCATGCTCGATCGTCTTCACACCAGCGTGCAAAGCTGCCAGCTAAATATGCAGAGTTAGCCCAGGCTTCAATACTCGATATCGATACTCACAATCCCTTCCGTTCCGTGCGCATGCGCTGCCACAATCATATTCGTCCGCGTGGCTTCCCCGACGATAGCTTCCAGCTCCGCATTCGTGAATTGCGCCGCTTTGGGACTATCAATCCTACTCAAGACGCCTCCCGTAGCACAGACTTTGATCACACTCGCACCACGCCTGATCTGCTTCCTCGTCTGCTTTATCGCCTCATCGATGCCATCCGCCAAAGCGAGTGGAAAGCCGTCCGTCATGCGATGATGCATCAGCTCCAAGGGCATGGTGTGCAAGTCTCCATGACCGGCGGTCTGGCTGAGAATTGAGCCTGCGGAGTAGATATGAGGACCTGGAATCCAGCCTTCCTCGATGGAGCTCTTGATGTCTATGCCGTAGCCGCCGACTTCGCGAACGCTGGTGAAGCCGGCATTGAGGGTCGCTACTGCATCGCGTGCGATTCGAAAGCCGGCTGTGGAGGAGGACATCAGCGCGATCTGCTCAAGATTCAGATCTTTTTGGCCGATGAGCTGGCTCGCCTGTCAGTGGAGAACAAACATAAAGATGCTGACTTCTACGTACGTGAACATGGCAATCCCACATTCCCGGCATCAGAACGGGAACATGCAAGCTCGCCTTGACGTTGGCATACTTGGATGGAACATCATCTTTGTTGCCTGCAAACAAAATCTTTCCTTTGCCGCTTGCCTTTTCAATCGCTTCGTAAATCAATGCAGCATGTTTGACAGGCTCGCCTCTGCCTGGGATAAGAAGATCTGCGTCCACCCGCTGCGTCTTGGGGCCTGCAGGTTCTCTGATCGCGATGTTTCGTGTCATGGCGAGTTCGACTTCGCTTCACCGGGACAAGGGATGTTTCGATGGCCATCTTGACGCTGCCGCTGCTGTGAGGATGATAAGGCAGTGGTTGGTGGAGCGCTCGGTTCGGCCAGCTCTTCGGCCAAGCTTTGGCCGAGGCTGATGGTGCCGGCGCTGTTTCGACTTCACTTACTCTTTGCCATCAAGGCATCGCACAAAGTATGGATTGTGCATTAATTACAGACTCAGCAGAGATTGAGTGGACCTCCTGGATTCAGCTCGACCGACTGTAAGGGCTTCACGGTGGTCTTTGACCTCGCTCTTCCCTTTCGCAGAAACTGGTGCACTGAGGCCTCAACATTGACATCGCAATAGGAGGGTTTGCAGTTGAGAACATCGAATGCGTGCCTCGATGGACGAGTATCGAGCATCTACCTCCAGGCTCAACTTTGCGCCTTCCAAGCAACGTGCATCACGAGGAATACGATCGCTTTTTCGGACCCAACGCAGCTAATTTCATCAAATTTTTCCGGCATGAGAAGCGGAGAATCCTACCTAACCTTGGCATCCGCCCAGGCGTCAGTCTCGAGGGCGTTCGAGTTGGATCATTAATCCACGACACAGGAAGGTTTTGGTCCAGACGAGCTGGAGAACCTTGTAAGCTGACAAGACATATCGAAACTGCCTACCTACCGAATGGAGCTGGGTGAAGTCGAAACTCCGTCATCGAAAACACAAAGGAGATATTCAATACCCGGTCACCTCCACCACACTCGTGCGAATACCGCATGTCTGCCATCATGAGAGTCCAAAGTTCAGTGTCCGAACGCCTTCGACCCTGACTGCACCTTTGAGATCCGTAATGGCCCATTAGGATGCCGTTCCTGCTCTGTTCGCGAGCCCAGGTACACCTTGACGGCGCTTTTGCTTGACGTTCCACCGACATGCGCGCGGTTTGTTGCAGCCGTCTTCTTAACATCCAACTCCTGCTTCTACAATGCCCTGCGAGAGAGCGTCAGTAAAGCTGAAAAGTAACTGTGGACTTTGCGACCAGATAAACTTACCAGATCTACACAGCCTTTGACGTTCTTGTCGACATCGGTACGAGTACCAGTACCTGTCCTGCTGGAAGTGCTTGTTCTGCCGGTCGTGGACGTTCTCCCAGTGGTTCCGCCGTCAGATATTCCCCTTCCACTGGGTCTGACTGTGCCTCCGCCAGAAATACCGCCGGAAATCCCTCCTCCAGCTACTGCTCCTGTGCGACTAACACCTCCAACAGCCGTACCCACACGATTGGTGGCCGGCGGAGCGAAAGGATTCCAGCCACCAAGGGGATTTGGAGGTCCGGTATAGAAAGACACGAAAAATCCCTTATCGGTATCGGTCAAGAATCCGTTAGCTGAAGTGTGAGTCTCCTCGTATGAACCACCAGAGCACACGAGTCCGATCGATTTGGCGCCATCGCTGAAGCAACCAGCGTACGGGTTATCAGTAGGGCCACGCCAATACAGCGAACCCCATTCCGCCGGTTCTGGTGGTGGCGTGCCTCAGTAGTCTTCGAAATTCCAGTAGTATGGGTATTGGCGCTTTCTGTGCTTCACAGCTGGGAGCTTGATGGTCTCATCCTCCGCGGTGACATCGCGCGCTTCGACGCTGTCCTCCAGCCGCTCTATCTCCGGGGGCAATGGCAATGCGTTCAAGAGCGTCGCAAACGCAAGCGCAATGACAGCGACCTTCATTCTGATTTAGCGACTGGACGTAGTGCAAACACTACATGAATACCTCGAAAGTGATGGACGGAAGCTGGCGGTCTTGCTGGTGTTGGGACTCAGCTGAGTAAAGTTGGGGGCGACAGGCGTGACTTCGCGGCATGGCCAGTGCTATCAAGTTTTCCAACGCAATCTGCGATGGTCCTCCGATCCCTGACCGAGGTGACAGATGAGAGCAGCAGGTTTGATGGTTGCATCTTTCGTTCACAAGAGCAGAATTTCCTATGCTAGATCTGGCATCGAGGCAACTGATGTTTCTATAGCATTGGCATATGTCAAGCAGTCAACTTTTGTTTAGTCATTGTTGTGTCTTCACTCTAGGCTACCATAGCCCACACGGAGAGACTTGCATGATTAGATGGCCGGTAGAATGTACTGCCCTGCCTTCTTCTGTTTTGCCGTACGTTGTATCATGCTTTCTTGGCACATACCACTTGCGATCAGATAGACAAGGGCTGCGGCCGCTCCGATGCTCTTGTACCGTTGTAGTGCCAACACTCGAGCCACAAATTGCAGATCATGCCCTGCTGATCTGCGTTCAATTCGTACAGCCTGCTCCACCGCGCGCGTACGCTTCCTCCGCATCTTGAGCTTTGAGATGCACTTACTCGGGACACTCATCGATACAAAAGGGAATACGGACAATCTGGCAACATGCTTCTGCCATGCAGCCAACAAATGTTAGACAAATGCAGCTCTAGCACGCACACTCACTCACTGGGTCAAAGCTTTGGCGCCATCGTGAGTGTGAATTGCCAAATGGGGACGATGAGGAGCATTGGAGTAGGGCCCGAGGCCAAACAGCCCAAGCTCATTGGTGCGGTCTGGCTATATCCATGTCAACCAACATGGTACGATCCTCGATGCTCGGATCAAATGCGACGAAGCAAAGAGACATAGCGCTTGTGGGGAAACGACCAAGCTTCCACAGTGCATGATTCAAGTAATTGTTTCGGGGGAATACCAAATCTGGTCGGATCGAGACCGGAACAGAATTTTCCGGAATGGGGTCTTGTGGTCGATTGTGTCGTGCAATAACTGTCTGGGAGTTCTGGTACAGTAGTCTCTCCAGCATTCTTGGTGGTACATTGGCATTGGTTCACAGTAGTTCCTGCGGAAGCAGGGTAGTGCTGACGTGGTGCGGTGAAGTCCTCGGCAATAATAATCTCAGCCAATTGCCCGACCTTGTGAAGACACCTTGGATGTGATTCGCCGAATACGGGCGACGAAGGCCATCGTGTTGGGCTGTAGGTCTAGAACACCATCTTAATGGGGAAGTTCGGTCAGCAATAACCCCTTCCGGTTACCAACAACACCCGAGTCGCCTGACGCCGACTCTTTGTAGCATATGCATAATTAAGCAAAATCTTCAGTCAAACAAGCTTTTGCAAAATGAGTCGAACCATCAGAGCAAGGTAGACACTCTTGGCGTCGGCCACAATGTACTGACCACAAACAGCGGAAGCACACCGTTGCTTCGAACTCTATAGTATGGTTCAGTCATTAGTACGGGGCATCCCTGTGTCCAGTCGATACCCAGTTTTCGAACGGAGACGATGGACTGTTGGCCATCTCCACGCTGGGCCCTCACGATGTTCACAATCATACAATAACCAATGCCGCAGTTTGAACGGAGACGGCAGGCGATCGATATGAATAGGGTGCTTGAGTCCAAGATCATTCGGTATGCACAGAAGACTCGTTGCTTTTACTCGGCCGGATCGATCGATTTCCAACGCGAAAAATCTACAGTATCACTCATCAGATGTGGCCCAGACGTTGATGAAGGCGGATCTAGCAGTGGGAAAGAGCTTTGATCCTCGGTGCTTGGGCACAAATGGTCTGAGGCCGTGGAGACTAAGACCATCGACTGTTGCTCGTAAAAGATTAGTGAACATTGTGTTGGTCAGGAATCCAGAGAGGGCTTTAAGAATGAACATGAAGACGCTCCAAGTTTCTCAAAATCCGCAAGATTCATTACCCAGCAAGCGAGGGGAAAGTCTCCGTGAAAAGATCATGTACATCTTACCCATGCTATCCGCTGCTCTCGCTACGCTCTGCGCTTCGAGCTGTGCTCAAAGCGACCCAGCAGACGATTTCTTGGACCCGACCACAGCCACCCCTATCGGCGATTGTTCTAATCAACAGTGGCTCGACAATGAAGTGAGTCCTACCCATCACAAGACTTGGTGTGCTCATTGGCTGATCGCAAATTCCGAAGTGTCCATGGGGGCAATCGTGCTGTGTATACTCGACTTTCATCATCTTCGAACAACCAGCGTGCTGCAATACGCTGGAGGACAACTGCTGTAACTCCGAGCTCACGCACTGGACTATTTCGCCATGCACTGATTTCGAAGATCCAAATAAGGATTATGTGAGTAATCGACCTTCACAGCATTGTTCATGTCTGTGCTCGAACTGACAGAATCGCTACATAGTGTGATCCGAAGCCGGACCTGCCCCCAGAGAACACAAAATGTTGTGTTGAGACGCGTCGCGTCGATGAAGAATATTATTGTTGTGTACCAGGTGAGCCAGATTGCTGTTGACAGGAGGACAGCTTTGTGCAAAGCTTTCCGCATGCGAGGGAGCGGCTTATTTCGTCATTACTGAACTTTTCACTTCCAATGTGAAAGAAGTCTTTGCTCCTGCAAAATGGCATAGTTCCCTGCGAATACCAAGGCGAGTCGGGTTCTGTTCCACGCAAAGTGCAGCAGTCGAAGTATGCAAGAAATCTTGGGCCCCAATACTGTCGTGGCAGGTGGCCTCGGTTGCTACGTATCGCGCGAGTGACCTTCGATCAGCTTTGTCAGTGCAACGTAGCAGAAGGTTCTGATACCACGCTGGAATGCTTGGTTGCACCCATGCCTCTCTCCTGCTGTCTCTTCTCGACATACTTTCTCCTTGAGCAGCCAGCTTGTTGCGACACATTCGGGGACAACTGCTGTGGTTCGGAGACCAGATATTACGAATTCTCCTCATGCACTATAGACGAGGATCCCAATGGAGATTTCGTGAGTGTCGAAGCGTAGGGTGATATGTGTCTCATGGCCAGAGCATATGCTGATGGAAACGCTATGCAGTGCAGGCCTGGGCTGCCACCTAAAGTGAACGATCCGACAAACACGGTATGCTGTGTGGCACGCAAGGACGCAGCCTCAACGACGTTCTGCTGTGCACCCAGTGACGAAGATTGCTGTGACGAGTAGTGAGTGCTCGGCAATCACCTTCCGTGCTATAAGGATTAATCAAAAATGGAACAGCGCGCAAGCACTTTCCGACCTGGATTTAGTCCATACACAACTCTTGTCATCGGATAAAATCCCCGTGCGTGGCCTGGGCGAGGAATTTCTTCCTGCAGATAGGAACGCCTCGAGAGTAAGCATGTCTTCGTGGCGGGACGATCTGCGCCTCCACGCTTCATATTATTGCAGTTTCTGTTCCACACAAACTATGGCAACCCAATCATGAAAGTAGTCCTGGGCACCTCAAACAAGGTGAATAGGTTTGTTCTTGCAATGAAAATTTTGAGATAAAACTCCAGAAAAGCTCATGGAAGAGAAGGAGCTTTCTGAGAGGACTGTATTGCGGATTTGGAACGTCGACAACTTTTGCGTTCGACTTTCAAGGTCTCATGGAGGCGGGAAAAGGAGATGGAATGCTGTCATGTCCGATGAAGACAGGATGTCTGCTGTGCTGGAGGTTGAATAGAAGCTCGCAGGCCCACAGCGGACGTAAGACTACGAGCGGTGCGGAGGGATTCAAGACACGGTACAGCGGAAATAAACAGTGATGTTGAAGTCGTGATACGTAGGAGATGAAGTCAAAGAAGTGTAAAGCAGAACGACGAAGCTGAAGAAAAGTCGGCTTCGGGCGGAGGTGCGGAGGTGAGATCCCAGCCACAAGTCTCGGCACATGTGCGCCACAGCTGAAACTCTTCGTCTGTGCTCTGGCATCCGAATGAAGTAAAGTGACGGCCACCCACCAGATGCCACGATACGATAGATACTGATGCTCGTAATTCGAGATGCAAACTCCAATCGGTCGCCCAAGTGGCGGTTGTGCAATACACCAAAACCCTAATCACCACTCGCCGCAACTGCAGCTTCAATGGGAATCGAGTGCCGCCACTTTACCTGTCGCTTCCGATTGATGTTGTGAAGATGTCGCACTGTGCAATTCTTTCGGCATGGTGGTAGCGACTCCAGGTAGCGCAAAATTGCGTCATATTTTCGCTGAGCAATGAATAATGGTCTAGCTGTTCTCACTGCACGAGGGCTTTCGTGGGTTGAATCCTGTTTCTTGGAGTTTTCACCCACTCGGACCTTGAGCTCACGGTCGAAATGACACCAATTTAGCTCTACCTCGCCCCTCAGATTGGTCCACAGTCGACCCAGCCGCGCCATTCGATCAATCTCGAATACCACTCGATCATAAGTATCTCGACCAACGAGCAGATCCTGAGCGAAGAGCATGAGGAGGTCGTTGCCCGACACTCGAAGTTCTGCTCTATGGCTCAGTGGCGCCTCTAGGGGGTCGCAGATGATTCCTTGGCCGACGATACTGCAGATCTTGCTATCGAGACCGGCTCGGAGAACCAGGCAGAAGCTTCCGGTACACGGTGAGATTTCCTCGAGAAACATGAGTAGATCCCCTGGAAGGGCGTCGTGGCATACAAGGCCTACTACTTTCTGTTCTCGACACAGTGCTTGGGGAACCACGTTGGGGGGTTGCAGTTGGGCTCGACAGGCTTGAAAACCGAAGTCTTTTATCGTTTCGATCAAGGTCGAGAGGTCAATGTTGAAATCACGCTCGTGAACATTGAGACAGTACTTCTTCCTCAAGTTGTGCGTAGAATCCCATTGCGATATTTCCAGCCTATCGTTCTGGTCGTTGTCGATGACGCAGATTCTTGCCAAAAGACGACAAGATACAGTTGCTGCACCTGCTCGGGAGCTCTCGGGGTGCGACTTCTGATTTGAGCGTACGAGTCCTCGAATCATCTCATCGTGCATATCTACGTTCAACATACTGCACAGCTCTCGCGCCTCGGTCATGTTCTGGCTTCGGTGTATTACCGCTCCTGCCAACGATGCTCTCGATCGCGTATAATCAGGCTCCAGGAGGCGCCCGTGCTCGCGCCAATTGTAGAGGGCGATTGTGCCATATATGCGGTCCCGAACGTCTGTACACTGAAATTGTGCGAGCTCGGCGAATCTGTGACATGCTGACATGGTACTCAGATGAGCATGCAATGGTATGTCGAACCCAAAGCTGCTAAATGTCAACGAGCACTCCGCTCTATGCCACAAATTTTCGAGGAAGACTCTCGATAATGTTACCGGACCACATAGAATACTACACTCTGCAGCCAACTTGAACTCTTGTACAATCCAGAGCCGATTCCAGTATGGCCGATTGAGGAAGGCATCGCACGCCGCGTGAAATTGCCACAGGGGCAGGGGAGGGTAGTCATTCGATTTCGCGCCTCTCATCAGCAGATCGTGGTACTCTTCGGCCGTAGCGGGTTCGTATAAGAATTCGGAGGCTTTGCTTCCCTCCTTCCATCTGTTGGGCATCCTATGTGTTCGATCTGATGAAATGTCTTGTACAAGAGATTCAGGCCAAAGCGAGTCAATGGTTTGAATATCGCTCGTTCCCATGCCAATGCAACAAAGTACACGCTGTGCGGATGCGAAGATGGTCCCCATTCTCTTGACTTGATGGCCCTTTTCCGTCAGATCCTCCTGATTCATGGAAAGCGAGTCGATCCAGACCCAAGATGCACCATGATGGAAACGAGCTTGCCACAGTGCATCGCGGCAGTTCGGCCGAACAAGTCGGGAGGCGCCATCGATGAAGACTTCTCGCAGAGGATCCTGAGAGCCCCACGTATATGAGATGGCAAAGTATTCTGGTGCGTCACTCTGATCGAAGATGCGCATGTCCAGCTTGAGAGTGTCATCATCTTCCCCTGCGTGCAGCCAAAGAAGGCGGAATTGTCTGTCGGGGTCTCGTAGGGACTCCATCATTGCGGAACCAGATTGAGAGACTTACGGAGAAGCCAGGCAGCAGAGGAGGGCATTTCGAGATGAGCTATCTGTGAAGGAGCAGTGTCGGATGGTCAGCAGTTCCTCCCACCTGCAGCTATTGTGGCGCGGCGAACCGCCAAGCAAGAACTGCCACCGTAGTTGAAGGCAGCCCGACGTGTTGATGACGGCGGCACGAACGTCGATTATCTGGCGTCCGAATTTGTTGACGCAGCCATCCTGTACTCACAACGATAGGGAGAACACTTGGGATGAGCAGCCATGTTGAATGGGGGCTCGTCTGCTTGCCCGTTGATCCATGCCTGCCTGCTGCATGTGCGTCAATTCCATTGTTCGTGTAGCAACGAATTGCAAAGGACGCGGTGCCAGGGAGTGTTTTTTGATGGTATCGTCCGGAGGTTGAATGCGGGACGGAGGTGGGGGGCGCGGAGAAGGGAGCGGCGTTGTCGGAGGTGAGGCAAAGCTCAGATCGGGCACGGATCCCGCCACGCATCAAGCATTCATCGCATCGACATCGCGTATCATGAATTGTCGATGCCGCAGACGTGTTTGAAGTGTTTGCCTTTCATTCTTCCCTGATTCTTGCCTGTATTACTACTCCTGTACAGTTCCAGCATGTCCCTCCGCTCGGCGGCACGTAAAGCCGCAGTCGGCCTGAGGACCCCCACCACACACTCGACTCACCTACCCACTTCGCTCCTGCCCACGAGATCGTACCTGACCGCATCCACGGCATCTGCATCTCGAATACAGCCGCAGCTATCCTTCCGCCACCTCACACCGCCTGACCCGGTCCTCCGCTCTCCCTCACGCTTCCAACGCTTTCCTCGACACACGCCCGCCTACCAACGATACTGCTCCAGTCGACGCTCCGCCATGTGTCGCAAGGAAGCTGACACGGCCGACGCCAACATGGACATCTCCAAGGGCCGTGAGGTGCTGCCCAAGAACGTTAAGCCATTGCACTACAACGTCACACTCGAGCCCAACTTTGAGACATTCAAGTATGAAGGCACAGTCGAGATCGAGCTGGACGTCGTCGAGGATACCAAGTCGATATCTGTCAATGCATTGGAGCTGGACATCAAGGAGACCAAGATAGAGGCAGGAGGTCAGACCATCACATCTTCTCCTACACTCTCCCACGATGAGGACAGTCAGACCACCAAGATCGACTTTGACCAGACCATTCCTGCGGGACAGAAGGCGAAGCTCATTCACAAGTTCACCGGATCGCTGAACGACAACATGGCTGGCTTTTACCGATCTTCATACAAGGGACCAAATGGCGAGGACAAATACATTGCCACAACACAAATGGAGCCGACAGACTGCAGACGAGCATTCCCGTGCTTCGACGAGCCTGCATTGAAGGCCACTTTTACCGTCACTCTGATTGCAGACGAGAAATTGACATGTCTGAGCAACATGGATGAGTCGGGCACGAAAAAGCTGGACAATGGCAAGAAGGCAGTTACTTTCAACAAGACACCTCTCATGTCGACATATCTGCTCGCCTTCATCGTTGGAGAATTGCAGGTGGTCGAGACCAACGACTTCCGTGTACCTGTGAGAGTGTTCTGCACTCCGGACAAGAACATTGAGCACGGCCAATTCTCCTTGAAGCTGGCCGCCCAGACTCTTGCTTTCTACGAGAAGGAATTCGACAGCAAGTTCCCGCTACCGAAGATGGACATGGTTGCCATTCCCGATTTTGCCGCTGGTGCTATGGAGGTATGTTCCAACTTTTCGTCCACATATTCTGCATTGACTTACAGCTAACACTGCTGCAGAACTGGGGTTTGGTCACATACCGTGTTGTCGATCTTCTCCTCGATGAGAAGCATGTCAGCGCGTCCACCAAGCAGCGCGTGGCAGAAGTCGTCCAACACGAGCTGGCTCACCAATGGTTCGGCAATCTCGTAACGATGGATTTCTGGGACGGTCTGTGGCTCAACGAGGGTTTTGCGACATGGATGTCTTGGTACTCTTGCAATGTCTTCTATCCAGAGTGGAAAGTGTGGGAAGGGTATGTCACGGATAACCTCCAATCAGCCCTTGGACTGGACTCGCTCCGAAGCTCGCACCCAATCGAAGTACCGGTGAAACGAGCCGACGAAATCAATCAGATCTTCGACGCCATCTCCTACTCGAAAGGATCTTGTGTCATTCGCATGGTATCGAAGCATCTTGGGGAAGATGTCTTCATGGAGGGCATTAGGCGATACTTGAAGAAGCACGCTTATGGCAACACCACAACAGGCGATCTCTGGGCAGCTCTGAGCGATGCCAGCGGAAAGGACGTTGAGCGAATCGCCGACATCTGGACCAAGAACATTGGTTTCCCTGTGGTGACTGTCACTGAAGATGCCAAGAACAGCAAGATCCACGTCAAGCAGAACCGCTTCCTGCGCACGGCTGACGTGAAGCCTGAGGAAGACCAGACTCTTTACCCAGTGTTCCTTGGTCTGAGGACAAAGAATGGCGTTGACGAGGAGCTCACGTTGAACAAGCGCGAGGCAGACTTCACGGTCCCGGATCTCGACTTCTACAAGCTGAACGCGGACCACTCTGGCATCTACCGTACATCCTACCCTGCAGAACGGTTACAGAAGCTTGGTCAGAATGCTAAGGCAGGTTTGCTGACAGTCGAGGACCGAGCAGGCATGATTGCAGATGCTGGTGCTCTTTCAGCTGCCGGATACCAAAAGACAGATGGCTTGCTTTCACTTTTGAAGGGGTTCGACAAGGAACCTGACATGGTGGTGTGGGACGAAATTACTGCTCGTATTGGCGCCCTCCGCTCGACCTGGATTTTTGAGGATGAGAAGATCAAGGAGGCACTCAAGGCCTTCCAGCGTAACCTATCTAGCCAGAAGGCTCACGAGCTGGGCTGGACATTCACTGGAAACGAAGGACACATCGAGCAGCAGTTCAAGGCACTCATGTTCGGCAACGCTGCATCTGCCGGCGATGAGGAGACGAAGAAAGCGGCATACGACATGTTCGGCAAGTTCGTTGCAGGTGATCGTGCTGCGCTGCACCCCAACTTGCGCGCTTCAGTCTACGCGATTGTGCTGCAGTACGGTGGTAAAGCTGAATACGACGCCCTCGTCAAAGAGTACGAGACGGCCACTTCATCCGATGAGCGCAACGCAGCTCTTCGCTCGCTCGGCCGCGCGCGCGATCCGGAACTCATCCAACGTACACTGGCATACTCTATCGGCAAGCATGTCAAGGAACAAGACATCTATCTGCCGCTCGCCGGCCTCCGCGCCCATCAAGAAGGTATCGAAGCATTCTGGGCATGGATGAAGGAAAACTGGGATCTGCTCAAGGAAAAGATGCCACCGTCGTTCACTTTGCTCGGATCTGTCGTCTCGATGGCGACGAGCTCGTTCACCAGGGAAGATCAGCTTCGTGACGTGGAGAAGTTCTTCAAGGGCAAGAGCACCAAGGGCTTTGACCGCAACCTTGCGCAGTCGTTTGATGCGATCAAGGCGAAGATTGGCTGGCTGCAGAGAGACAAGGCGGCAGTGGAGAAGTGGTTGAAGGATGAGAAGTACTTGTAGGATGGGCGCATCCTGGCACCGAAGACTCCACATGCCGCCATATGGTACGGCGTGAGCACTTATCTGTTTGGCTCCTTTGGCGCCTACGCCTGAGACGGATTACCAAGCGATGCACATCTTGCTGCATGTGAGCTGATCAAGGTACCACACAGCTGCTTGAGCATTGTCAATCAAGGTGTTGAAGCCCACAAAAAGTGCGATTGATGTAAAAGCGAAAATAGATGTCGTGAAAAAATTACGATAGACGCAATATAGCATTGTCGGCCATTGATCTCGAGCAAACCGCATGCGACCTTGCTGCCATGGCACCAAGAACGCACACACTGATTTCGACTCATGCACGGCTTACGCTGCACGTCAGAGGATTCATACCGCTCGCCGTGCTCCGCGAGTCAGCGTCAAATAGACTATGTTCCTTCTGGCGTCGTGGTCAATTCGACATCATCATGGCCCCGATTGGCCCCACTTCTCTCAGCCACCCTCGTGGAGAGAGCTGAACCACACCTCTCAACCTCGGAGCCATGCCCTGGGAAGACAACGACAACGACAACTATCATCATTTTCAGCAACAGTCCCGCAGACACAAAAGATATCTGTCGTACGCTAGTCGGACGCTGGTTCCTGCTCGGTATAGGAAAGCTTATCGAGAACACGAGGAGGATTTGGGATCTATGGGTGATTTGCCTGCAGAGGAGGCTTCCACTGTAGCACCAGCGACGACAATGGCGGAGGGAAAGCTTTCGGAGTAAGTCATTCCGGATTTGAAGGTGCTGCCGCTACAGCAGCTGCAAATGTGATGGTTTTCCACACTTCACAGCGTACTAGAAAGAAGCCCAAGAAGAGTAACTAATTCGCCATCATCATCCACAGCGACCTCAAATCCCTCGCCATCAAACTCGGAACTCAAGGTCCCCACAAAACTCTTCCCACTCCAAGACTCATCCAACTCCTCTTCAACGGCGTCTACATCCTCAAGACCACCGCCGCAATCTTCGTCTGGGAACATCCATACTATCCCCAGCTCTACATTCCCGCCGCTGTCCTACACTCCTACTTCGCAGCCCGAAGCGCAGACCTACAAATCACTCCGGGAGAGAACATTTCACATCCCGAAAACTCCAAACAAATCCTCGCAACACAATGGACAATCACAGTACGCTCCAAGAAAATCGACAAAGTAATCTGTTTCGCCAACCAAGAAACCTTACCCGAACCCGCAAAACCTCTAGCCGGACTTGTCAAAATCGATTTCGCGAGCATAGACCAATGGTTCGAAGAATCGACTCCAATTTTCGTACATCCCAAGGATCCATTTAAACGAATCGATATTCTCCAATCGACACGACATATTGTTGTGAAACTTCCTCTTAGCGGCCCAAGCGAAACCTCGACGTCAACAACAAAATCAGAAACCACCGCCGAAACCGAAGAAACAGAATCTGCATACCGCATAGTAGCAGACACCTTCTCCTCCATGCACCTCTACGAAACCGGTCTCCCCTGCCGTTTCTACATCCCCCTCGCACGCGTCGACGCTAGCGTTTTACGAAAATCCTCCACAACAACAAAGTGCCCCTACAAAGGCGAAGCCTCATACTACGATGTCGTAATCCCCTCATCCTCCTCACCAACCTCGCCAAATCCCTCCTCATCCTCCGACGACGAAATTGTCTTCGAAGACATAGTATGGTACTACCCTACCCCGCTTCTCGAAAGCGCCAAAATCGAAAACTTGGTCTGTTTCTACAATGAGAAAGTGAGAATTGAAGTCGATGGGGAAGTTCTGGAGCAGCCTGTCACGCCGTTTTCGAAGGGTGGAGCGGGTGGGGAGGATAAGTTGAAATTGAACAGGCAAATCAAGCAGGAAGACGAGGGCGAGGAAGTGTTGAATATGGGGAGTTTGGGAACGCCACTGGCGCCGTTGAAGGAGGAGAAGGGGTTGGAGGGGTGAGTGGTGAGATGAGGGGAAAGAGAGGGGAAGATGGGAGTGGGGAATGGCTGGGAGGAGCGTGAGGGAGATCGAGGCGATCGGGTTCAAGGACAGAATAACGAATGCTCTTCTTCTTGTTTCTATTATAGGGATTTTTACAGGCGCGCATACAGAAGCTAGAATTTGAGAGAATATTTCCAAACAGTGTTTGCATCGATGCGTATACTCGCCAAGTCACAACACAATCGGTAGGGAAGATATTGCGTTCCATCTGGCATTGACATTACTCCCCCAACAAGTCGCAGATCAACGCATAAGTAAGCAAACGATGGGAACTCGAAAGATTTCCATGATCCGCTGTACAAATTACTTTCTCATTTGTTCGCACTGCCTCGAGTGCCTCGCCTCCTCAGAGGCAAATGTAAACTATCTAACCACCAATATACCTATAAGTCTGGTTTTCTGTGTCGCCAGCCCTTCGCTAGAAGAGTCTTCCTTCTTTCCACAACTCAAAATGCCAGCCACAATCTCGTTCATTCCTCGCTCGAACGCTTGTAATCTCAAACGCAGCACTCTGATGAATAAAAATGCCGACCATAAATTTCAAACGAGAGGGGGTATGATGCTTCAAGAAAGCAAGTCCGCCAGAAAGCATAGCAAAAAGCCATAAACAATAAACACCAAACAATAAGCACTAGGTTCCTCCGTCCAGTCTTCCTCGTCTCCGAATGAGGTGGGTGGGGGTAATATGTATAATATTCGTCCGTCATCATGATGCCTGTCTCTGCCATTGATGGGCGTGCCGTGCGAAGGGTCTCTCGGCCTCGCTATGGTCTGAAGCAGCAGTGCTGTGGTGATGATTAAGCCTCGTCGGGTTATAGGACTTGTAATAATCGTCGTCGTAAGTGCAGTTCATCGAACGTAACACGCCTTCGTAGCTGTATCTCCCAGGCGCTCGCCTGGCCATCTGTCGGAGCGTCAACATGTCCGTCTGCTAGAAACTCGTGCCATGCTCCTCTCGTAAGCGTGACTGGCTCGGCTTCTTGGTCGGCCAATTTCCGCCTTCACGATTGCTGCTGCTCACGCCGAGCATGGTGCTTTCACGTCGTTTTTGCTTCAAATCGCGTGGTGTCGGAGCTCCGGTAGCAGTAGTGCTGTACACCGTAGGAGAGCGAAGCGCGTCGTTGAGGCTTCCGTAGTCACCGTCACCTTGTGGCGCCATTTGGTACTGGTATGTGGCGTAGCTCGGTTGCATAGGGATCATGCCGGTGTCATCGTGTGTGCTGTTACCCGTGGTCTGGAATTGCATCTGGTTGTAAGCAGGTGTGGGGAGATCCTGGAACATCTGTCGACGAGGCGAGCGCAAATCGTCAGACGAAGGAGCCTGGACAGCCTGTGCAGTGGCGGGAACATTAGACGCCTCGAGCTCAGCCGGTGCGCCGAAGATTCGGTGTTGCTCTTCCACGAACAGCGAGATGAGAGGGCCAGGAAGGTTCAGCGTAGGGGAGAAGACGACGCCAACTGTGATATGTTAGCAGGAATACTTTTTTTAGCAGTGGAGACTCCAACTTACGATTTCTGACGTTCATCTTGTTGACGAGCACATTATTCACAATTAGCAGCATAAACGCGGAGAGGGCCTCGAGAAGCGCGCGGTTCTGTCGTGGCAGCTTGTTGACGAGCGCATTCAGAGCGACAATCTTCTCCTCGCCGACAATCTCCAAGCAGTGCAGGAAGTCGAGATGCAAGTCTCGAGTGAGAATACTGGCCGGCAGTTCTCGCAAGTAGAGCTTCAGCAAACTCGCAACAGCATGCACATCGTAGTACTGCTCTTCTTCCAGCAAATTCACGTCTCCCTCAGTATTGAAGCGTTCCCTCAGCGCCTTGATTAGTGTATTCGATCCCGAAAGTCGAAATATGCCCTCCTCAGCAATGGCTTGCTTGGCTGTCAAATACTCGATGCAACGATAGACCACCGACGGTAGCTCAGTGTCAACGCCGGCGGGCTGGGAAAACTCGACAGCTTCCGCCAATGGTACTCCGAAGACAGCGCGTGGCGTGGGCGCCGGGTGATCATTGCCGCCATGTCCGGCGTCCTTCGAGTCCTGATCAGACGAGGCGCGGCCACGTGTGAAGGGAAGTTGGAAAACGCTGCGCTTCTTGTCCCGGCCAGGCGTGGGCGGCACCTTCATTCCCCAATTACCTGCGTCCTGGATGACGTGCAAGTTCGTCGGACCAGAAATGGTGGGATGCGAGGATGCCTGCTGCTCACCACCGCCGGGGAGCTTGTCGTGGGTTGGTGATGGGCTTTCGCTGCCATCTGGACCCATGACAGGCGCACTCCCGGCAATGGTGTCATTGTAGCCCACGGCTTGCAAATCCCGCCTGGCTTGTGTTGCAGAGTCATGACTGCCGCCGCTGCCACTGCGCAGATCGGTGGAAGACTTTTGCGCGCGTGGACTGCGAGGTGCATGGGCATCAGTCTTGGCAACTTGCGCTTGCCTTCCCAGCGGCAGGCGCTCGTCCTCTTCCTTCCAGTCGACATAATGGAGAAGCGCATCGACCCATTGATCGCGCTCGGCATCGCTTTCGGCGCACAGTACATGGCGAACAAGTGCTGACGAGTCCTTCTTTTTGGGTTCCAGGATAAGGAATGCGTGTCGGAACTGGTTGTCCTCGTCCTCGTTGTTGTGGTTGTGATTCACCGACTGCTTGCCAATCTGTGCATTTTGCAATTTGATTGAGCCAAGATGAGCGCCGCCAGGACCTTCGTAGTACTTGAACAGGGGACCATCCAGCACGAAATAGCGTGCCTTCCAGCCTCCGAAGTTCTTGCCACGCTTCGTCAAGTAGCCTGCCATATTGGGCCGGAGCCTATGCTGCGCGGTTGCTGGAGAATCAGCTCGACTCGGCTCGACTGCCAATGGCTCATTGCCATCGCCACCATATGCATCGGTTGACAGAAATTTGCACACAATGCGCGCGGCCTTTTCCTCCACGATAGAGTCTAGCATGCGCTCAAAGTATGCGTTTAGCGCCATGCGTCGAGCATCAATACGTGCAGGTGCGTGTCCAGTGAACAAAGCCTTCTCTGGTATGCGATCGTTCACACGGCACAGGCTTCTGATCTCGTTGTCCAGATTGACGAGTGCTTGGTACGTCTTCTCCACGCGCCAGAGCTCCGCTTGCTGAGACCGCTCGTGCACGGCCAACGTGAAGACTGGGTTCTCATCCGCATTTCTCGGCATCATCATGCTCGCTCGGGAGCGAACCATGCGTGATGAAGCAATCTTGACGAAGATTGAGGGTAGCGCATTCGGTGGGAGAAGTAGATCAGGATACTGCTCCGTCTGAAGACCTCTGTACACCTCGCCCGGAGTGTGCAAGGAAGACTGGTCACTTGACATCGAGGGTCGCCCCTCATTGGGGTCATTAGAAGACTTCAGACGATCTGCGAGGCTGCCCATCGGCTGTGGTGCCTGAGCAGCGTATGCCTTGGCGCGGTCCAAGTGTGGAGACATCAATGCCATGGGCGTTTGAGGTGGAAGTGGAATCGCGGAACGTGGTGCGCGAGGTGACAATGGCAGTCCTGCTACACCTGCCCGTGGCGACATGGGCATTGAGTTGGCAATCTGACCCAGAGGTGCACGTGGCATAGGCGAATTGGGCGGTCGGTCACCTGGTCGGGGGCTCATGGGGAGGCCTGGACTGAGCATAGCATTGGGTGCTGTCAATGTGCGTGCTGGTATAGCGCTCGCTGTCCCAATTTCAACGCGTTCTCCGGCAACCTCATAAGGATTCGGATCTGACCACGGTCCATTCAGTCTGGCAGCCTCGCTCACAATGGGCTCTGCGGCAGCAGACACTGTCACGCTAGGTTCCTCTGCTGGCCGGCTCTTGCTCTTCTTCTCCTTCTTCGATCTGCTTCGCTGTTCAGCCTCCTTCTGCGCAAGCATCTCCCGCTCGCGGTCGTCGTCTTCACGCGTCTTCCTACGACCGCGGTCTGCGAACTCTGACCTTGCACTTTCAGGGTCATCTTCATACTCGGAGTCGGAAGCGTCTACCACATCACCGACAATGCTGGGTTCCCGTCGGTGCACGGGCTGGTTGAGCTGGAGTGGCGCAGGGGGTGCCTTTCGGGTCTTTGGACTGAGGTTCCCCGTTACCGAAGGCGGAGGACTGGTGTGGTACGAGGAGGTAGAAGGACTTTTGGTATGACCGACGCCGTCTCTGGGGCTCCGAGCCGAATCCACGAGTCCAGGCGATGACATTTGCGGGGATCCTGCAGCTGCTCGCTGTACGTTGGCCAGTGCAGCCCCTCGCGTGTCAATCGTGATCGGCTTCACCTCATGCTGAGCTGTTCGCTGGTCAATAATCGCTGCCTGTGCTACCTGCTGCGGATGTATCGCATCCTGTGGAGTGTCAGATCTTCCAACACTTGTAGAGGTGTCACTTCTCTTGAGGGTGTCTACGCTGATGTCCCGGCCCATGGCATGGACAGGCGCAATATGTGAGGGTGACTCGCTCTCCTCCCTCGAGGACGACTGTACAGCCCCCGCGCCATTCATCAAGACTGGTGCCGAGCTGGACTGCGAGAGATGTTCTTTGAGTTTGCGCCTGTACCGCTCCTTTTCTTTCAGCGACTTTTCCAGATCTTTATTCAGCCCCAGAATCATCGCCCGTTGCTTCTCCACTAGCCGCCATAGCTGAGCATTGTGTGAAGCCGCCTGCTGCTTTTCCTGCAGCACCTTTTGCAACGCTGCCTCTGTTGATCCCGCGGCGGCAATCAAAGCAGCTGCGTCCTGTGGCCCTTGTGTTTCCTGCGAGACCCTGTAGACATTGGTGCCTCCGGCATTGGCAGGTCTGTTGTTCGAAGCGGAAGACACGGACGACACTGTCGAGTCGATTGAGGCCGTGCGGTGGGCCATGATGGGCATGCGATCGTTTGGAAGAATGCGCGCGGCGGGCGTGGTTGTAGCCATGGTGGTAGGCGAGCTGGGAGGAGACGAATGAGGTGCAGCGGGCAGAGTCGGCGAGGAAGGCTGAGCATGCGCGTGCTGCTGACGCTGGCCTCGCTCTCGTGGGAGCTGCTGCTGATTCTGCTGGCGCTGGTGCAATTGGCCGGCAGCGCGTTGCTCTTCGGTTACAGCCTCGCGAGTGATGGCCTCGTGCAGGGCATCGTTTCCCCTACGCACCTTTTTGGCTGGGTCGGGGGCACGTGGAGTGCGTGGTGGTGGTGGTTGTGCTGAGGTGTATGCAGCGGCAGAAGTCACACTGGCCGAGCCGTCGGCAGCCACTTCTCGTCGCGTTGGCGGTTGCGGCTGCGAGGGGTGAGAGGTCGTCGGACGAGAAGCTTGCAACGAGTCTGCTGGTGGCAGAGACGACGGCGAGGACGAGTGCAAGGATGCGGCCATAGCGTGGCCAACGCCGACCGCCGTGCTGGCCGCTGGCGCTGCGAGGGAGAGGTTGTGACCGGGATGGCAGCGCGAGCCACCAGCCAGTTAGCGTTTGGAGATCATGCGCAGCGCTTAATTCCAAGACGTGGACGCCCACGAGTGGCATGAGCGACGTGGCGGGTCTCGCGGTCGCATGTGCTGGGACGCTGCTGTCAGCGGACTACAGCAGTCGGCGCGGAGGAGGAGGAGGAGGTGGTGGTGGTGAATGGTGACGACGGCAGTGAGATGATGCCTCGCTGGTTGCTCTCCGCGCAGCAGCAGACCACACGCCCAAAGACTCGTGCAGCAGTAGCCCACGGGCACGACGGGGATGCTGCATAACCCAAAACCTTGACCTTGCTGGCCCCCAGCGCCCGCTTCCCTGCAATCAGCACTGCTGGAGCCGTGTGAAGCATCAAACGTCCGTCATCACCGCGGAACGAGAAATTGATACAGCACAGTCTGCCCTCTCCACCCACCGTGTCTGCGCAACACGTCCGTCATCCCACTGCTACTCACATCACGATCATCCGGCTGCTCCTCGCGCAACGGAGCACCGTTTCATCAGCCATCGCCTCACCCGGAACCCACACGGCTCTCGTGCTGATGGGCATGTCGACAGCAGTAGTGTACGAGACTAGTCTGGCTCATCCAATCTCACCTCTCCTCTGCATACTGACACCCCCCATACCGCAACAGCAACAGCCTCCCACAATTGGCCTGCGTCCGGGGCACCTGAGACAGCGCATTGCGATGTTCCCACCAAACGTGGCGCCGCGAGTGGTCACAACTTCGCAAGCGAACGCTGTGATGAACGACGCCTTCTGTGCGACTGGCGACAGGCCCAGAGCGCCAAAACCAATCTCTGCCTGCTGTCTCTCTCCCGACCGACCCATCGCCGGCTGCGGTCCGAGCGTGGCCCATCAAGCCTCTCCCGCGTACTTTTCTTGTCGTCCGTCGCTTGACCCTGGCCGCCGATCAATCCTGCGACTCAGGCACATCTCGGCATCATGCACGTCGCCCTACTGGATTGCGCGTGTTGCTTCTTTCTGCCTTATGCCTGCCGCTTTTGCTCGTGGTGGTGGAGTTGGGCGTTCGTTCGCCTCTGGGGGCGACGGACGACTTCCATGCGTACGAGACTTGGCTCAGCTGCATTTCGACACATCGTTCACGCGAACTCGTGTTTGGTCGTCGTCCATCAAACTCAAAGAACGCCCGAAGAACTCTGCTGCGTTATTGTCATGATACGGCAGTTATGGACCAATATGCTTTGCGCTCTTCCGAAAGACATGGACTTAGTTCGACTGCCGGTTCACCCCAAACTCTTCCTCCTGCACGTGTTTGCCCTCGGAAACAGAGTCATTGGTCATACCAACCGGTTCTATTGCTGGCTGAGTTTCATCCGTCGACAACGGAGCCGTCCTTCGGTCTGAAATATACGACGTCACCTAGTCGACATCCAGCGCTTACCTCGTTTATCTGTATTTCGATAGTAACGAACCCCACTTCCCAACTTGGCAAGCTTAGATGTACCTATTTGAGGTCTCTACCCACTCGCATTGGTCTGGGACCTCTGGACTATCGCCCGCAGACGCCCATGGTGTTGGAAGTGTGGCAGCAAGGTTGGAACAAGGCTCCGCCACAACTGCAGTATTGCAGGCTTGCAGGCGCTCGAGCCCCTGAGACTTGCATCTTGCTGCACACCCTCACATGGCCGACTCAAGACTGCACGTTCGCCAACCCTTCTTGACATCGGCTATCTTTGATGTGGAGAACCGCTGCCCCACAAAGTGTGCGCATGATCAACAGCAGATGGATAGACGTCCGAGGCGTGCTCATCTTTCTGACGTCTTGCGCAGATGATGCTTACAACTCGATAGCGACATTGTTCGCGTGAGCGCATTGCCGCCGTTGTCGCTGTCGGAAGTATCGCGAGATGACAGCTGCAACTCCGCGAGGTGCAAACCAGCATGAAGGAGCTGATTATTGATCATGCAGGCATGCATACGTCCGTACATGCTCTTCACACCACACACGACAGACAGCTGCACATGCAGTTGAGAAGTCTGCTCGTGCACGCCACCCACCCAACCCAATCCGCAAATCCGCCCTGACAGCTGCATGTCACTTTCCGCGCCAATGCAGGAACAACACATCGTTCATTTCCCCATTCGGACAGACAAGAAGACCTCACTTCTGAATTTGTCCCTCTCCCGCCAACCGCACACCTGACCTCACTTCTCCCATCTTACCTACGCCCACACATACCTCCACGAAATCTCACCTCACCGCACTTCCATACATCCTTCGCACTAGCCCCACTACCGTACTATGCAACTACTCACTCTGTACTAGTCCGCGCTGATAGCAGAACCTAGCACATCCACGCCATCTCAAATGTCTAAGACATAAAGAGAGCAAGTACCGACCCGTTGCGCGATCGTCTGCTTACGAAATTTCGGTAGGCCGGAAGGCGGTCAGCAAAGAACCCTCTTCAATTTGTGAGACGGACCGGAGACGGGACCGGATTGATGAAAATGCCAAGACTTTTTGATGGCCGACAGATTTGCACGACTTCAAATTGTTCCGTCTTGGTACTGGACACGATGCCATTGAGCCGTGTGGCAGACGACAGAGATCTTTTGAGGCGTAGGCCGTGTGCGAGGAGATGGTAAGCGTGAGTTGAGATGTTCTGATCGATAGGTCGAAGTTGCAGCCTGAGGCCATACAAGTTCGTCTATTGCCAGGCAGTAAACTCGCGCTCCATCTTTGGCTTTCTCCATCCTCATGTGCAGTCACGCACCGACGCATGCTCCGCATTCGAGTGTCTTCAGTGGACCTAAGAGCTCCAGAGGAGATGGTCCACCTGCCGGAGCCACGTCGTCTTGTATTAGCCATCCGGCTGGAAAGAGGTCAGGACCACGTCGGAACGAAGGATGCGTTGATGAAGCTACCTCCCAATTCTGAAGCTTATGCTCTTTGATTGACAACGTACACCGAAGGTGCACACAACAGCGTAAGCTATAAAGTGCATGGATATGGGATACACCGCCACAAATACGCAGAACGAGTCGTCTTCGCCCAAATCACGATCACGATACCGTGGACCTGAGCAAGCATGGTCTGCTATTCCAATTCTTCCTCGCTCCAAAGTATCAAGAGTCTGCTGCTTCAGTCTTACCTTTTTTTCTTTCTCACATTTGGCACCCGCGACCATGGGTCGAAATCTTGGCATACCCAATCTCACAAGTACTACTAGAAAGGCAGCAGCATTTTCCGTCTCTTTCCTCTTACTTTTCACAAAATCTCTGCCCTCGACTGTACACCAGCTTGCTATGAGCAACGCGTGCAGCAGCCACTTTGGAAGACAAACGTTGAAAACACCACTGAAGACAAACAGAAAATGGCAAGCAGAATCAAGCGCAAGCGGTTTTTGCAACGACTGTAACATTGACTGAGGTCTATCCAACGATTGTCATTCAAGTAAACCGACGTCGCATTCGACACCATTCACCAGTCAACCTGTCTCTCCTCTGCTCGCTCCAACGCTGTCTCATCCACTTCACCGAGGCGCCTGAAAGGCGGACATGCGTCGAGGGTGATAGTCGGCGTGCAGGACGCAACAAGGGCGGAGATTGTGGTTTTCGGCGATGGTGTCGTCTGCAAGCTGGTAGGCGGCGGGCGGCGGGCGGAGATGGCAGAGGGTGGATTGCTAAAGTCTACCCATGTCAACCTTGCGGAAGATTGGGGGGTCTCGAAGCGCCTCAGCATTCGAAACTTTCATCACTGGGGATCAAAGGGTTTCACCCCTCCCCCCTCAGATCGTAACAAATGGATCATCGACAACAACAATGTTGTGGGTATACTGGGAGCGGAGCCTACCTGAGAGTGACTCCAGGCATGGGGCTTGTGGGTGCTCGGCAAGGCTCGCTGCCGGAGTTGCTCGTATCGTGGCCTGTGATGAGATGAAAGAACGAAGGGCGGATGGTATCTGGCGACAGGTGCGGTCCGTCCACTCGTCGAAAGTCTGAGGCCACGATGCGATTGGCGAAGGCAGGAAGTTGGAGGACGTTGATGCGAGGTGCAGTGTTGATTGAAGGTTGCATGTGTCACGGGAGAGACAGCAAAGACAAGGTCGGTTGGGTGTTGAAGGGTGTTGGAGGGTGGTTCAGAGAAGAGGTGCAAAGTGGAGAGTTGAGGAAGCAGAAGAACAGAGCAGCCCAGACATCTTAAATGTTGGATTCGCAGCGCGCACGCTGGGTAAGAACATACTGACGTTGGCAGGCTGGACTATCGAGCGAGAAGGCGGCCTGCAGCGAAGCAGCAGGTATGTCCGAAATATGCTGCAAGACCTGTATTCGAGGAGCTGCAAGTGCTGTGATCGAAGGTGGAAACCGAGCATCACCAGATATTCGTTGGGCACTCTGCCCCCTGAATTGGCAAGTCTGCGCTCCCGAGCGGAAAAGTCCCTTCGAGAGAAAGCAGGCGTAATGCTCTAACAATGCAAGCCCGAGCATCGATGATGCAAGATCGAGTACGACAATGGCAGTCTACATGCAGTTGCGAAGGACTCGTAAGCGTTCTCGTTCGGATAGTCGGACACAGAGCCAAGATGCTTGCGGGAACGATCATACAACGCTGAGTCATAGGCAGATCGACAAATGCTTCCTCGCTTGGGTACAAGAATCTGGTCAGTTGGGACTCTGGCATGCCTCCACGCTACCTTCTCTTCGCCTTTGTTGTGGTCATCGATGCCACTATCGTTAGTATCAAAAACGCAAGCTATCTGGCTGAAACATGTCTCAATGTGGATGTCTACAATTCCGCATACACCGTCCACTTCCACGCCTTGGAGTTGGAAATAGCAGAGCTGGCTTAGTATACCGAAATGCATTACTCGTGAATCAAAGACCAATGGGCCAGCTCCGAGCAAGTTAGTTTTCCGAGACCACAACAATGGACACCATGGCCTAAAGCTCGACCATTTGCACAGTGCATCGGTTTTCTCCGATAGCGGAATTCGCAGTACCGAATTCTACATCACAAGCCACATCGTTTGAGCGGTCGCCTCAACATGTATTGGTCCTCGATGCGATTTGCGACTTTCGACAGCGTATCAAACGCCGGCGACTACAATCGGACTTCAATGAATATTCGCAGGCAGGCGGAGAGCTATGGGCGATATCGAATGGTTCAGCTATGAGACTGCTCTGTGTGGACATCTCTGGACTGCTTCAATTCGACAAACCAGACACTGCAGCCCCATGCGATCACGTCGGTACAATTATAACGCTAGCGCAGCGAAGCCCGCCTGCAAGCGCTTTTTTATCTTCGCCTCAATGGTGTGGCTGGTGAATATCTGCTGCTGGTCGGTGTTCTGATGCGCTTGCGTAATCAGTTGCACATCTGGGTATCACAGTCTCCAGTCTTGCTTCTTTACTTCCGGGCCTTCCGACACGCGCTCTGAAATGGCTGTACGAATTGCACTGCAGCCCTTCCAGCAGCCTTTGCCGATCTTGCCGACGTGCGACTTTGAGATTGGTGACTTTCGGAAACTTCTCTGGGCTTTGTACCACCCGATAACATCGATCGCATTCGCCTGTATCTTCAAAGTGATACAGAGTCCCAATCTGACGAACTCTGGACTGCACTGGCGATTTGCAAAGAGTGCATCTTCATACATTGCACTCTTTCATGCTTCCTTAAAGCGGTTGAAGCAACATGCATACTTGGCGGAGGGGAGATGAATTCACCGGCATGGCACACTGGGAAGCAGCAGGTGAGTGTTCCTAGCTGGAATGGTACCACCGTGTGCTGAGTCGATCCTGCGAACAAGCTATGGGTTTGCAGCAATTGAAGCCATTTTCGGGAGCCATGGCTCGTAGATTTCCGGCCTCACGTCGGAGCATGAGGTAGAATCTAGCAGCAGTCGCAAACTGGATCGTGTCGTGTCGGTTGCGATCTCGCAACTAGAGCCATGTGCTCGAAGTCCATCGCGGAAGTTGCTCCCTTGCTCATCAGAGACGGGAAATAGAGAGTCGTAAGAAGAAGGACATTCCACCGGGTTTTCCGCAGCCCGGGACGTGGAGTCGAGTGTCTTATTAGTTCGACGCTTCGTGGGTTCTCTACGTTGATATAATATCAGCAACACAGGAAACATGATCGAATTTTGCGACACTCACATTTTGCACTCCCTCCGGCCCTTTTTGCACTGCAGACAGGCATTTGGACCTGGCTCGCACTTGATCTTCTTCTTCCGACAGGCGACACACGCCACAAGTAGCCTCTTGCGGGGATATTTTCTTTGAGAGAGGTTCAAAGCATCCAGAAAGATGTGCGCGGGCAACGGGTAGCCGTCCTTGTATATGTGGTAGGAACCTCGACGCAAGCCGTAGACGGTAACCTTACAAGTCGGTTGACTGGCGACCGGAACGTGCAGGCCACCTACAGAAGACAGCGTCTCTACTTTGTCGGGATTGATAAGAAGCTTGGATGCGAAGAGGTCGTTGAGACTAGGAAGCCGTGGCCGCTGATTGGAACCCTCATGTAGCCGAGATTCACTCGCTCGAGGTAACTGTGAGTAGGAAGTGCTCTCACTTTCGGTGCCCGGTTGCGTAGCGGGGCCATAGTAAGATGTCTGACACCGCTTGTAGCTAAGCGTGCTTGGGGTCGGAAGTAGTCGCAACGACATTGGCGGAGCTCTTAGAGATTGTTCGAGCCGAGCAACGGAAGCCGGCAACGCAGGTTTATGTATCCAGCTCTACGAGCGTGCATATATCGCGAAGCACTCAACAAAGGATACAGGACTTGGGACTGGTCACCTGTAAGCCAGGTGTCCTGCTTCAGTAACTTCCCTATCTGGATCCTTTCGACACATGCACCACGCAGCCCTCATCGAATGGTATAGAAATTCGCGACTGGTCACCTGCAATTCGAGTGTCCCACTCCAGTAACTTCCATATCTGACTGGTCCCGCACCGGAGATGCAGGTAGCTCAGCTCAGAACCTATGGTACGACTAGAGCGCCTCCACAATTGGGTTGCGGTAGAAGTGCGCCCCACGTGACCCACAGACCCGCGTGAACCTACAGTTTTAGCCGGAATCGAGGGCATAATATCTCGCCGACTATAAGAGCTATAAACCTGAAATTTGATATATAGCCTCTCTATACTATATCTACGTACTTTAGGTCTTAATATATATAAATACACGACTATATAGATTAATATCTAGTAATAAAGTTTTTAAGCTAATTTCTAAGAATTAGATAATAGTATACTTAAACAAGCTATATTTAATACTTTAATAGCTTATATAGAG